TTTTCACTGAGTCTATATTTGCATTGCGGATGATGCATGATAGTAGAAGACGATTACCCTGTGGAAATACCCCTACATTCTCCGTTTGGAGTTCATGTGATTCCTCTTTATCATTTTCTCTTAGTTTGTCTATTCAAGAGGGATTGACGAGTTATTACAACATCTTCAAACTACTAATGCCTTATATTTACACATGACAAGAGCTTCATTCAAAATATAAAAAAATCGCTGGGTTTGAATGTAATAGACTATCACTGACACTACTTTTACTGGTGGATATTTGGTTCTTCAAAACATTATTCATACACTACCTTATGCTAAAGTGCTTTGGAGTTTGGAATATATTGTTAAATTTTCATAATTCATCAACTAGAATGTAATTAATGGATGTTGTACTGTCTGAAGAGTTTTTATCACCACTGGTTTATATTTTAATTCTCTTGTTGATGTATAAAAAAACAACAACAAATGAAACACTTAATATATATTTAAAGTTTTATGCAAGGTCGTCAGAAATATAGAATTATATTTTATCTATTCCATTCCAAGGAAAAGGAAATTGAGGGAAAAATCGATGGGAACCAAGGGCAAATATAGAAATAAATCATTTGGTAGATCAGTTTGAAATTAATCATTCAATTTTATAGTACATTTAATTTCTGTTCCTATGGCTATGTTTTATATGGTAAAATAGCCAAACAACATGATTTGATTTAATACGACAAATCAAATAATGTTTTACAAAGATGGTTTCGGTGCTGATTTACGATGCCATGTTGTTTTAGATTAAAGTTATTGATTGGTTCCTTCTTTCCGAAGACTCTGTTGATAAACATTGGAGTGACTCCAATCAGATATAGACAAAATGTGACATCTTTCTAACCACGTGCATAAATTTTGACTGTTCAAAATGGATTATTTGATTTCGATATTGTTATGATTTTACATATGCAGAAGTTTGGGACATGTTGTGTTTCAATAAGGTAATTAATTGTATTTTTAACAATTATGATGTAATTTATTAAGAAGTATGAACATAACCATATATATACTTTTAAAACATTAAGAATTAATATAAATGATTGGGAGAAAATCTTTTCATCTCGTGGTTTATTTCATAAAATGAAAATGTACAAAAAAGGAAGAATATTTTTATGTTTTTATGTTTTTTAAATTTCATTTTCAAACTGTTGTATTTTTCAAATATTTCTGTATAGCTCACGGGCTTACACCATCTTAAGTTTGTCTAAGCACCTTTCCTCGCTAATTTGAAAATATTTATTTTGGTTTCGGAAGAATTTGTGGCGATCTAAGATTTTTTCGATTACGATTTCGGAACTGCAAGTATTGCAGTAAGCAATGCTATCCATGTCTGTTATCATTCGAAAAATACTAAATACATGTATATGTATATTCCTATGTACAAATGTATCCATGTTGCTGTAGACATTCATGCCCTGTTTTGTTTCAAATACTTTTTTTTTTACTGATATTGAAATCTATTTCTGACTTTTCGTCAGGTTCCCTGAAGTACTTTGTATTTACTTTTATTCACGCTTGTTTTCGTGCGTGTAGTGTGCCTGAAAATACGGATCTTTAACGTTTGTCAAATGTAGGTACTTTGGTTTAGTTATTTATTGAAACTAATAACTAATTGATTAAATATTCCACCATGTATTTGATAAACATGTAGTTTCAGGTAGTTTGATGAAAACTCGTTTAATTATAATTCTAATGAGACATATACAAAGACATGCAATGAATATTTTATTCTACAACGGTCCATTAAGGGTTCATCAAACAAATCAATTTAGTTTTAATTCGTTTTCTATTTTAGTAACGATTACATATGAAAATGAATTAATAAACAATTGTTCAAAACGAAGGCATTGGGGTAACCTGCAGTTATTTTCATTTATAAAGTCTTGTCCTCGTTTCGTTGATGGATAAATGCAGTTGTCTCATTATATAATTAGCAATCAAACCACATCTCCCTATTTTTATATGATAACGATATATCTCCTCCAACTGCTTTCCTTACGATAACTGCATGCCTATGTTAATATGAATCAGCTAATGCAATTGATTGTTAAGGTTAGTTCTTTGTCTCGCCTTGACGGAGTCAAAAAGCGAGACATAGGTATGCTGTTTCCGGCGTCGGCGGTGTCAACAATGTATTATTTTGTGATTAGGTCTCGTTTATGGTGAACCACAAGTGGTAGGTCAAAGATATTTGGTATGCAGTTGTATTAGCATTGGCACATCTCATTTCCATGGAGATTATTTGGCCTTGTCCCCTCAGTCATGGTCTATTGACTTTGAAACTTTTGCTTAGTTTACATGTATTAGTTTGTGATTATATCAGTTTATGATGAACTGCTTATGTTAAGTCAATGATATTGGGTATGCAAATTTATTGGCATTTGCAAGTATCGTTTCCATGGAGATTATAAAGCCCCCCCTCCATCATGGTTCATTGACTTTGAAACTTTTACATAGTTTACAAGTTAATGTTTGTGTTAAGGTTTGTTTAAAGGGAACGACTTATAATAAGTCAATGGTATTTGGTATGCAGTTGTATTAGCATTGGCACATCTCATTTTCATGGAGATTGTTTAGCCATGTACCTTCAGTCATAGTTCATCTACTTTGAATATTTGCATAACTTACATGTTAAAGTATTGCTATTTTAATTTCAACATTTGCATTATCAAAATTACAAAAAGGCGAGACATATCTCTAGGATAACAGTTTATTTTCCTTTTTAGCACTTGCTTCTATTTAGAAGGTTAGAAAGAATTTTGAAGGCTGATTAGAAAAAAATGCTTTCGGGGCTAAAAAGGTGTTCCATGCAGAAACTTCATTTTTTTCAGCTACAAATTCTGAAACTGTATTTAGCAGAATTGATCCTCAGTTCCAAGAATTTATTAAACCTAGCTCAGAGAAGCTACAATTTCATTTGGTATTTCAGGGAATCATCCTTTCCTTTCATACCTCTCAATATGAACAAACATTCACTTCCAGTAGTCTTTTTCTTTCAAAACTCCATAAGTAATGTAGAAACTTCAGTTTTCCGAGGGACCTCGGTGGCCGAGGGGTCTAAGTAGTCAAACTACATGATCACTAGCCAGTCTACACTGAGGTTGTGAGTTGGAATCCCGCACGGGGCAGGTGCACTCGACTCTAATCTTAATTGACTAGGATTGTCAGTTTTCCTACCGAAGGTCGGTGGTTCTTTCCGGGCACTCAGGCTTCCTCCACCAAATAAAAATGACACCAATTCATCAATATGTTATCCGAATCATAAAGATAAATCTGAATCATAATTCGTTAGTTATTGTATTTGCAGAAACTTTATTTCAATAAAGCAAAGGCCTCATATTAAATTCTAGTGGCGATTTACAACAATACTGGACTGTTTCAAAATCAAAGTATTTTGTCAAGAAACCCCTGGTAAAGCTTGTTGCCATATTGCTAGTCATATTTTGCTACACTTTTCCCTATCACTCTACTGGAAATTTTTCCAACTTTCACCAGCAAGTAGTTTATACTGGATATTGATAAAGTTAGAATCCTTTGATATTTATGTGTGGAAGACGGGATCAAATAGCTACACACCTTATTACCGGCTTTTGCAATGGAAATCGGAAATGCAGACACAAATCTGCTGTACATCAGTCAGGATTCTACTTCGTCAAAATTATCTCCCCATTACGCCAGCTAATTTTTACAATCGTAAAAATGAAAGCCATTGTAGGGATGTCGCGCTGCCAATTTAGCTCTTGAAAACCGATTAATTTATCCACATTGCACCATTACGATCCTTATATGCCAGTTGTACTTTAAAAGACTAATGTATCTACTAGCTATTGAGCATCATTTAAAAGTACTTTTCTGCATTTAATCAACTTAAAACTATTGTCTGATCGGTTGTCAGGTGGAATTTTCGAAAGTTCAAAAACATTTAAAAAAAAATCTAATTAAATATTTCGTGGAAGGGCAGACTAAAAATTTTCAGAGGTTGAAGACTAACAACCCTAGATATCACACACAAAAATTAAGAAATGTATTTCTCTTGACCCATATATTTATTTTTTTTAGTACTGTGAATTTTTAATGTTATTAAGTCAACTTGTAGCTTAAATATATAAAAATAATAGAATCTGAAGCGAGATGATGTATCAATTAGTTTTGCTTAATACGTTTTCAAGACGGAATAGTCAACTCAAACACGCCCGAACATAAAAAGGTGCACTCGACTTTCTCTTTTCGATGAAACTACACTCTAAAAAATGTGTTTAGAGCCTAAACACTTTCCTAAACACATTTATGAAACCGATTTTTGACATGTTTTAAATCTAAACATGTTTAATATTTAATGTTCTAACAGCCTAAACGTGTCAAGCTATAAAGTGCTTAGACTGTAAACATGTTTAGCTGTAAAGCGTTTAGACTAAAAACACGTTTAGCTAAAAAGTGCTTAGACTGTAAACATGTTTAGCTGTGAATTGTTGTATCTGGAAACATGTTTAGCTGAGAAGTGTTTTGCCTGGAAACACGTTTAGCTGTGAAGTGTTTTGAATGTAAACATGTTTAGACCATAAAGGGTCGTGAAGAAACATGTTTATCATTTTATTGTGAGAAGCCGTTACTTTATTAGGTCCCAATTAAACTAATACTCCGGAAGGCTTGACTGTAAAACGTATGATAGCTCTCAATAAAACAGGTTTTCATACCATCACAAACAGGAGCCAATGCATCAAACTAAGAAACTGGAATTTCCATATCAAATTAAATGTGACCAATACCTTTTCAATCTCAATGAGTCTTTTCTTTAATTCAATTCACGTCATTCGACTATTGCATTTTTTCTTCATTTCAAATATTCGTAAAACAGTCTAGAACCTTTGAAATGACATTATCATTATACTAATTCTAGCTTTAAAAACAAAATTACAACATATAAAACAAAGGAATTTATGTTATCATTTATTTCCAGTTTATCATTGAACACAATTAAAAATAAATTCATATCAAGGTACATGTACATAATATTGACCAATCTTCTACTTGTACCCCATCCCTAAAACAAAACAATTTGAAAATGTCCTGTTTTCATTTTACAGGTCAATAAGAGCTTCTCCTTTCTTAGTACCCAACTGCTGGTCAATGGCCTGAAATATAGAAAAATATTGATAAGCAACTAAGTAGAATTAATCTAAAAATATAAGAATACGAACTACAACACCAAAAAGTAAAAGCATGATTTAAGATCCAGATAACAACATTAGGACAGTGGTATAAAAACATAAATTTACTGATGAATCAATTGATATTTTTTAATTTAAAACTTCTTTTCATGCTTAATATTATTCATTTGATCAAATATATATTGGCATTTTTAAAATCAAATACACTTTTGATTCTTACCTAGCAGCATATTTGCTACTGTATTTATCTCCTCTTTTAGCATGCCAAGACAGATGATGATTTCCTCTGCACTTCTCTCATCTAGAATAAAACAATACATATCAATAAAATTATAAAAAAAACCACAACCGCTTATAACTATTGAAATAAACAAGCATCTTTCTATTTATTTTGAAGAAATGTTGATTGTGCATATCGGAAGTGCTTACAAAAACAATGAACTCGATATGACACTGGATTTGCGAATGATGCACCTCATCCTGATAAGACTCGGCAGATTCCGCTACCCTTCATGTTCCATTATAATCTTCCGAGGAGTACCGAACGAAAATTATCCTCACAAACTCCTTTCCAAGAACATATATAAATAAAAAAATAAATGCAAACTTGCATGATAGAACATTAAACAACACTTATCATCTATACACAAGATAGTTAGAACACTTAAAGCTCTTACAAGCACTTGTTTCGTGGGATGGTACCCCCTTTTCTCTCCTGCATTGACTATACGGTAGTGTACTTGTAAATAATGCTTATAACTGTCAATAATCATTTAAAATTGGCAGTACAAAATAAAAGACAGTATAATCATAACTCCTTACCTTTCTGAAACAGTCAAGTTACGGTCAGTTATGGTCAGAAGTAAACAGCGTGGCCTTTGACTTTGGGTTCTTTGTTTCTTCTTCCCGCTCAAAAGTTAGCACGTGATATAAATGCCGTATTCGGCCTAAATGTGTTGTAATTCTAAACGTGTTTAGGAAAGTGTCTAAATATTGAAAGTGCTTAGAATTTAAACACGTTTAGCTTTATATACTTGACAAAGTAGCTAAACATGTTTAGCACAGTAACATGTTTATTGAAAAGTGCTGAGAGCCAAAACATGTTTATTGCGAAGTGCTGAGAGCCAAAACATGTTTATTTTTTTATGTTTAGAATTAAACACTTTCCTAAGCACATAAGTCTTGCAACACGTTTAAATTCTAAGCACAATTTTTACAGTGTATTGTCCATTTGTAGGATTTTCCCCCAAGAACTGTCGCCGGAGGCAGAGATGCAAATAAAGGCTTTAAAAAGATCAATCTATTATCTTTCCGTGGAATTTTTTTCGATGTAATTTATGCTTATGCACAAAAAAGATCCACTTGTATTTGCACCTACCACAATCGACTGTTTGATGAAAATTTGTCTATAATTTAAAAATTTACAAATATCTCGAAGCTCCATACTATTATTTAAGTAAAAGCACGTATACAAGATGCATAAAATCCTAAATTATGCATCTTTATTAAACTTTTAGAGCCCATAGAAACAGATGTAAACAATTCCAATATACCAATTTGGCTTTTTTACCTTCACTAACAAATAGTTCCATTTCTTTTGTTTAATTTCAACCTGGAATCCGCCTGTACATGATATCCCAAAACAATTGTTTTAATAGCAACCCGGGTCAGAGATCCTATTTTATCTGCCGGTAATAGCGTGTGTAACAATGAGAAAATCATATTCATTAAATATCATTATATTAATTATTTAAGCTAATTGTTAAGCATTAACAACATATCATATCTTGTATGGGGGGCCTCGGTGGCCGAGTGGTCTAAGTAGTCGAACTACTGTATCACTAGCCAGTCAACACTGGGGTTGTGAGTTCGAATCCTGCATGGGGCAGGTGCACTCGACTACAATCTAAATTGACTAGGATTTTCAGTTTTCCTTCCGAATGCCGGTGGTTCTCTCCGGGCACTCCGGCTTCCTCCACCAATAAAAACTGACCGCCACGAAACAGCACAATAGTGTTGAAAGTGGCGTTAGACACCAATCAATCAATCAATCAATACCTTGTATGGTACATGCCTTGTAACGTTTCTACATCTGATCATTCGAACAATTTCACGTAGCGCTCAGTGATTTTATTATTAAAACATAAAAATGTAGAATGGGGAGCTATTCATGTCTTGCTAGATTCAAGTAAATGTCTCTTAATCTATATAAGTAAGAACAGAATTATCATCGACAGTCTTCAGTAAAAAGAAAATGGCATTTATTGAGTAATAGTGCATATATTTTAATGACCAAAGAAACAATTGCATTCGATGTTGAGGGATTTTTAATAACCACAGAAACAATTGAATTCAATTTGGAAAAAATTGGATTTTTCAGGAATTCACAACTTGTTTTATCGCCGAATAATTTTATCGCCGAATAAGTTAACAAAACATTAAAATCCTTTACACTTCAATTTTAATAAACTTTTTAGTTAAAATCGATAACCGCTTCTAACAAGGAGACATGGATTTCATCGTGTAGATATCGGAAAATATATTAATATTTACGAGGAACAGCTTGTTTTGTTACGTAGCTTCATCATTGTTGAAAGTTGAAATGTAATATTGAAAATTTGTGTATGCAGAAACTTTGTAGGCTCATGAACAACTACCATCAAATATTTTAATATGTTAAAAAAAAGCTGGTGAAGGTAAACAAAGTCGAGAAAAAAATGTGTAAGTTTTTTGTTATATTATTAAAGGTAAAATCAAATGCATTTCTGCGTTTAAATGGAGTCTACTTACATTACCACATCACAGTTTGATAATTTCAGTAAAAATCTAGACAGATTATTTGCAATCCATAATGGTAGAACACACACGCACACACTTTAAAGACAAGTACACGATGATTTGGAAGATGTATGGGGCCTAGTGTTATTTATTCGTTGACATGTTTATTATTTGAAATTAGACGTCACATTTTGTGCTATTTTGTTTGCAAAGTAAAGCAATAGTCTTTGCAAAATTCTTCAAATTTTTCATTCATTTTTAACAATTTCACATACATGATGTACACACGTGTAACATTAATGGTACCATATATACGTGTGAATACTTGCTACAAAGTTTAGCTACGTGGTTTGTGTAACTTGAATTAGAACTAGTTTTTGTATCTTGTTACAATCGTTATTGGTCCTATCCATTTAGGTGTGCAATACTATATGTAGAAAATGACATATGAAACCATCCATTGGTAAGAAAACATGCACTACACAATATATTTGGTTGTTGTCTTCTTCAATTCATTAGAGGAAGTATAATGCTTGCTTAAAACATATAACTTAACTTTAGAATGTTAGATTAATTCAAATCTTATGGAATTTTACAAACTCGGTTTATTTCAAAAGAGAACATTTGAGAAATTGTATGCTTAATTTGATTGTCTACAAATAAGATTATTGGCTTTCCTTACTTTTGAAACGTGATATGCGCTATCCTTAATTTGATTGTCTACACATGGTTTTCCTAATTTTTGAAACGTGTTATGCGCACGAAAATAATAACACGCGGTTTTGGCTACCAGAGGGTCGGTATCTATTATTCAAACGATACCATGTGTCAGTTGATTACCAGTTCATAAGATTGTCTTAACATAGCTAAAGCTAAGATTGCATATCCCTCAGGCAAGGTTGGTATTAAGCTTTTAGTCTTCTCAAAACAGGCCCTTTTGATGTTTGTGCTCTCCATCGGTTTTCATATTTTGGCTTTCCAAACATTTGGAATGAGCATACTAGCTGATTGTTATTCTAGAAACAGGTGTTAAGCGAACAGATATCGTATCGTACGTTTGTTGTGGATATCATTCAGTTACAAAGATCTTTGACTTCTTCTTATGGGGGTGTTTAACGACCCTGACTGGCTATAAGACCCTCTTTGAAGTATTAAAATGTATAAATATTTTTCATTTTATATCATTGCTTAGTCAATGGTACCGTATTTTCACTACGCAGGGAAATTTCACTCACATGAATTTCACGTGAATTTAAAGTCATGTGAATCTCACGACTCACGTGAAATTCACGTGAATTTCATCTCAAACGAGCTTATACGTGAAACTCACGTGAAATCAGTTAATGTGAATTTCACGTTGACCTCATGTGAAACTCGCATGAATTTTTTGAAAATTTGAAAAATAAAGTTATTCAAATAATATCTAAATTTTCAAATTTAATTGAAATCATGAAAAATAAAAAAAATCAATTTGAAAAGTTCACTTGAAATTCACGTGAAAAATTTCACGTGAGATTCATGTGAATCTCAATTCACGTGAAATTCACATGAACATTTTCACGTGAGTTTCATGAATAAGCTCGTTTCATGTGAATTTCACGTGAGCAAAATTTGCTTGTGTACCTCAGTTATTATTTTCATAACCTTACCTATAGATCAGCAGTGTTGTTGTAGAACACTCAAAGAAATCAAGGAGTTGTCTAGATGTTCTATATTTTTGTGTATATAAGTTTACATATGACACTCCATGTTAAATCATGTTTTGTTGTTGCAATTATTCGTGTTAACAAAGTCATCACATGCTGGTTTTAATTTTCCAATCATAAAAGAGGTCCTCTGTTAGCAAAAAACTAGATAGTTCTTATTTAGTATTGTTACCTTGGGGTCTAACAACCGAATGTATTGTCCGACAGCGGAGGGCTTTAATTTACAGAAACCCTGTATAAATCTAAAAAATGTATAGAAAAAAGTGACATTATATAATTGAGATTAACCAGATTTGGTATAAAACATTGCAAGCCATCTTTGGTAAATTAATTGGAAGATCTATTTTTTTGGAATACTAATCCCCTTTTTCTCAATCTAATGTTACCTGTGTCTGGAATCAATAAAACAACAGGTACAAGTTTTAATATTTGTTTTTCTCATAATTACCTAAACAACTTTTGTAAAGTTCTAAGCCTTTATTTCTGGAATCAAAACACAAAAAGCTATAAGGTGGAATTAGTTGTGTTATAGAAAAACTGTTAGGAACATCAATTGTTTATGTTGCATGAGGATACGTCGCGATTCTGTTATTAAACAGGATGTGCATTGAAAATAAAACAGATCTTTTAGTCAAAATCAATGTTCGTTAATGTGAGTTTGACAAGTTATGTTTATTTGATATTTATTTTCTCAGAGTTTTCATTTATTTTTTTTTGTGAATTCTGTTCGTTGTAAAGCAAATGTTCATGACTGAGGTAATTTTTCTATTCATTGTAAAACAATGTTCGCGACTGAGGTAATTTTTTCTGTTCTATCTAAAGCAATGTTTACGACTAAGGTAGTTTTTGTCTGTTCTATCTAAAGCAATGTTCACGACTGAGGTAATTTTTCTGTTCGTTGTAAAGCGAGATTCACGACTGAGGTAATTTTTCTGTTCGTTGTAAAGCAAGATTCACGACTGAGGTATTTTTTCTGTTCGTTGTAAAGCAAGATTCACGACTAAGGTAATTTACGGTTCGTTGTAAAGCAATGTTCACTAGCTACTGAGGTAATATTAGAGTAAAGGTTTTTTTTAAGTAGAAAAAGTTTGTCACTTCAAAACATGCCTCGCAAACATACCGAATTTTGGATTCAAATATGGCAAATGAAGAAATATAAAAAAAAACCGTGCCGATGCTGCGTTATATCGCATTTACTTTTCGACGTTAGGGTAATATAAACGTTTTATCCCCGGCTTAGTATATTTCTAGGATTCTGATTGGTTAACGCACGTCGTTACAAAACCCATAGCCCCTGGGTGTTGCTAACCCATATCCCCGGACGTTGCTACCCATTACATCGGGGAATTTCACGCGCGTTTTCCTTAGTTCCATGGTTGTTCCTTGTGAAATATCGAATTCTGTAGATTTTCCATGATGTCTGTATAATTAAATATTTAATCCACTAACGATTTTATCTTATTATATCGATTATTTGCACTCATTTTAGTAAATGCATCACTATGCAGCCACATTGTCAATAAATGGTACTACTGATCTAGCTATGCAAATGACCCACGTTGACGTCACACCGTTTATGATGTAACTCTCACAACATTGCGCGCCAAATTCGACCTATTTCAGTTTCTCTGTCTCTAGTTTAAAAACGTCTTATATTTGTCTACCTGTAGGGTTCTACCAAAGGTAGTACCCTACACCCCGTTAAATTTATGTCAAATTCCCAAATTTCAATAAAAGATATTTAAAAAATGAAAAAAACGTTGCTTTCACGTTTAACTTAACTTTGTGGTCGAATTTCTCTAAAAATCGCCAGATTTAGACTAAGACCAGGGATAAATTCGTTATCTACGTTTATATCCGTAGATATGGATATTTTAACACCCTTCAGTACCCTGTACACCCTTCGGCTGCGCCTCAGGGTGTCCTTGGATACTTCAGGGTGTTAAAATATCAATATCTACGGATATGAACGTAGATAACTTATAATGTTTTACGTTTCAACCGTATTTATATTCAATAGTCAGTCACGTGTATTTCTCTTGTATTCAGCTTTTGATCAATTATCTCATATTCAACATCTGTGTTTTAAATTAACTAAACGATCGTGACTTTTCGTAATTGAGAATTAATATTATTGAAATCCAATTTCCTTCTAATAGATAGATATATTTTATCTATTTTTATCATAAGAACAAATTATTCAATGCAGTAACTCTGATATTTGACTTTTTAGAGACAATTGTGTTTTTTTATATTTTAGATATATTAAGTTAATTATTTTCTCCTGGAACTGGACATATATGACCATTATAACAGCTTTTAGTTGATAATATCACACATTTGTATTATCAGTCTCAGATTACATGTTTGATTAAATAGGCCATAAATTTCTTTCTGAATTGGATTTGTTGTGTTCATTTCATTCAAATGTCAACTTGGTCAATTGTGTAATACTCGACAATACTTAACAAGAAATTGAAATTCACTTGACGAAGCACTCTTTGACACAGGATAAAATGACGAAACGTGCAGTATGTATATTCAATCGACTTGAGTATGACATTGGAAACAACTTTACAGGTTTACTTAAGGATTGACCTTTTTTTTCATACCAAGTGTAAACAACTATAACATAAAATGCTCTATATCCATTCTTTAAAAGTACTTTCATTTTGTATGTAAGATTAAAAAAAGGCTTTTGTTTTCACCTTTTTGGCGAAAACAATAGCGTAATTTGTTTGTGTTATATTTTTAGTGCAAGAATTATAGAATCGACCAACAGTCACCTCCATTGTCCGAGTTTAAATATTGTACGTTAAGATCAAGTGTACGTGTTCTCAAGGTCGTTTTTTACTGATGTTTCTAGAAAAAGGTATTAAAAAAAAATACCGAACTCTATGTCAAATTCAAAAAGGGGGAGTCAATAAAAACTGACGAAATCAATCGTTAGACTTTATAACCAACGCAACGAATGGAAAACAACTGACATATTCCTGACTTGGTACAGGCATTTCCGAAGAAACCGGTGGGTAAAACCTGGTTTATAGCCAGCTAAACCTTCCACTTGTATGACAGTTGTTTATAGATACGTTATAAAACGTGGAAACGCAAGGTATATGTACAACTGACGTACATCTTATGTATCAGTATAAACCAAAAATAGTTTTGACGAACTTGGGTAAAATCAACGTCAGTTTTAGATATCATTGGAAGTAAGTTTATATTCTGAATGTGATTTCCTCACAATACCCCCCCCCCCCCCCCCCCCCCCAAAAAAAAAAAAAAAAACCAACAACAAAGGCAAAAAAAAAAAAAACTTTTGTTGAAGCTTCTAAAAAAATTAAATTTAAATACAAATAGTTCAACATCTTTACAATATTAATAAATAACAGATGTTTGAGAGAGATATGCGTATATTGAAATCTCTTCAGTTGACAGAACCATTACTTCTAATTGTGACTGTCACGACACATTATTCTATTGCGTAATTACATCATATTGCAGCAAAGTTTAATACAATGACTTTAGTGAACTTGGGGAATAATGCATTGGTCTAGTTATGAGAACAGATATCTGCAACTATTTGTAACATGCAGATACACGCACTTGTAAAATACAAGGCTGTTTTGAACATTTGTATAAAAGGGGAAAAGAAACCAAGGGGCAATATGCTTCTCATTTGGTAGATACACTTTTGTTTAAACAATGTCAATCTAATTTATTTTATAAGAATTTGAGGTAAATACATGAGACAATTATAGTGTTTATTAAGGTTAATTATCTTCAAAGCAATATGTTGTTGCATTACATAATTGATTTAAAAAGAAACCCTACTCAAATAAAAAATTAGAGCATTGGAAATCCGTTAGAAAGTCTTTCCACTGGCAATTAATGAAGTTTTATTTTCTGTTTTAGTTCGTTTGACGTTTCAAGAGAGAATAGTTTGGTATCTGAAGAGGAGGTAGCTAGTATCTGTAAAGACTTATGTAGATTAACTGTTCACAACCAAACAGAAAATGGATACGTGAAAGTATTACCCTCGCCACGTGTTTCTCCAGATATATTTAGTTCTGTCCCAGGTGTCATAGTAACATCCGATTCAGAGGATACATCCGGTAAGATTTAAGTAAAAAAAAATTAATGTTCGGTTTATTCGTAAAAGCATAACAAATACTAACATACATGACGTGCTTCATGTGGTGAATACATTAGTTCATTTGCCAATTGTAACCAGAGAGTACATACAAAAATCTAGCTGAATTCTAACGATATTAACAATTAATTCAGTTGGAGAAATGTTTTTATTTAATTAAAAATATTACCAGTGTAATGGTTAAATCCATACCTCCATGCTTCTTTTCCATATTCTTAGCATTTTCTTTGTCTGCACAACTTGTTGTTATTTACTGATAACTTATTAAACTGATGATTATAACGCACGTGACTACAACATCAAGATGACAACGATAACGTACGTGACTACAACATCAAGATGACAACGATAACGTACTTGACTACAACATCAAGATGACAGAGACCAAATACGATTGAAGTATTTTTTTCTTGTTACTAGTATACATTTCTACCCTTTATATTTAGTGGTCGATCAAAAACAATGCAGGCTAGAACACCAGTATGTTGTTATAAAAACCAACTGTCATAGGCTTATGTCTTAATAACCGTTTTTTCTAAAGAAACAAATCCAATATAAAATGTTTTGATGAAAATAATTTGGGTAAGCGATGATACTTACGTTACGTACAGACCCCTCCACATTCTTTATGCACCCGTTCTAAGTCAGGAGTCTGTAATTTAGTTGTTAACGTTGATTGCTGTCTGTTATATTTTCATCTCGATAATTGTTTTTTCATAAACCAGGCAGTTGGTTTTCTCGTTTGAAGTGTTTCATGTTTTACCATGACGGGGCCTTTTATACCTGACTATATACGGTATGGGATTTGCTCATTGCAGAATGCGTTACAATGACCTATAGTTGTTCACACTAACGTCATATACTAGTGAATGAGTTTATCGACATCTATTGAATTCAAAGTACATTTGGACGTATAACTTAATGTTCTAGTATATTTTATTAGAGGTATCGTATATAGGTATAGATATCATTCACTGGTTTATATACAAATGGAACAGAACAATCGGTGATCAAGAAGTTGTAAGAGGAATGAACAATTTCCTATGAACATATTTCACAGCAGGGTCGTTTTCTAAAAGTCTTGCAATCTCAACCTAAATTCACAGTTCCATTCATTTGTATATTCATATGTGAACTGTAAGGTTTAGCTTGACCTTTTTATTACCAAAATATAGGCTTGAAAGATGGCTTAAAACTTTAATTAATGTAGTAAGAATGATTTTGGCAATTTTTTAGATTTTTGTTTAATCCAAACCAAAGTTGTATTGAAAGTATTTCTCCATATTGCCATTTAGATACAAATTAATTCATTTTGATCAATAATGTCCTTCGATGCAAAAAATGATAAAAACATGTACAATTTGCAATATAGACCTCAAAAGCATTTGGTTTAATGGAATCATGTAAACATGTTGATATTTATTTTAAGCATTTACGAATTCGATCAGGTTTAACATCTTTCTGATTCCACGTGAGAGTGAAACAAAAACACACCCTACTTTTTTTTGGTAACTAAACAAATGACAATACATTCACAAAGATGAATAATAAGTAATACAGACAGACAAAAAAACGCGACAAACTTGAAAACTTTGAATTGAGTAATTCCAATTGAACCAGAAAAGACGCCTTGCTTTAGGATGTTAGCATTGTATTAAGTTTTCCTTATAGCAAATGGGACTGGAATATTGACAAGAACTAAAATCTTTAATTGACAAAGATTATCCAAACAAAAGACGACTTAAGATATAATTTGAACATAAATAATGCCTTTTTCGCAAAACATGCATTAAAACCATGATAAGGAGATGTTCCAGTCTTTTTTAGCCAATTTTCGTACAATTTCTAAAAGGACACTGTCAGGACTGCCCTACGAAACCCCATGTCTTGTGGAATGCATCTTTATCTCGTATTCTTTTCAAACTTAACCTCTTAATTTGCCTCTAGTGTTTGAAGATTCTTTTTATGTACTCATGAAATTCCACAAAATTGATTGATACAGGTTATCAAGTTTTTAATCCTTTACTATCGTTGTCGTTCTTTGTAAGATCGAAGTTCACTAGAATTTATATCGTATCCGTCTTTTCAATATCTTTTTACGGCTTCCTAAAATACTGCTTTCCACCAACTGTTAAGAAAATAGATTTATACCGAATAAGAATACTAGTACATGCTTTCCAAAATTATCAATGGTATTATTGTACATAAATGGGAATGTCTCAAAACTTTTTTTTTTACGTTTTCTTCTGTCATTTTGGGATTATAGTAATGCATGTTACCTCACCAATTTAACACCCGTGACTATTTAGCTATTCTGAAAATAATATTCGTAAAAATTTCCATTATATACAGGAAGTAAATCTACGCTTTTTTTTTAACGAAGATTTAGATTAACAATTGTCTATTGCAACACACTGACACTAACAACTAGCTGTTTCATAGTGACTTTTGGCCTACATTCTATCTTTGAAATAGAAAATATCAATTCAATATCCACCTTGCACAGATCGCGTTTTAAGTTACAAAGCTAAAGCTAACCGATAAAAAATAGAAAAAAAACCCAACTGCTTTTAAAGAATAACAGTTTTAGTTCATAAACCTTTTTTTTGGTTAGACACTTCAACGCGAAGATCTTTTATTCATTTGATAGTATGACTACAAAATATTTAAATAAATAAAGTTTGGGACGATAATCATAAGGAGCAGCCCGACATTTATTCTGTAGGGTTGCAATAGAAAAACATCAACTGTCTTAAACCCAGATATATACAGAAGTCCTGTCTAAGCCTCGAGTTCTCGAGTTATTCTCTTAAGTAATTTGATCAGAAAGATGTCTGTCATCATTATTACCTATTTTCTCGTTAACCATGCTTTATGTGATCAAATATTAACAAGATTAGATTTGTCCTAAGCCATGTATGACAAGATGACACGATTCGATTTGTCTAAATTTTAGCTACGTGTATATTGCATTATCTAATTAAACAAGTTTGTTAAGTACGGCTTTTACATCAAATAAATTAAGTGAGCCAAAGTTGGACATTCTGGTGGAGAGTTATGAAGCTTCTGTAACATATTTTTCTTTGCGATTAAATTTATAAAAGAGTTTGAGTAATGCAATCAGATACTACATATATGAATAAGAAGATGAGGTATGAGTGCCAATGAGACAACTATCCATCCAAGTCACAATGTATAAAAAGTAAACAATTATAGGTCAAAGTACGGACTTCAACACGGAGCCTTGGCTCACACCGAACAGCAAGCTATATAAAGGGCTCCAAAAAGACTAGTGTAAAACAATTCAAACAGGAAAACCAACGGTCTAATCTATATAAAAAACAAGAAACGAGAAACACTTATGAACCACACCAAGAAACGACAACCACTGAACAACTGGCTCCTGACTTAGGAAAGGTGCATACAAATATATACAGTTATTTTCTTATATTGTTGTGTTATACTACTGTCTCAATTAAGAAGGAGCATTGAGCGCTCAAAAACATGTGTAACCCTGCGACAATCTTTATGACAGTTCCAAGCAAGAAGCCTATAATCCAGTGGTTGTATTGATATAAACTGTAAGAGTCTTACTCATTGTTGAAAGCTGTACGTTGAACACCTTCTTATGTTTATATTTGTCCCCAACGCAACGCATTATGGGGGACATAGAAATATCGGGCGTCCGTCCTTGGAAACATTAAATATATGGAAAATTGCATTGTTAGCGCTCTCATCTGTACAATTCTTGACAGAATTTTATGAACTTTAATCATAGGTTTATATTAGCAATGTATTTGACAAGTTTGAAAATCAGTGACGATCGATCATTTCTAAAAGAGTTATGCCCTTGGAAACATTAATTATATGAAAAATTGCCACATGAGCGCTCTAATGTGTACAATTCTTGCCAGATTTTTATGAAATTTATATTATAGGTTTATATCATCAACGTCTTTGACGAGTTCAAAAATCAGTGCCGATAAATAATTTTTGAAAGAGTTAGGCCCCTGGGAAATATTGATTATATGGAAAATTACATCGTCAGCGTTCTCATGTGTACAATTATTGCCAGAATTTTATGAAAAATTATATCATAGGTTTATATCAGCAATGTCTTTGAAACTTTCTAAAATAAGTGCTGATCAAATATTTTTAAAGAGTTATGCCCCTTGGAAATAATATTTATAATCTCATTGCATTTGCTCTGAAGCCTACATTTCTCTAAGATATTAATGAAAAGTTTTAAAGAACCCCAAAAAGTGCTTTTTTTAGTTACTGCTCTTGTACCTTAGATAGATAAAATATGTGAAACGCGGGGGACATTGGAACTCTGTTCTTTTATTATCTTGACTTTAAAAGATCTACATCAGGTTGTAATTGAAGTGAATGTTGTTTTGTACATTTTGGTGCTAAATTTACTTTTCCTTGTTCACGAAGATGTATAGAATGTTTTTTCCTGGTTTGTCTTGAATGCCATGACACGAACTGTGAGGACAAATGCATTATCCTGTGACAACGAGTATTTGCAACGGGATTTTAAATTAGTAGAAATTTACCACGGGTTTCTTCTATGAGCTAGATGTGACATGTAATGATGACTTTCTGTCTCATGTACATTTTTCATGTCATCAATATACAATTTTGCTTACATATTCCTTGCTCACATAGTGTGAAATAACAAAATGAATTAATTCCTGTTCCATGCCAATTTTGCAATTGAAACGGAAATGATTTCACAATATGCACTTCGGTTAGACGTATTACATTGTAAATCAAAGTACGAATCGCGACATTATTGATTTTGATTGCATTAAAATTATGATATGGACCAGAAATTAATATTTTTTCATACGCACTTTGAAAAGACTAATATTTTATTGCTGTGGTGGGGGAACTTGAGAAATTTGACTAATCTCGTATTTGTATCTCATTGGTTAACGGAGATCACACAATTCTGACATCATCAACAATTGGTTGACCGATACGAAGTGTATGTATTTCAACTCGCGACAGACTTTTTTTTTCGTGGGCTTATTTCTTTTAGATTGCAGAACAGCCGTCATATCTGTAAGATTACCGATTGTGCCCTTCTCCTATCCTAACATTTTGACTAGTCTGGATGAACATTGCGGAGGATGTATGCAAAGCACTGTTTGGAGTTTATGTGTTTCTCTCAGTTCTTGATATCTTGAATTGTACATTCAAAGTGGATTAACGAAGTTTGATCAATGTTGCCACTAATTTGTCTGAAAATTTACAATTGAAGATCAGAAACAGTTTCCTTTTAAACCAAAATTTTGTCTTGTATGAGTATATATCGTATCTCTTTTTAAAGTACGACGCATCCAAAGCTGAACGGGTACATGTAGATACTAGATACGTTATAACCCCCCCCCCCCCCCCCCCCCCCACACACACACATCCTTAAATATAGACTTAACGATTTAAGTTTATTATACATAGAAAGAGCGTATCCAATAAAAAATACAACAGCTAAAAAGTTATTAGGGAGCTACCATTTGATTTTTATGGGGGCTAGGATGAAATTTGAAAAAAATAGGCAGGACAGGAGTTTTGAGTTAAAAAAAAGGCAGGATGAGACACTTGCAAAAAAAAAAGTCAGGATAACAATTTAGGTAAAAAAAAGTCAGGATAAACTAAAAAAAAAAAGGCAGGACCGAATAGAGTAAAAAATAAAAAGGCAGGACAGAGATTTAAACCAAAATAAAATGCAGGACAAAATTTTTCATCCTAGCCCCCCCCCCCCCCCCGTAAAAATCAAATGGTAGCTCCCTTAAAACACAGTGAATGATTAGTTAACTTTTTGCATTCACAGATATACATTTTCAATGAAATTTTTATTCTTACAACAATTTTTATCAAAATAAAATCTTTTTTGCAACTACGATTAACAATTTTATTTAAAACTCTTTTATTTACGTTTTTTCATATGATTGACAGTTCCCTACTACAATGTCAGTTTCTTTGAAACTCTAATCCTCAATCAACTGGTATTATTAAGCCTTAGCCCACTCATAGTCTTTTGGAAATATCAAACGTGATAAAGTGTGATTGTGCAACACTTTGCAATCAACATCGTGTCCAGAAAATGTCAATATCGTTTATTCGCATGGTCTGCAATGGACATTTCTTACAAATTATACCGAGCACGAATGTCAGAAATTTCTTACGTTGTTACGGATATCCTTGATTAAGTTAGTAGCCGCATTGACAAGTATTATTTAAGTATTATAATTATAAAGACTATACTTTCAATAAATCTTTAGTAAATGTCTGCAGACACAATGCTCTGTTTAATATTGATAAGCAAATTACACGACACGTATTGATTGTCAATACCTTGAAAAAGGATGATAACTGTACTTGTTGGTTTCAGAATTTTCAGCTTACAGAGGTTTATAAATCAACTGCTTAATATATATATCCAACGTAGGTGTCCATTTAAAACCTTCGTATCTGTTATAATAGAAACCTTCCTGCGCAGTCGGCAAATTGATAGTGTTTACAGTTTGGCCTGGCAATAAGCTGGCAACAACATACATTTACTATTGACTGTTATGTCGACATATAAACTAATATCAATACGTGTTTTTGTAGACTGAAAATGACTACGACAACATATATATTGCGGTCTGTTTTATGTGTGTGTTCAAAAGCAACAATTTTACAATAAAATAATTTACATCGAGTCAAATACTTGTCTGTGGAGAGATGATAATGTTGGGTAGTTTTTCCTTAGTGCTATAATTGTACACTATCAACTGATGTCCAGCGATGATAACTAAATCCTACTAAGCACAGAGTCATGGGTTCTGTCCAATATATAACACGTTTATTGGACGAATAATGACGTCTAGACTGTAATAGATCCCAACTTGAATTAAAGGATTGTATATCTTGTTTAGTATCAATGGCCAACAAATGTCATTTGTTTTAATATTATGCACTTTTGGTTCTCATTTAAAATGATAAATAAGGTATCAAAACCGAAAGCATCACATACAGTCAGATTATATGCATACAAATAGTACAAATTGGAGAAATTTTGAAGAAACAAAGATGTAATCATCAGTCCACAACCTTGAGAAACACTGCGTTTTCTTTCGGAGCGGGGAGCTAAGGAGAACAAATAAACATTCGAGTATTTAAAGACAACGTATAACATCTATCAAGTTTTATTCAGCGTTATATATCTGTTCTTCGTATGTTTCATGATACATGGTTTATAGGAAACACATCGTTCTGCTGTTTTGAAATAATATATATCTGACTTTAAACAAAATCTTTCAGGACATATATTTTAAAGGGACATAACCATTTTCATTTTTGTATAACAAAAATTATAATCAATAAGTGAATTTATCTGAATGAAGAACGATAAAAACGCACAGGGTCAATTTATTTGCTAAATGTGTACAATAATTCTTTCAAGTTGAAAAAAGCATTTTATCTCAGTAATTTTACATTTCAGTACATAACCCAAACGTTTAAGCATGATTTCAGTCCTTAAGCGGTGTGAAACTGAAGTAAAGACGAGTAATAATAAATGGAAATACATTTTCTATAATAATCATTTGATCGTTTCTCTGTCATTATAGTTTGTTTATGAGTAAATCAAATTTTATGTAGAAACCAATTTATTTAAAAACGTTTTCGCAATCCGATTTCCTAATGCGTTCTTTTGATGTAAAAATTTGGCAACTTTGCTAAAGTGTAAACATATAATACATCAACACATACCGAACAACAAATTATAACGCAAAAAGCATAAAATTTGAGCTGCCAATATAACAAGTTGTTTGTTTCAGTCTGCAAATTGTCATTCTTATACTCATTATATTTGGGTAATGTACTTTAAAAACCTGTCATTTTAGTAGTAATTTACTCATGCATAAGATCAAAAATTGAATTAAACAGACTAGACTTTCTCTTGTGGATTTCCATTATCATTACTCGATCCAGTCATGAGAGCTAATGGTAAAAAAGGTCTAAAGTATTCTGCTTGGTGTACATATTTTGATTTTAAATATGTGTTCTCATTTGTTCATATAAAATAAAGTAAAAGCTTTTTGACCCTCTTTGTTTTAAAGACAGTTTGAATTTGGTTTCCCTTTGTTTTCATTTAATATCATGTCTGTGCTACTTTTGATTACCGATTGTTTTTAAAAAAGAATTTTTTGAAAAAAAGATTTGTGTAATGTTTGAAAGAACGTTTGTCTATGTTATTTACCCTTGTAAAAGTTTAACCAATATGCCAATTTTTAAACAGATTAGTGTATTTTGTTCTCTTGTTTCTCTATCATATCTGAGCATTTTATTCTCTAGATTCTCAAAAGGGAAAATCAAATAGTCCACATCGAACACACAATTTCCTGTCGGTACCGAGAAAGGTAAGTGTTAAACTTTGATCACATGAAGTAATTGGTTGTTTGATAATAATTGAAATAATTAATTCTAAGAACGAAATTGTCTTTTGTTCAGGAAATATGTGGAAGATGTTGTTAGAAATTACATTTTTTTTTATCAAAATTTATCTAAAAGTTCTGGTGACATTGTACTAGTCGTTTGTGTCACGTCAATATAGAAGTAATATGCCATTTATTGAAATAAATAACAATGCAATAGATATTTTTGCTGCCGATTTCACAACATGATGGAATCATTATTCATACGTATACATATACCATAGTTACTTTGGAAGGGAGCTATGCCAAGATGTAAAAACTGCAAAATGTCGGAGATGTGTACAAGCAATTTGATGATACCCCTAGTCCATAGGCAAGTACTATATCAAATTGTGGTCCACATCTCAGCACGAAGACAGTTTTTACATATACATCTACAATATTACGCTTCCACGCAAGCAACTATTGTGTTAATTTTGCTGGAAAAACAGACAATATAAATTAAATATTTTGTAAAAATTAAACTTGTCTATTTTTCTTTTCAAATTTGTTTGTCTGAAGGAAAGAGTTCAAATTGAAAACTTCAAAACCTAATTAGAAAGAACGAATTCTACAAACGACAATATAATTAAATTTCTTATTGCGTGATATCGATTACCGGATAATTTATGACTTTTCTTCGAAAATGTTTAAAATTTAATGAGTGGTGAATTATATGTTTGTTGTTTTGACCTACAAAGTTTATATGTTACAGTCAAAAGTTAATCATCATATTCAGTTGTATACAATCTGAAATCTGGAAATGGTCTATATTAGAAACCAAATGAACTGGTATCGATGAAACTCCAGAATAGTGTATACCATGTGGCTACTTTCAAGCCATACGGAAGCAAAGTAACAATACTGATATAAGGAAGAATAATGACAGGTTGATGTGGATGTAATTGCAAACATTCTTTTGGTAAATCATATTTTGCCTGATAGGACATATACTCATAACTCAATTGTAAATATAGTAGATCAGATAAAGTTTAATGGCCTTATTTGTAGATCAAAAGAAGTCGAAGCTCTGGTAGCGTGACAAGTGGGTCGGACGAGAGCGATAGTGAAGTATCACCACCTTTATCCAGACGAGGTCGAAGAGCTGCAATCGTGGATACTAAGGTAAAGCGACCCGTTGTTTTCCTTGCCGCATTAGTAACCCGTGTAGCAATACAATTTCTTTATCTGCTGGTTGTGCAATATCGTCCACGACAAATGTATTACAACTTAATCGCGTTCGGTTTTCGTTTGGGTGTTCCTTTGTTGGCCAGCACCAACTTTGGTTCTATGAAGAAAACATTCTTTTTCATTTTTTTAACGATTTACAGATTTGTTTGTTGTGTTATTAAGCTCTTTACATTTAAACATTTGAATCTAGTCGTGTGAAAACACAAGTTTGCTTAATTGGAAATTTATGAAATTTATTTGGTTCATAAGGCAACATTGTTTTCTATTTTTGTAATTGTTAACTACGTCATGTGCATCTTTCGTTTTTGACCAGACAATATATTTTTTCTCATGATTCCCCATGGTTGATCCTAGTAATTTTTCATTGAGTGCTGCAAGTGTACATAACTTGTGTCATTCGTAGGGCCAACAGTTTTGCTTCATTATTTTTTATTTTTTGCACAGCAATTGCACAAAGGATCAAATGGGATTTTTTTTTAGATGTTTGGGGTTATTTTACGGATTGTAAGTTCAATTACACTTAAAAGTATACATGTGTGTATAACAGATACCCTGAATGTAATTCATTTTCCAAAAATCCTACACAACTCATAATTTTGCAATAATTAGTTGTATCTGGCTTCAGTGCTTAAAAGATAAAACCACTTGTAAGTCTGATAATTTTCTTACCTACCATAGGAACTACCATTGGTCATGTTGTATTTTGAATCAGAGAAAAAGCAGAACTGTGTCCAACATGCCTCAGACAAAATTATGTGTTTAAATAGTGTAATAGTAGTCCATCTCTTAAAGCTGATTTGTTTTATGCAGGAGATGAAGAAATCACATGAAAAAAATTATAACAGGGTCACCAATTAATCATTTACAGATTAGATTTGTACTTTTAACATCATTCATTATTTCCTATATAACTTGTTTTACAATTTAAGTATTGTATCTTCATCCACTGCAGTCAGGTTCTATCTGTTTCCAACATAAATCATTGATTTTCTCATTTAAACATTAGTCGGTTATTACAATACAGAACTCACCACCTGCAGACCACTTCTTAGAAATTAATTGACATCATCTGGCTTTGTTAAGTATCACGTGACAAAATGAGATTTTGATCATTTAGAAGTTTTGTTTCCGATTCAATGTCTTTATGTCACCTCAAAATGGAATAATGAAAAAATAGTTGTTGCCTGTGATTGACCTCAACAAGGTTAAATGATTTGTGGAATGAAAAATAAGAAATTCCACCATTTTATGTTGTAATAGAAGAAAAAAAATCCATCACTTTATTGATCCGGCACAATGTATACACATTTTTATAAAAAAAAATAATCATTTTATTTTATTTTATTCCAGAATTTTGGAGATGTTTCTCCGTCGAATTTGTCACCTGAATTATCACCTAGTAATTCGTGTGATGAAGGAGAAACAGCGAGGTATGTTTCAATTAAGAATAATCAGTTACCACCTGTATATTAAAAAATCTCTTTTATTTAACATTCACATGAACCTAAACACAGCATGGATAGCACAAGCTAATTAGGATGACATTACAATATTATCGATAAACACATCCGCTCAAACCGGTGCTAAGGGGTCGTCTGTAATCAACAGTTAGATCTGAAAGTTTGCTCCGTATTGAAAAAGAGAGGCGAAAGATACAGAAAAACAACAGTACACAAAACACAACATAGAAAACTAAAGACTGAGCAACACGAATCCCACCAAAAACGGAAGGTGAAATAAAATACTGCAAAAGATTCATCAGTGTCGCACGAATAAAAAAAGTCAAAAAGGCCAAATAAATTACGAAGTTGAAGAGCATTGAGAACCCAAAATTCTGAAATGTTTTGCCAAAATAAAGCTACAGTAATCTACTAGCACACATTATTGTTTAGGGACCAGCTGAAGCCCGCCCTTGGGTCGGGGATTTTCTCGCTATGTTGAAGGCCCATTGGTGGCCTTTGTTGTTTTCTGCTCTTTGGTCGGGTTGTTTCTCTTTGACACATTCCCCATTTCCATTCTCAATTTTACTTAGTATTTCGAAAAAAATTTCAAAGTTTTGTAAACAGTGAAGTATATTTTGTAGTTCACCTTGTTTTGATCTTTGCAAAACTTGAGAGTTTGATATTTCGATTAAATTAAACAGTAAATACATTAAAAAAACATTCGGTGTAGAAAAAAATAAAAAACTGTTTCAATGGTACAAACTGTGCTTCTCATCTTTTTCATTTGAAAAAAATGAAAACAACAAGTTATGAATTTCATGTGTCTGAAGCGCTTTTCTGGAATTACCTTCATCGGGAACGCTCAAAGCCGAATATTTGAAAGCCAAGGAAAGAATGAAATGTATTCAAAAGCAACTGAAAGAATAGAAAAACAAGCAAGATCGTGATCAATTTCACACGACAGAACTTAATACTTGGCACATATCGAAATCGGAAAATCCAAGTGAAGTTGCAAGTTGACCTGCACGAAGAGGGAATAGTACACTTCCGTTTAGACACTTTTGGTTTGGTATGCTCTTATCTGAAATGTTTTGCCAAAATAAAGCTACAGTAATCTACTAGTACACATTATTGTTAAGGGACCAGCTGAAGCCCGCCTCTGGGTCGGGGATTTTCTCGCTGTGTTGAAGACCCATTGGTGGCCTTTGGCTGTTTTCTGCTCTTTGGTCGGGTTGTTTCTCTTTGACACATTCCCCATTTCCATTCTCAATTTTACTTAGTATTTCGAAAAAAATTTCAAAGTTTTGTAAACAGTGAAGTATATTTTGTAGTTCACCTTGTTTTGATCGTTGAAAAACTTGAGAGTTTGATATTTCGATTAAATTTAACAATAAATACATAAAAAACATTCGGTGTAGAAAAAAATAAAAAACTGTTTCAATGGTACAAACTGTGCTTCTCATCTTTTTCATTTGAAAAAAATGAAAACAACTCGTGATCAATTTCACACGACAGAACTTAATACTTGGCACATATCGAAATCGGAAAATCCAAGTGAAGTTGCAAGTTGGCCTGCACGGAGAGGGAATAGTACACTTCCGTTTAGACACTTTTATCTTTCAAAATTTGATCTCGAACTCTCCGGATGGTAAAGTTGTTTGTATAAAGATAATATCAACCAGTTTTTGTTATATCGATATTATTAAGTTCAGCCTTTGTTTTTTTTTTATTGTATTGTTCGTTTGTTCTCTTTTCTTTATTGATATTTCATTTATTGAGATACTAAGGGAGGATAACTTCCTCGAACAACTGTTTAACCCTACCTTATATCCAGGTGTCTATTCCAATCCAAGAACCTCTATAGTGTTTGTCGTTGTGTCTATGTTTTTTTTTGTTTATTTGTGAAAGTAGCATTCTTTGATGAATTCACCAACGACTTCTTTTTAGACTAATGCCAATTTAGAACCTAGTATTGACATTTGACTCCCATTTATACAATTGTGTTGACAAGTACATGACTTTTATATATGTATATGGATTTCTTCTTATTGTTATTTACCTCATTTCCGTTTTGAATATTCCTTGGAGTTTGTTTTTTTACTTTTTCCAACACTTATTCATATTCAGCAAATATTTAGACATTCAGGTCAAAGTTGTATTAACTTTAGCTTAATGTCAAAACTAGGTGATAGATTGCTGAAATTCTCTTTGTCTGTTGTTTTTACCATATATGTCCGACATTTTGTTTGGAAAGACTTAACGTCTTATTCGAATTTAATTGGACTTGGTATAGAACCGCTTAATGGATCATATCCACACAACAGCAAATCTTAAATTATCGACCAACTCTATCTATCGTCTCCAGGATTTCAAGCATGTGCTTTCATTTACATCGTTTTAATCAGGTCATTTGGTATTATCATAAGTCCTGGAGTACAGCTTTAATTGCTACACTAAAAACCCGTTACTTCAGAAATTACCTTTATTGTTGCATAACGTAAATTGCAGGAATTATTTCTAAAGATTCAGTTTAATTGATCGTAAAAGTATATAAATTAACCACTATTTAATTCGAGGAAATTTCTTTGAAACAATGTTATCCATAAAACATTTCATTTAGATTTAGATTTTTAAAGATCCCATTTAATGTTTAACGTCTTATCGTAGAGGTGTATAAATTAACCACTATCAAATTAAAGAACACGCCTTTCAAACAATATTACCATTAAAACATTTATTTGAGATTATGACTATTAGCGTCATTACTAATGATTTCACCCACTGATTAATTAAGGATTTCAAGTCATTTCCTGTCATTACAATGCCTTCCAAATGATACTTTACTGGTTGCACTGATATAATGCCTTTAATGTAGAAAGGCCTGTGGGGGTACTAGAACTGTATATTTCCTACAGTTTTTGGTTCAAATCTTTTAAAACTCACTAAAATAGATTTCTCTTTACAAATTAAAGTTTAGTATGTCAGTGTATGTTTCTTTAACCTCCACCAAGTAACGAATAGTAAAGTCCTGGTATAATTTAAATGATACATTTGTTTGTAGATAGCTATTTAGTAAATTTTGTACTTTTGTTCAAAAACTAAGGACGGAGCTGCCTCAGGCAAAATTAACTTTGGAAGTATTTGCTGTTCTGTTTGTTTGCCGTTTTTGTTTATATGCTGTCAAATGTTTTATATTGTTGGCTTTCCAAACTTTTGTTATCGAGTCTATCAGTGAAGGATTTTTCAGAAACCTTTTTATGAAATTTTCCAATTGATGAGGGACTTTGCCATGTTTTGTAAGACCTCCTTATTTTTAATTACCTTTAAATACAATTTAACCTCCATTTAAACATGTATACGTCTTAGTTGAGAACATTTCTTACTATTGTACGAATTACTTTGCCTAAACAAATCAAAAGGAACGCATTTTTTGTAAAGTTAGATCTGTATTTTATTATCGATTATATACTTAAATCTGGATAACAAGTACCTTTCATCCTTCAATTTAACAAAAATCCATTAATTGTGTGTCCCTTTTATTTGAGCCTTTGACTAAAAGTTATTGCTACGAACGAAGTTTAATTTGACTCCGAAACCACGGTGTTTTACTGCAATCCCTGTAATATGATCTGTAAACAGGAAGAAGTAAACTTCCTAGAAATATTTTACTCTGTGTTCGATATAAGTGTAAAACATTTCTACAAAAAAAGTTATTTATAAAGCATCGTCATATTTAAGGTGTCATGCCTTCAAACTATTAAGACTCAGCATTATTGTTACAAATTCCACCTGCCTTCATTTTTTAACTGCGTCTGAAAGTCAATGACTTTGACGTTTTAGGCGATCTACTTTTAATTCGGTATCTAAATTGGCTAGGAAACGACGACATAATAGCAAATAATTATTAAATTATCATTCACTGCAGTAGACGTTTTCTCTTCAGCCACAAAATAAATATGACAGTTTACAAATTAGGTCTGTCAGATCGCTGAGGTTGGTCAAATACTAGTACAAAGAATTCTTCATGTCGAAATGTAAGACAAACCTTTAACCCTTACTAAATCTAAAGGCAAAAAAAGAAAATAGGACAGAAGACAAAATCAGTGGACATGTACATGTGCATTGGAACGTCCTTGAAATGCAAATATTAAGCACCTGAGACCACCCCCAGTTTTTGGTGGGGTTCGTGTTGCTCAGTCTTTGGTTTTCTATGTTTCGTTTTGTGTACTGTTGTTTGTCTGATTGTCTTTTACTTTTGTAGCCATGGCGCTGTCAGTTTATTTTCGATTTATGAGTTTGAATGTTCTTTTGGTATCCTTCGCCTCTCTTTTATAATACTTTATTTCTGCATCAATCTGCATATTTTAGATGTGTAATGTTTGTATTTAATATGAAAATAATTAACACTACCACGCCAATTCTCTGAAACTTCCTTTTGCCATTATAATTAATAGTTCTTAATTTTGATATACAATTTTTTATATTTTAAGTCCCATATTGAATAAAAGCAGACAATAGTATGGACAAACATTTATGACTAAAGACTTAAAAGTCAACAAAACACAACACAGAAACCATTAATTGAGTGAAAAAAATCACCAGAAGTAATGAGCAAAATCTATAATTGGTGCACCGAAATATAAACACATTCGTATCCACAAGTCTCGCTCGTTTTGTTGATCAAGAAAAAGGTGAACATCTGGTGACGGTCATAAACGAAAAGCGCGACTATTGCTATGACATACGAACATATATATCATTACAAAGATTTTCTCTAAGTGATAACTAAGTAATGAAAACGTCTGCAAAACTTTCAATGAGATGAACTTTACAAAGAGTAACTGAAATGTGTAGTACACTGGCTGTCAGTATTATGTATTTCCAAACAAGCTTATTTGTATACGTTTCATTACAAGAACACAACAACTAAAAAAAAGATGCGGAGAAAACCATAAATTTTACACATCAACTATCTCAGATTTTTTATGAACGTCATGTACCTGTATACATATACATAAAAATATGTAAAAGGAAAAATGCAGTTTACTTTAGTTCTAAATATGAAATGTATTATATAATAAGAGCATCAGGCGGCAGAAGGGATCATAATGATATCCTTGCAAAAACAGGAAACAATATATCATCTGTATATAGTGATCGATGACTTGCAAACAAATTACAGCAAGAAGTGGTCATTACTATGACCAGTTAAAACTTGTCATTTCCTTGAGGTTTATTCAGATAACCTTTTCAGTCGACTTGTTTTGAACAATTGTAAAAGCAATATGGCGTTAACTGTTCTTATAAATCATATGCATTTGATTAATAAAAAAATATGCTTACGTTTCAGTAACCTGACATCACGCTTGCGGAGAAGGCGAAGTTCAGTCGAGTTGGCAATGAACATCTACCCCGGTGATCTTTTAGTTCAGGAACACCATAAACGATTACTCAAGCGCAATACAGTAGCTGATTTCAATACCTTACGGAACGGTTCTAGTCAAAGTATCAGCGATGGTGAGTAAAATTTGCACTGTCAGATAAAAGTATTCGCATTATTCACATTATATTTTCAATTTATTTGAAATCAAGATTTTTGCAATAAATACTAAAGGATTGTTAGCTAGTACCCTGGGAGACATGGATTTGGCAATTGACATTTTCAGACTATTATGATAATGAATTTGTTTTGAAATTTGAGCCAAAGATAATGTCCTGGTTGAAGAGGTACAGGTACCCTGATGATCTGTAGTGTTTGAATCTATAAATTTCTTATTGTGTGTGTTCATTCCAGTTTTCCAAAATATAATTATTCAGCTTACTCTTGAAAATGAAAAAAAAATAATTGGGGCCTGGTTTACGAAAGTATCTAACGTTTAATGCATGTCCTAAGATGATCTTAAGACGTATCATAGTCCCTAGTGATGTTTTTGAAAACTATTTAAGTTAAAATAAATCGTAAAATTAACCGTAAAGTAAGGTCACTAAAGTTCAAGTTTTAAGATAGTCTGAAGATGATCATATAAATATAAGAAGATGTGGTAAAATTGCCAATGAGACAACTCTCCACCAGAGACAAAATGACATAGAAGTTAACAACCATAGGTCACCGTACGTCCTTCAACAATGAGCAAAACCTATACAGCATAGTCAGCTATAAATTGCCCCGAAATGTTTTCCTTTTAAATTGTATCGATAAAATATCAATTTGATACCAACCGAATTAGACTTATCATCGGGTTTGTACTAACATGAACAACACGACGGGTGCCACTTGTGGAACAGGATCTGCTTACCCTTCCGGAACATCTGAGATCACCCACAGTCATTGGTTTTCTATGTTGTGTTTTGTGAACTGTTGTTTGTCTGTTTCCTTTTTAGCCATGAATTTGTCTGTTTATTTTCGACTTATGAATTTGAATGTCCCTTTGTAATCCTTCGCCTCTCTTCAAGGTGTAATTTAACAATGTATTGTATTCAAAATTATATTTTATACTGTCAACGTCAAGTTATGAAATATACATTATCGTGTAATGCTTACATGTATAACTGATATTCATGCAGCGGCTTGAAAGGAGGTATAATGAATGTTGGTTAAATTGCCCCTAAGATCAAAGAAATGTCAACAATTTCGGATTTTTAGAATACAATATTGAATGAATTTAGTTTGATAAAAGAATTCTGTTGTGGTTAGAATATGCCTTTATTATGAGTTATACAGCCATGAAATGATTAAGACATCTTAAGACAACTTTGATTTACAGTCTAAAATGTAACCTAGGATGTTCCTATGATAATTCTAAAATCTGTCCAAGGATATATCTTTGGACTGGTCTTTTAATTCTTTCGAAAAACCAGGCCACAGACTGAGAATGACAAACAAACAAACCACATTTATTACTTACACCAATGCTAAGTATTATTATATGTACATGTTTATTGACTACTATTTCCAAAGAGACATCAAATTAAAATGTAATCCTTAAATGTTTACTTTCAAACATCAACAGTGTTCTTTTAAGAATCTGAAGTGTTCCTAAGAAAATGTTAAATATATTTTCTTAGGGTTTACTGAGAAAAAAGTTATTCTCTTAATATTTTCTTGTCGTCTATACTAAAATAGAAAAAGGAAAAGTGTCACCACTCTAGACATATCTGACAGATTTAATCAATAAAGTGGAATTTCTTTACACTTTAAAGGTTCCGTTTCATATTTATTTTTTCTACTAAGATACTTCATCTGTTCTGATTAACGTATTTACGGATTTATGTGTTTTGGTAATGAACGTTTGAGCTTGATATTTGACATGCCAAGTACGTTTACGATTATTGACAAACTTAGTCTTTCAAAAAAGAAAAAAAAATGCATTAGAAAGATGCGCAATCTACGAAAAAGGACAACAATTCATACAAAGAAAAGTGATTACTTATTTTACTGAAGCGTTATATTATACTTAAAATACTTAGATTTTAAAAACACAAATCAGTGACTACTTTGAAATTTTTTAATGATATATTGTTCATCATAAACGCTATGCAAATACTGTTGGAATTTTTAAAATAAACGTCATGACTATTTTTGGCTTTTAAAAACATATACCTCATATGTATTTTTCTCTTTAGCTTTCCAAATTATTTGCCATGAGTGTTTTGACGACGTTAAGTCGAAAAGTATTCGGTGAAACAGCCTATTCGCCACTTTTTACATGAAACCTGCCAGATAAGACATTCATAGAATTAACGGTATAAATTTTACTACACCAGATGTGAATTCGACAATAATTGTCACTTCAGTGATGCTCGAGGCCAAAATATTTGAAAATCCCAACATTTATTAAAAAATGTTAGAACCGATAAAACCAAAAAGATAAAAGTAAAGCCAAAGCCGAGCAAGAAATGAGAGCTTTTAATAACCCATTAAAACTGGATTAGCTGTAACATGTTCAATTCTGATGGCACATTCTAACGACTCGTACCAAACAGAATGATTTCATGGAAAATGGTAGAAGAGTTTCAGTATCAGTTTCAGTAAAGTACATTCTCCCTTGGAATATCCTTTACAGAATAAGATAATTGTGAATACCAAAATATTAATTTCCCGTTGTTGTTGTTTACGTAGTTATTTTTTATCAGAGAACGATGAATTTTTAAAGAAATTATGCACAAATGTGTTTAGAAAATATCAATAAAAGATTTTTGGGAAGGTAAATATCTGTTATATGAGGTTGAATGCTTTTTAAACTCCATTCATCAGTACTCATTAGCCAAATGTAGCGCGTTCGACAAACAATTCAATTGCAACATGCATAGCCAGCAGTAGGGAAATCGAATACTCAAAAACGATACTGAAACCCTGGAGAATACAAAATCAAGATTGTATACCAATTCACATTCCACTTCTATATGAATCATTTGATATGCTTCTGTATGAATCATTTGATATAGCGATATATATCTACGAACAATTTTCTAAATAAAATTCTATATATTAAATCACACTATCAAACGCCACGTGATAAATTTAACGTGTCCTGTGACAATGATTATTGGATTAGGAATAATATTTCTTCATGGAAGTATGAAACAATATGGGTCAATCAAATTATCAAAATGTTTTTGTCGGGTAATAAATGTAACAAATGTTCCATAATGCATACTTAATAAATTGTACACCATAAGATATGTCTTTCTAGTTTGCTTTTACTTTAACCACGTAAGTGAAATTACAATTAATCCTTTCCATACCATTTGCATAAAAATAATGAAATTGAAAGATACTAAAGGGACGTTCAAACTCATAAGTCGAAAATAAACTGACAACGCCATGGCTAAAAAAAAGACAAACAGACAAACAACAGTACACAAAACACAACATAGGAAACCGAAGACTGAGCAACACGAACCCCACCAAAAACTGGGTGTGATCTCAGGTGCTCCGGAAGGGTAAGCAGATCCTGCTCCACATGTGGCACCCATCGTGTTGTTCATGTTAGTACAAACCCTGTGATAAGTCTAATAAGGTCACATTCGGGGGAAAAAGGGAACGGGATTGTAGTTACGACATTTGGAACATATCCGTTGTCATCTGTGAAACGGATATTCCGTAACGATTAATCAACTCGTGATGGCGTCCGTAAAATTTACGAAGGGACGATTTCAACTTCAACACTTGGAACTCTTGGTTTAATAGCTTCCTTATGAGCAGCAAACCCTCTATCAAGGAATCATGATAGGAAATACAAGCCCTGGAATATCGTTTCAACTGGGAGATATATACTCTGTATGCAGGCGTAAAGTTTTGTTTTCAATCGACCATCATTGTCAATTTCTAGATGTAAGTCAAGATATGCGACAGACTTAACTGTATTTGTTGTATACTTAATCTCAAGTTCGATGGGATAGATGCGTTCAAAATATTCACCAAATTTTGAATTACATGTATTTAGTGAGAGAACAGCATCTATATATATATAGCGGAAAGTGAAATTAAAGTATACTGCTATTTTTTTTATTCTTTCTTCCTAAGAAGTTAAGGTTATTTTTAATAAAATACAATTATGGTCGTTTCAAAATTTTCATCAACACTTTTAAATAATTCAGGCAACCGTAATTAGCTGATGTTCAAATGTCATAAATCAAATAGAAGGAAAATCAAGGTAACAAACAAAAACTGAGAAATGGCACGAACCCCAAAAGAAGTGTGACCTGGTGCGTCTTAAGTGTACGGCTGGGATTACTGTAAATTCGGAAATTATTGCGTGCATTTATTATTATAGTTTTTGAAGAATGGACAAAAATGCGAGATTATTTATATTTATTTCAGGAAAATCTTCTTAAAAATATATGTTTCCAATACAGAATTCGAGTTCTTTTAATTGTGAAACTCGTACAGTCGTATTATTCGCAGTAATAAAAATCTCTCGATACTTTCTGAACTTATGGATGATGCCGTGTACACTTGTTAGATGAAAGACTCTTCACGATTGAAAAAAAAAATAACCTACAAATTATATTGTCATGTTTCATGTGTAATATAAAGTATAATACCTATCTCATTGCACACGACACGCTCTGAAATAACTACTTAACAGTACTAAAAGTGTCTCTAAACAACCCTTTTAAAAGAATATTATGGAAATGTGATGTTCCCGTAAACAATGCCTGTATACGTAATAAATAATCCTATCAAAACTTGAAGGTCGTTTTATCTACAGTTTATCTTTTCCAATAATATAAATGCTTAAAATACCACAAATATTCCTTGAGGATCAATACTGAAAACATTTGATTGTCGTGAAAACTTAAGGATATACATAATATCGTTACATTAAATTATCACTGCATCATCCTCCATTATGAACGATAAGAAAGAGAAAATAGTGTCAAGCATGCTGCTGGGTAGAATAAAAATCCTTCATACTTCTGAACACTATTATTTTTCTTTCTAAATAATAAAAAAACACATGTTAAAAAAAGATTTTTGCTCTAAAAAATGATGTTCCCTTGTATTTTTGTATAACTAAAGTAATCCGTGCGGCGTAATTTCGTCCAACATTTGTGTTCGTTGAATATATAGTAAACTGTTACTAACATGTTTGTTCTGCTTGGTGGTGTAAAATATCTTACCCCGATTTTCAAAGACAAAACATATTATCTTCTTTAATAATAGTATGCATTCCTCTTTAGAACCATTCTTTGTTGGTTAATAAATAAAGGCAACAGTAGTATATCGCTGTTCAATAGTCATAAATCGATTTAACTTAAACAAATTCCGAGTCACAAACAAAACCGAGGGAAACACATCAACTATAAGAGGAAAACAACGGAACAACAGAAACACTGAACTGCTACAAAAACAAACGGCAACATACATAGAAACGGACTATTTGATAACAACTGCCATATTCCTGACTTGGTACAGGATATTTTTAGACAAAATTGTGGGTTGAACCTTGTTTTATTGTTAGCCTAACCTTCCGCTTATATGGCAATGTTAAAAATACCGCTAAAATGACAACATTACGTGACAGGAATACAGTACAAGTACAATCGTTAGAAATCATTATATTATTTTGTAACCTTTAATTCAGGCTTATTTTTGTTTAATCATTATGTACCACGATTTACAACAAAGAGAGACAGGCCTCAGCACTTGATCTTTTACAGTAAATATATAATTCTACCTAATAACTGTTTCCTTTGTTTTAGATGGCAAGAAAGGGCGACAGTCTTTTTCTTTACTGAAACTTGTGAGTAAATTTTTTAACTTATAATAAGATTGAAATCCTAATTTAAGTAATAATCAGACTCCTGCTTAGATAAGTAAATTTTAACACAAAGCATATTGAGATGTAAGACAGAAAATAAGGAAGGAAGGTATCGTAATTGTCGCGTATGTTTAGAGAAAGCCATAGCATATTCATTTTAATGTCTGGGTATATGATCCACTAAAACCAGGAATTATTTAATTGACAAAATAAGTATTGCCAAGTGCCAATAATGTGAGCAAAAGAAGGCATTGTGTGCATAATCTGGCCAGTTAAAAAGTTATCTAAATTCTGAATATTTTTAACACACCACAGTAAAATTAAAAAAAAGTATATATAAAAAGTAAAAAAACAACGATACCGAACTCCAGGGAAAATTCAAAACGGAAAGTCCCTTATCAAATGGCAAAATCAAAAGCTCAAACATATCAAACGAATGGAAAACAACTGTTATATTCCTGACTTGGTACAGGCATTTCCTTATGTAGAAAATGGTGGATTAAACCTGATTTTATAGCTAGCTAAACCTCTCACTTGTATGACAGTCGCATAAAATTCCATTATAATTGACAACAATGTGTGAACAAAACATACAGGCATAATAGGTAAAAATGTCATATATGTTTTAATACACCACAGTGATTTTTTTTAACGCAAGACCTTTGAAGGTATGCATTAGATATGTAACACAAACTTCAAATTCACTATTACTAGTACTATTACTAAAAGCTGACAGATTGATATGTAATGAAGATCAGGGAGAGATTATATGCAATACTTTTATGGCGCTTTGTGATTTTCAAATTCTAGGATTATTATTGGCTTCATCATAACTTCCCCTTTCCATGTGGCAGTATAACGACAAAATAAATTTGTTCTGCTTTAAATCAATGATAAAAATGAAGATGTCACCGATATTTAAATAGATTTCTGAGGTTAATCTTTAATGCTATTACCGTAATTCCTTTCCAGATGAGATCAAGAAGTAAAGAAGCCATTGCAAAACTTGAAGATCTCTTGAGTGTCTTAAAGCCTTCAGAATTTAAAGATAATCACCTCTTGGCATATAAGGTTTGTATTGTTATAAAGTTGATTTTTGTCTTGTATTGACGGAGTCAAAAAACGAGACATAGGTATGCTATTTCCGGCGTCGTCGTCGTCGTCGTCGGCGGCGGCGTCAACAATGTATTAAATTTTGATTAGGTCTAGTTTATGGTGAACCACAAGTGGTAGGTCAATGATATTTGGTATGCAGTTGTATTAGCATTGACACATTTCATTTCCATGGAGATTATTTGGCCTTGCCCCCTCAGTCATGGTCTATTGACTTTGAAACTTTTGCTTAGTTTACATGTATTAGTTTGTGATTAGGTCAGTTCAAGGGGAACCATTAGTGGTAGGCCAATGTTAATTGGTATTCAGTTGTATAAGCATTAGCACATCTCATTTCCATGGAGAATATTTGGCCCCGCCCCCTCAGTCATAGTCTATTGACTTTGAAACTTTTGCTTTGTTTACGTGTATTAGTTTGTGATTAGATCAGTTTAAGATGAACTGCTAATGTTAAGTCAATGATATTTGGTATGCAAATTTATTGGCATTTGCAAGTATCGTTTCCATGGAGATTATATAGCCCCACCCCCAAAAAGTTTTACCAATAGCATAGTTTAGCACATCAAAGTTATATTGTTTACTCCTCAGCAAGTGCTTTATTACTTGAGCTGATTCTTTGCCAATAGTTTTTTTCCTGGTGCTAAGATCCGTCTCTCCCTTATTGTATACTATATGCGTTGTACATGTTTGATTTCATTGTTACATTGAGCTGTCGAATAGTGGATAATGGTGTTTAAAATGTTTGACATTGTTTGGATTCAATCTATTGGCTTTCATATTTACGATACATGATTAGAATGGACGCAAGAATATCATAAAAAAATAAGAAAAATAGGGTTACAGAGTGTAAAATCATAATTGTACATTTATATCTTTGATTATGTTTGATATAGTTATCATGCTTCCATTACGCTCAAGCTTAGATAATTCTTAGTCAAGATTTCATATCAATTATAAAATCTAAAACGTCTCACGAACATACACTTTTTTTCTCAAATCAATACGGATATATCTGAAGGCTTATTAACTTATCAGAACAGAAGATATGTTTTAATCCTTTTTATTATTATATAGTTTATTTATGAAGCCAAATAGTAAATTGAATGGCTACTGAAACAGGAAGTGTATCCAAATGAAACAGGATGTCGAGTTCCTAATTAGATACACTTAATTTGTTGCCTGTTTTAAATTTTTTTCCTGTTTTTAAATTCTTAGCTGTATTTGGCAAAACCTTTCGGAATTTTGGGTCATCAGTGCTCTTCAGTTCATACTTTACATGGCCTTTTTAACGTTTTTTTATTCGAGCGTCATTGATGATAGATATAAGAAGATGTGGTATGAGTGCCAATGAGACAACTCTCCATCCAAGTCACAATTTGCATAGGTAAACCATTGTAGGTCAAAGTACGACCTTCAACACGGAGCCTTGGCTCACACCAAACAGCAAGCTATAAAGGGCACCAAAAAATGACTAGTGTAAAACCATTCAAACAGGAAAACCAACGGTCTAATCTATATATAAAACGAGAAACGAGAAACACTTATGAACAACATCAACAAACGACAACCACTGAACATCAGGTTCCTGACGTAAGACTATAATAAGGTGTGGTATGAGTCTTTTGTAGACGAAATGCGCGTCTGGAGAACAAAATGTTAAGACTGGTTTCAATGATGAGTATATTTAGTGATTTTGATTTCGATAACAATCAAAAGATGTGGCGTGTGTTTGCATTCACAACCATATTACTTTAAACCCATTTATTATAATTATTAATCTTTTTGAGAAGCTGTCTATGAAATTGGAGAATTGTTGAAGACATGATTGTCGCTTATTTTTCTGATAAAATACAGTGCTTTTGCAACCTTTGTTTCTGTTTAGAATTTACATTGGTCAGATCTGATAGCCTGCTCAGATAAGCAACCAGACCACAACGAACAAGTTATAGGGATAGAAAGGAAAAGAAGGGAAGCCGTTTGGGAATTGTTTAAAAGTGAATGTGTATTCCTCATAGACCATCTCATGGTGATTAAACATGTATGTATGATTTATCGATAATGTTTTGTGGTTTATGGAAAACGTTATAGGCAAATGCCTGATCTTGTGACGGATTTGTGCCGCTTTTAACTATCAGTTATGCAGTCATTCTTTAAATGTACTTTTCATAGAATCAAAAAATCATCCAAATAATGTTTTCTTTAATAGCAAACTGAGCTCATATTAAGTCTGACGTGGTGTGTAAAATCATTCATTCACGTACTATTAGATTCAGACCGAATACATTCTACAAGAAATATAACGGGCGTTAACTTTGTTAAAAAAAGAACAAACATAAACAAATGTTAAAATTCGAAAACCATATGTAAGAAACCAAAGATTTTTTATTGCCTTTTCAATTGATAATAATATTGTCCTGTACTTGCAAAATAGATAGTGTTAGAAAATGTAAACGAAAACAAAAACATATATTAATTTGTGTTCAGATCATCAAGCTTTGAAATTTTGCTGGAACAGGAGTAATCTTTACTAAAGGATTTGAAAAAAATATGTGGTCATTCTTTATAATCACAAATAAAAGGCAACAATGTTTTAACGATATTCAATCTCGTAAATTCATTTTGAATATGCCACTCAAGATAAAACTCCGACGAAATCGCAGGAACAGAGCGAGACCGACAAGGTAAACGTCTCCTGCTGTGCTGGAGTTAGACACTATCCAGACCCAGTCAAGATGTCACGATATGGCCTAGACTCAATCAGCAAATGTCTTAAAGGACCATTAGTCTTATATCTTATGATCTAAGACTGCGAAAACATATCTCGTGTAAGGTATAAAGGCATAGGGTTTTCACCAATAACTCCTGTCATTTAGAAAGGTTGCAAATTGTAAGATCAAAGTTTATTTCGCCTTTTTGTTCTCAATTTATCGTATCACCTAACTCAAAAAGCATTATAAGAAAGTTTCAAAATGGTATCTTTTGACCTCTGTACAAACGAAACACGAAACGTGTAATAAATGTGGTAAAAAATCTCTATGATCGTACGTCGAAGAAGTTGAGGGTCTTCCACAGTCAGTAGTGTGGTACATGTATATACGTTACTTTCACTTTCGGGATATGAGGCTGGGAAAGACATTTCAGGTATATTTGAATAATTAATTTTAATTATAATGAATCATTTTATTAGAATCAATTGATTTGCAAATACTGTCATTCATGGCTGTTATTACTGCGTTATGTGGGCAGATATTATTTTGGTAGCCACATACGTCAACATTGTTTATGTCGCAAACGGATATCAGCAAATGTCTAATGTTAATTTTCTCTGAATAATTTAGTTTTTGGTAATGACAAAACCGATAACGATGTTTCAGGAATAATGATATATTTTTTTTAGTGCTTTATGGAACCACTGAAGAAGGTCCAAGTAGAAGGACATCTTATGTATGCTGAACCACAAGACATTTTTGGAAATCTTGATGAGATATGTTATGTAAGTTTAAAAGATTTATTTCTGAAACTATTTAAAGGCCAGAGACGGAGTTATTGCTATCTGGTCCCATGAAACTGTGAAAGTTGTGAAATTTTGCAAAAAAGAAATAAAGCAGTCGCTCATATATCTAGACATTATGTTAAATACATCTTAAATTTATAAATATTGATATCTGATCTATTTATAAAAGCATCTGCTATAGATGTAATTCTTTTGTTTTTCGAATGCATAGAGTCAAAACAAGTTGTATTATGATATCGTCTACTTACATACCATACATAGATCTGGCACCGTATCCAGGTTGGGACTTGCTCAAAGTAAGGCAATAAAAACAATATTCAATTTAGTTATGGACAATGAATTTCTTTTTTTTTTTAATTTTTTACACTTGTTTAAAACCAAAGAGTTTTCAATATTCAAGTTATGAAATTAAAGAGAGCAGTTATTTTTAAGTGTCTTTATGCACCACAATCTGAGTGAGTAAGTTCATATACTTTTATAAGTTCGAAACACACATTTATAAGAAAAAACGCAAAATAATAGAAATTATGATGCTTTTATTTAATTACTATTATACACTTACCAATGATAAATTTCACTTTTTAACTAGTTCAAGTTCAAATTCACACAAATTGTTGAAGAGGACATTTGATCTTTGAAAACATTTGGTCCCATATCCCAAAAAATGCGTATTACGTAATTTATTCAAAATATTATTTTCGTTTAAGGTGAGTTATACGTTCTGTAAAGACTTCATTGCAGTTTTATTGAAAGATATGAGTTCGTCAGGATTTGGAAGTACCCGAGCATTGCTGAAAGCTTTCGACAGGGTAATTATCTAAATATATAGAGACATAATGCATGAAAATGAAGACTGTACTTATTATCCATATCACAAGGAAAAGGGTTACTCTTGAGCATTTTAATATTTAAAGTATAATTACCCACCATTTGCTTCGGCAAATGCCTGTACCGAGTCAGGAACAGTTGTTTTCCCTTCGTTCCGTTTGTTAATATAGTTTAGCCTCTGATTTTGTCAGGTTTTATGGCTTCCCCCTTTTACCGTGGAGTTCACTATTTTTGTTAATACCTTTTGATGTTATAACATCTACTTATATATCATCTTTACAAAAGTGCTTGTCACATTCATTTGCGTGTTTGTTATCTGTTGTTTAAAAACATGCAGGATATTAAAGCATGGTTGCTAATTACAGGAATTAACTTTCTTCGGTTTTTGAAATTTGATCAGCGCAACAGACAAGTCAATAAATGTATTGCATGCAGTAGTTAAAGTCAATTTAAGTATTCCTTATATAGCTTTTCATTTAAGATTTTTCGTTATAGGAACTAGGTCAAGCAATCTGTTATATTGATGGATGTCTATTTAATCTGTACTTTATTTCGTGTTCGTTCATATAACTGTCTTTTTAAAAGCATTAAGACATTAGTAAAAAATGGAAGATACCTGTGTTTGAATAGACCAGGCAGCCGTACTCCATAAATACATGTAATATGAATGTTGCTTTGATGGTTTGAAGACCCGTTAAAACAGTAGAACGCCCTACACTACTGTAGGTCCGCGTAGATCTTATTAATTAATTCAGTCCAAAGCCGAGGGTCAAACTTTTTTACTGTGATAATATATCTTGTACATTAGAAAATATCAATAAATGTTTGATCTAGTAAAAACAAAATGTTTGAGTGCATTACATATTTATTTGTTATAAATCTAACAGATATATTCTATGCTTGAAGCGGATAAAAGGAATATTTTGTTTTGATCAGAATTTGCTATTTAGCAGGTACATGTTACATGCCTGTAACTAACAATACAGATAGTATAGCTTCAAAACCGACCTTTGAAATTTAGCTTCCTGTGGTTCTAACACTCCAAGACACAGTTTCAAATTTCGTATGATTAATAAATGTTTAGGTTATGTTATGTTATATTAAATAAGAAGAAAATTCCAACTTTAATCAAAACAGAGGAAAATCCACTTTTGCAACTGCATTGCTTTTAAAATTGATAGGGATCAGTTTCAACCTGTTATTTTTTCGATGTTAGTCTCTGCGTGGGTTTGAGATACATTTTTACGTGTGTTTATTTTTCTAATCATAATGTCAGTTTATATATCTCAGTTTTTACTAAAAGTGTACAACTATCATTCCACGTATTTTGTCGTCCTTACCATTTAAACAATTAAACAATTTGAAACATATGAATGTTCTAATTTGATCATACATTTTATCAACAATAGCAAGCAATTTGAAATGCATAGTAATATAGTGTAACTAGGACACAATTTAGACAAACAGTTGCTTAAACAGTCAACATATACGATATTTACATTATACAGTAACTATGCATGATCAAGTCTCACGTTTTCAATAATGGGAATCGTCTAAAGATCGATGTAAATTTCATCAAATTTCCGTTTGTGTGATTTATGAGAGCATTATGATTATTATGTTATATTGCCTAAGTGAATATTATACAATAATGCAACTTGTTCGTTGATATGTGAAATAATAAAACACTACTGATGAAAATGTATACGTAATCAACATTTAGAATAAATCTCATTGGAATTTCTTTTTCCTAACACACGTATCAATAACCAAAAATGAAACCTTCTAATGTAATTGCAAAATAACGTTATTCATTTAGATTGTATTCCTCTTAAATATGTTTCATTTTGTTAAGAAACAGATACCACCATATTATGACTCTTGTATCCTTTTGTTTATCTTATTGCAGTGTTTTTATCAAACGTTTCCTCTATACATTATTTAACGTTTCCTTTTTATAATTGATACACTCATTCTTACAAAGGTGTCCGATTGTTATGAAAACAGTGAAGTACGTATATATATATGATAATACATATAGTTTCAAAATGAGTTTAACACATAATATATTGAGGGCATTTGAGCATTCGGCATACCTCTTCAGATCTGACTTTAGATGAAGAGTAGCAAAATCTACCTTTATTGGCCAATTGTGAATTTGAGCGTAAACGTCAACAGTTTGAAGTGGTATTTACATAAGTTCTTGTTAGTGAGTACCTTATGCTAGGTTGTTGATAGAGTTTTAAAAGTTTCAAATGAGAGATGTTATATTAGTGTTTTGTGTTGTTGGACGGATTCATGTCTCATTGATGTTGACCCCACTAAATAACTGATATATAATACAATCTTAAGTCAATGGAATGAAAATATAATGTTAATAAATGAATAAACAGAGGAAAAAAAAAGTTTTTTCTCTACTATTCACACTCTTCGATGGATACAATTATTTCTTATAAAAGTTGTTCATAATCTCGTTTCACTGAACGTGAAATAAAAACGATAAAAGATACAGTCCGCCTGCTTCACTTTAACTAACACCTAGATATTGCAAGGCAGGGTTGGTTGACATCAAATCTTTACTTCAAACTTCTTTAATATGTACAAGTTAATATAATATCCTAGAGCTTTTTTGGGGGAGAATTTTCTAGACACAGGATAACTGCTTTCATGGTTGGTTGCTATTGGTACAGATGAAAACCATCGTTTCGATAATTTATGGAAGCTATCATAACTTGATTGTTACGGATTATCTGTGACAAATGATCACATGCATGATGCATTTGTAGTAGCCAGAATTCCTGTCATCACTTCGTTCTTCATAACTTACCACCGAATCGCTACTTCTCATGAGCAATACGTTAGTGTCATGTAAGCAGTGGTTTACATTGACAGTGCACCCAATGACCTCTTTGTGGTGTATGTGTGTTGCTAAATCTTTAGGTTTTTATGTAGTGCTTTGTAGAATTTGATACCTCCCACCTTTTTAAAGTGGATGATATATAGCCAATGGAGAGCCTGTCTGTCCGTTCGTCCGTCATTTAGTCCGCAGGCTCATTCGTCCGTACGTTCAGAATATTGTTTGGGTTTAACTCTATGATAACCGGGGCATCGTCATATCTTATCGCTATCTGACTACTGTACACATATGTATCTCTTCTTGAGTCCCTACTCATAATTTATACTAATTATCATTATAATTTACTACTTCAAAATCTTGACTTTCCAAGTGGCGGGTGTATAATTAAGTGAGCTATTCTTGCAGTACCTCCAGTTTGGTGTTACCGTTTTTCCAATTTTTTGGTCTCTTGACCTAAACTTTCGAATGTACTCTTAGTATCATTTTACTTTCAGTAAGAACGAATGCTGAAGGTCAATACACATCATAACTACCTCTTTTTTTTATTTCATTTGTAACTTAATGATAGTTTACATCTCGGTTACCAGTGATACAAACTTAATTTATGAATATACGAAATACATTAATAAAATTCGTCTAGAGTTTCAGTAATGGACATAAATGTAATCTAAGTGATTTTTTTTTTTAACAAATCCAAATTACAAATTTGTTGATAATTGAGGCGTTTTCATAGAAAAAGTGTTAAATGCTTGTACTTAATAGTTGTTCTAATTATATTGAATAATGTTTCGAACGCAATAAGATATATTTCGAGAAACAATGTTCGTACATAACTGCGTAATAATCTTTTTTTTGTATAGTACAAAATATTAAAATGACACTCTTTCATAACTCTGTGGTTATAAACCATAACCATATACACATATTTCAATTCCTCAAAGTGTCAGATTGATCTACATCATAAACCGTTGTTTTGTCGGTGTGTTTCTACTTCATTCATTTGTTGACCTCAATATATTATGTTGTGACATATTGCGTTTCTATAGTGATTGAAAACACAACAGAAACTCTTACTATCCTCGAACGAGGATATTTTTTCTTCATTAAGTTGTCAGATTGGTATAAAAGAATTAGAATTAGTATTGTATGGTTTTGTAAAATAATATTCATCTTGTCATAGCGACTGCAATCGATAAAGAAGAAGACGTAATTTTAGCAAAGCAATAGTAGCTGTGTCTTCCCTTATTACACTTAATTTAGATGTTCAACTGAATTGATTGTCATTTAGCAGTTACAATCTTGTATTTTACAATTATTGAAGTATGAAAGATCTGTATAAATGATGAATTTTGACATGGAACTTTATTAGGTATTTATGTTGATCATACAACTACAATGAAATAAAATGTCAAACGGAACGATGAAAGTCTAAACATTTTAAAACTATTCTCTCATTATTTTGATAGGGTAACACTTTGAATAAATCTCTTTTTCTTAAGTTTAAACAAAAGTAAAGCAAACACTATGATTGTCTATTGAATAAACTCATCATGATTAAAATGTTTTTCTCCAGACGCGCGTATCGTCTACAAAAGACTCAAATACAGCAAAGATAATCTAATCCTCGGTGTGGAAAATTTAAGTATTTAAACAAATTCAAAGTTTTGTTGACAGTTAATTTATAATTATGAGCATATCAATGATAATTCATATAACCTAGAAATGCTGACTACTGAGCTTGTGATATTCTTGTAGAGAGATCATCCCCTCCAGTTGCATCAATATAGAATTGGAAACATAATTCTTAAAAATATTTTTTATACCCCCGCTTTAAAAAAAGTGGGGGTAATTTGTTTTACCTCTGTCTGTCCGTCCATCCGTCATTCTGTCAGTCCGTCCTTCCGTCCCATGAATATTTTTCGTCGCATCTTTCTCAGGAACTACATTACAAGGATTTCTGAAATTTAGTTTCAGGGTTGATATGAGTCAGCTATACCTTGTGATGCGTTTTTAGATTCATCACTCAACAACTTCCTGTTTACCGAACACTTGTATCATTTTACACATGATAGCCAAGTTGAAAATTTTCGTCACATTTACTCAGGAACTACAATACAAGGAATTTCTGAAATTGGGTATCAGGGTTTATATAAGTCAGCTATACCATGTGATGCGTTTTCAGATTCATCACTCAACAACTTCCTGTTTACCTTATACTTTTAGCGGGGCGGGGGTATCATAAGTGAGCAGTAATTTAGCCTTGCAACAGGTCACCTACGGACCCCTCAAAGAGTTGTTGCAAGGGTTCTTAACGTGCAAAGAGTGTGGCACTCTCTTTACACGAGCATCGGATTTAAAGTCCCCATTCTGACCGGACGTGGCTGCAAATTTGTACCAAACGGATACCCCACTTTGGCGAGGGTTTTACCGCCGGTCGGAGGAAGACCAATGGTGACCATACTTCTATTCCCCTGTCACCCTTGGGATTTTTTAATTTTGAAGAGTTTAAATGGTAAACCTTAAATTATTTTCAACAATTATATATTTTTCCTTTGAATACCATTTTTGTTGTTCGCTGTGTTTGGTTGTTAAAGACGATTTGGGTGCATTATTGACATGTTTACTTCTAAAATGTTGTATCGAAGAATTTGACTGAACTAATAACACATAATTTGCATACTAAAGGCAAAAAAATTTTGCATAGTTTATGTTTTGTTTAATAATGATCATCTCTTTCATTTTTTGTATTAAAACTGAAATTGCCAACATCTATCAAAACTGCAGTATACGACTTATAGTTTTTTTTTTATTTTGACAAAAAGATTGATACAGACTTTAAGCTTGACTACATGTATACAATTTGAAGGATAGCTTTATAGATATTAACTTGAAGTCTATTCTATTCTATCAACTCAAAGTAGCTAATACACAACATGACGAATATAATCTTTATACCAGTTATGCAGTATTTAATCACATAGGACAGTTTCTAATGGCAACCATTTATTATATATTCTTTTTGTGCAGGTGATAAATGATTAATCGTTTGTTGCTCTATTCGTATACCGTATTTAAGATATTCAGTACCATTTTTCACCTGAATTTCACAGGTATAAATATAATATTTCATAATTAAACTGTATTAAGTTATATGTGTAAAAATTTTCAGTAATACTGAAATTAACATCCCTTGCATCTATCTGTTTTAGAGTAAATCCACATAAATATGTCTTTTAAATTGCTTGGTCTTCCAAGTGCTCAACGAAACCTCTTTTTACATTATTAACAACAATTTTATCAGCAGTCAAAGCCGGGCTTCTAAGTTATTGTGAAACTACCTATTCTAGAGGTGGCGTTAATCAGATGTGGATACTAAAACATTCCAAAGATCTTTTAGAGTACATACAATCTAAGACTCTTTCATTTTGCAATAGTATTTAAACATTTGACTTCTCTACACCATTTTACACAAGTATTCCTCATTCCAAACTGAAAGACGAATTGAATTAGTTGGTCTTGATTTTTTTTTCATAAAACAAGAACGGCCAACGTAGATACAAGTATCTTATCTTAGAGAGGGACAAATCGTACTTTATAAAAATCACACTGATTCAAACAAAATATTCTCTGAAACTGACATTATCAGGATGCTTGAATTCTTGATTGACAACATATTTGTTACGTTTGGAGGACGTCTTTTTCAGCAAACACGGCATTCCCATGGAAACCAACTATAATTCCTCTTCTTGTCGACTTGTTTCTTTATTCATATGAGACCGACTTTATACAGGAAATTCTTAGAAAGAAAAAAAAAAAGAAATTAGCAGTATCATTTAACTTCACTTTCCGCTATAAAGATGATATTTTCTCTCACTAAATAATTCAGTGTTTCTCTCTCTAAATAATTAAAAACTTGGTGACTATGTTGAAAACATCTATCCCATCGAACTTAGAATAAAGGATCATCAGATACAGTTAAGTCTGCCTCATATCTTGACTTACATCTAGAAATTGACAATGAGGGTCGGTTGAAAACAAAACTCCACGACAAAAGAGATGATTCCAGCTTCCCAATTGTGAACTTTCCATTTCTTTGTAGCAACATTCCAGTAGCGCCTGCATACCAGGTATATGTCTCCGACGGATATGTTCTTATTGTCGTAACTACAATCCCTTTCCCTTTCCCCCGAATGTGACCTACCGAAATAAGACTTATCACCGGATTTGTCCTTACATGATCAACATGAAGGGTGCCACAAGTCGAGCAGGATGTGCTTACCCTTCCAGGGCACCTGGCCATGGCGTTGTCAGTTTATTTTCAACTTATGAGTTTGAATGTGCCTTTGGTATTTTATTTGCCTCTCTTTACTTAACTATAAAAACTCAAAAGTATCAACATGAAGATTAAGATAAAACTAAAGGATTTTTGGGAGTCCGAAGCGCTTTTCTGAATTTACATACATAAGGAACGCTCAAGACGTGTCAAACAAATAAGAACAAGAAGAACCGCATTAGCTCTTAGGAAAAATGTCAATTAATTTAAAGTCAGGTGAAAAAGTGATGTTTTAGGTTTATTTAGCGTCTAATTACCAGACATGTTTACTTTTTATTTCAGTTCATAACACATTCAAAAGACGGTGGAGTGTACCACACTTACTGCCTTAATTATACAAACGCTCTCACGTATATAGATAAACTCAGGTGTCGTGATGATTTTGCAGAATTTGAGAAGGTAAATTTTATTCGTATTATTAATTCAAGCATATACATAATTTGCCATACGTGGTCCCAGAGTTATAGTGAATTATATGAAATATTTGTTGTGTTCAGATGAATAGCTATAAAATAGGTTTAAATCAAATTACCAATACACATATTTTGTCTTCATTCCTAAGCATATACAAAGCAGAGTACTTTAGATGGAATCCTTATTTTTAAAATTGCATATCTTTCATATCAGGTGTTCAAATGTGTTATTTTCGGTATTAAAAAAATAGCAGGTTATGTCCTCAGAACTCTTCTGTAAAATTGTACATTCAAAGATTGTTTTATTTTATTGTTGAAAATCAAAGAATTCTCTGAGATTTTTTCTTCCGATAGTAACCTTGACACCACCAAATGACAATAAATGTCTCCGCAGTGATGCTCGAGGCAAAAATATTTAAAAATCAAAATCGTATTATAAATTGAAATGCTGATAAAACCAAAAAAGGACAAAAAGTATAGCCAAAGCCGGTCAAGGATTCAGAGCCTTGCTAAGGGAGATATATTCCTTAATGAAAAATAATTTCCAATTCTTTTAAAACAGTTAATTTCGGTAACACAATATCAGTATTGTCATGTGCTTGTGATTCTCTTAGGGACTAACAGTCCACCAGCAGAGGTATCGACCCAATTGTAATAATGATATAAACGGTACCAATTGAAGTATACATATAATTGAATAGATTTACGGGGTTGAACAAGTGTTCACTACTGTTGCCTTTTATATTTTGGCTATTTCTAAGTATTAGTTGAGATTCGTGTATCTGGTGCACCCGACCTATATCACTTTATTTCAAATGTTATCGTTTTAAACACTTGTGAACAATATGTCTTTCAGTGGTGCGAGCAAGACCCGCGCTGTAAACGATTACAACTTGCTGATCTTTTAGTGGCGCCAATGCAACATGTAACCAAGTTCCCCCTGTTATTGGCAAACATTCGGAAGTATACAGAGAATGAAGATGAAGTTACAATGTTAGCAGATACGATTGATAAAATGGGTTCCTCATTACGTAAGTTACATGACAGAAGGAATTTTGTTTTTCTTTCATTATCGCGCATTTGCCAAGACATATAAAAGAATCTTATCTAAGGTAGGAAGATAAATTTTATCTAATAAATATAAATAAATGTTACTTAAAATATAACGTATAAATCGAATTAATATAATTATAAAACAATGAAAAAAGAAATAACTTTTTATTTTATTTTGTCCAGAGAAAATATAATTTCTTTTCTTGTGTTTCTGTCTCTTGTCTTTTACTTAAAAAGTGGCAGTTGATACATGTAAATGTTTTCAGCTTAAATCGAAGAAAGATAAAAGGTCAGTTTGGATAAAGGCATTGAATTTTTGTTTTACCGGAAGGACAGAGCGATACTGATAAAAGAACATATATATATATATATATACGCATTAAAATATAATAATCACGAATACACAAATCAGTATTTTTTTTCTGCAAGAGCTTAATTTTTAATTACTTTATCTACTGCAAAAGCTCTACAGGATATTTATTGATTAAAATATTACAACATAGATGAATTGTTAAAACTTTAACGCAGGAATATAGAAGAAAAAATGATTGAAAGTTATATACTATTTATAAATAGAAAACAACAGTAATGAATCAATCATATATCAAATGTATAAGATTGAGCAAACCTACGCTCTGACAATTTTTTAGATTTTTACCCTAGTAGGTCTGTTTGTTTTGTTCACACATTGTTGTCAATATAATGGAATTTAATACGACTGTCATACAAGTGAGATGTTTAGCTAGCTATAAAACCAGATTTAATTCACCATCTTCTACATAAGGAAATGCCTGTATTAAGTCAGGATAATTACAGTTGTTTTCCATTCGTTTGGTATGTTTGACCTTTAATTTTTGCCATTTGATAAGGGACTTTCCGTTTTGAATTTTCCTTGGAGTTCGGTATTTTTGTTATTTTACTTTTTTCTGAACGGCATTTTTATAAAAAAAAAACTTTCTCTTAGTAGCTAACACTAAAATTACTGAAACTGTTGCACAGCGGTATACTACTGTTGCCTTTTATTGCATATATCTATGGAAACGAGAAAAAAAAAATCCTATTGTTTTTTTTACTTTCTAGCGTCGAATTGATGTGCCAAAAATAGTCCTGGTTTGATAAATTGTTTTTCCTACGCCAAACATTCGTGATGACTCAATTCTCTGAGAAGTCGTGTGCAATTTATTCATCATAAAATTTTCTTAATCGCCAAAAGGTCAATTTCGTGTTCTCGTATCAAACAGTAATACTTGGTATAAAGGGACGACCTTTTGGCTATGTTTAATATATAAAAATGCAGCAACTATCTGTCTAAATAGTGACGTTAAATGCTAGGTCTCGTATAGGGATAGTGTCTGCACGTTACGGAACTCTTGCAACAACTTATTGATTTGGGTTCTATGCGTTAAGAAACCCTTGATATAATTCTTGGAGTGGGTCCGTAGATAGTCAGTTTGAAGGCAGAATTTATGACTATATCCAACTAACTGTTTTACCTTATTAAGTGACATTAATTTTCAGCACTGCATCCTTGTTTACCCACTTTGCAGAACTAACGTTATGTGTTTATTGTTCATTTGTTCTCGTCATGGATATTAAAGAAATATGTATCACTGAAGAACGACTGAATTCGAAACTTTACAAAGTTTACGGTCACCACCACGAATAGGTTGACCGATACAAGTCTGTATCTTAACTCACAAGATACTGGTCTAGATCTTAAGATACCACAAAAGTCGTCTGATATACTCAAATATAGCGATTGTCTTATTTCCTATCGTGACATTTTTACCTTGCAATTGTTTGGATGCGCATAAAGGATGATGCATACATAACAGGTGCTGTATCATCTGTTGACGCATCCGTTCTCTCCGTTTTGATGTATTGAGATGCCTTCAGTTTTTGTATTTTGATTTGTGCATAAAATGGATTTACAAGTTATGAACGTCGATATACTACTGTTGTCTTTATCTTAGTCACCTGGTATCGTATTCATTTTAACCAAATCCATTTCATTCATTTATGCTTTACGACTGTATTATTTAACCAAATCCATTTCATTCATTTATGCTTTACGACTGTATTAGGTATAATCATATTTTTTTTTTAGAGCAAATGGAAGACAAAATGCGATTGGCAAAGAATTATGAACGGTTGCAAGAAATCCAGAGACAATTGGTATGGCCACCGGTGACCGATTTTGACCACAGAATTTTTATTCCAGAGGTACATAAAATGTCAAACAAAAAATTCCATACCCATTAAAAATGAATAAAGAGGGATAACTATATTTTTTTGGTAAATATACAGAACAGTCAGTACCATACATTACACAATCTTAGATAGAAATTAATCCGACTCATAAATAAAAACAAAGATGAAAAAGCAGAAAATGCAAACTTAAATATATAATTTTGACTATTACAGTTAGCTATAAATATTTGTTTTACGAAACATAGAGGTCCTAATGGTTGACATACAAACATAGCAATCTTAATGACTTGAATTCAGTAATTTTAATTGATAAAACATTAAGTTCATTTGGTTATTGATTTAAAAATATTCATATGAAGTTTTACATTACCTATGTTATACCTTGCTATATCTATTGCAGTATCTGAAAACAACACTTTTACGACAACCATGTGAGAAATTATTATGTTGTCCAACCAGGCAGTTGATTCACGAAGGGCCATTAACTCTTGTTGGTAAGTAGATTTATCAATAAATTCATCAACACTGGATTCTTCACTATCAGTATTTTCTAATATATTTTGTATGAGCATCAAATGCAATGTTCTATTTTACTATATTTAAAATGTTTTGAACAATTTATAAAAATAATGCAAAAGACAAAACGAGAATTGGGGGGAAAGGCTAACAAAGAGATGCACTGCAATATAGATTTGTTTTTGCCAAGAGTAAATTGAAACGGAAATAACGCTTACAAATCTGGATAAGACTATAACATTTATAATGAATAATACTTAGTTTTATGTTGTTATTTCAGAGACAACTAAATCAACAGATGTGTATTTGTTTTTATTTGATGATATATTGTTAATAACCAGAAGTAAAAAAGGAACCAGAAAAGTAAGTGCAACAATGAGCTTATCGTACATTGATACTGTTACAAGCATAGAAGACATTTACATCTCGTAGTATATTTTTACGAGGAATTTGATTTTTTCACAATAACTAATGAGACATTTTTTGCTTTCATGCAAAAGATATTAAAACCATTGTGGAACTACTTTTTGTTTTTATCCAAATTATTTTTGGAAACCATTTACATTAACAACTTACTCATTGCTTTATATATGGGGTACCCATTTTGTTTACACAATTTAGCCAAAATTTCCGTACGAATGTATTGAAACTTCCTCTGAATCTTAACCATAGAATGCTGTTATACATTTCCTATTTTGTATTTCGATACGTTTTATTTTTGGAGTTCTAAGCAAATCGCGAACTTTTGCCATTGCTTTATCTGGGGTACCAAACATCTTTTACCCCTTACCCTTTAATCGATAAAAAAATACAAACGGCATGATTTATACTTAACTTAAGTATCTGACGTATTTTTATAAATTATATGAAGTTACTTTGTGATCGACATTTATTCTGGCCAACGGGAGATTATCCAATTAGAAAAATGTTCCATGCCCATTCCTAATGCATTACACGTTTGATACAAAGTCGTGTGTGTCGTTTTGTATATGAATTACTTTTGGTGTTTCCATACGCAAATCATGGATTTTGAATGAGGTGGGAGTTATTTTGAGAGCTTTGAGCGCAGTACCTTATTGAATTAAGACAACAGTGGTTTACCGAGGTTTAAAACCTGATGAAATACCAGTTGCAGGGGAAGGATAAGGATATTGTGAATCGAACTCCACATCGTCCAGAACCATTAATTTTGAATATACAGTATCGAGTAAAGACTGATGTTAAAAAATGGACCAAACTAGTGTTAGAATTAGAATATCTATTCGATATTAGTACAAGAAATACCTCAGAAGAAATACATGTGGTTAATAAATATGCATCATGGCTAAGTTCATTAACTTTGATATTCATTATAATTAGATGACAACTATAGAACTTCGTTTTTGCAGAAACAGTCAATTAATGAACCAAACCTCATAAAGCTACAATCCTCTAGTCAGTCGGATAAAATACAATACACTGTACATCGACAACCAATTGCTCTGGACCGATTGAGTGTCCATGATGTCTCCCAATCGGAGGCTGCAGGTAATATAATTATGATCTATTTGTAGTTGTCTTTTTATCTTCTGTTGATGTTGTAGACTTTTCTTTCTACAAGCTGAGGCTCTAGGGTGAAGGTTGTGTTTTTCTCAGACTGTTTAGGACATCTTTACCTAAATCCATTGAAAGTGTTTGGATTTGTATTAAGTCTGGGAAACATTCATTAGTTGTTGTTTACTTTGAACTAACTTTCACTTACTGCGAGTACTCATAGATCTGTATCTTGCGTCTTTAGTCTTTTTGTTAGTTTGTTGTGCTTAGGGTCAATCTGTTTAGTCGAGAGCCTCTTTCAACTGAGTTTTACAATTTTGTCTTTATTTGTTGTGCTGTTACATCATTGTCTTAGTTTATATAAAGGTTTGGGCGTTCCTGATGAACGCAAATTCAGAAAAGCTCAGGAAACAGGACAATTATAAAGTGTTATTCTTGTTAACTAGCACTTGGTAGCTACCGTACCGCTACTGTTAGTCCACGTAGGTATTTTTCAGCTCCGTACTCTATGCTACGGTACTGTCATGATTTATGACATACTTTTTACCATTATAGAATTAATACAATTGAAAACAAATCAAGGTTCCAACTCCCTCGGGCAAAGTTGACCTTAGATGAATTTTTTCTATACCTGTGGATCCCGTTTTGTCGTATAGCTCCTCACGACTTTAGGCATTTATACATCCTTGGCTTAAAAATGCTTGGGTTTGAGTGTTCTTGATGAAGGTAACTTTAGAAAACCGCTTATGTTTTGTGTCCTGGTATTTCTGTGAATAATGTGTCATCTATATTATACGTTGGAGAGCACAAAACTTGTTTGATGTAAATGAATTAATGTATGCATAAAACTTATTAAAATGTTAACGTGACTTCGGAATGTTAATCATTGACAACAGCGAATTATATAATTTTTCAACAAGAAACCGACTAAAAAAATAACTTCAGTATTTTAATCTCCTTCCTACCAGATCTTGTGTAACAGAAACATATTTGATATCCGAGTTTATTATTCGTTTAATAAAATTTAAAAAAATTATAACTTGACAAATTGAAATGATTGAAGGATACTTAATAAATCTCAATTTGTTTGTTTTAGCAAACGGAATAAAATGTGCCTTTGTAATCGTACAGATTAGCAGATTTCAACAGATAATTGGCGTTTATACAATGAGCTGTCCAAGTGATGCCTCAAAGGTAATATGTCTGTACAATAATTTACATTTGAATACCTTCAAAGAACTGTAAAGAATATGATTGCAAACAAAAACTGTCCCGTTGATGTTGGTTTTGTTTTTTATATGATCGGAGGAGCATTATTTCAAATAATACCCTCCTTTTCCAATTTATAAGCATAATTGATATGGGCTAAATCACTTAAACGTGTCCCTGAGTGCAAGTCTAATAGCTATCTGTTTTTGCATGTATTTACACATTTTTGTATTTAAAATGGTTGTGTAGTTGCTAGCGAGGTTTCAAAAAGGATAATTTTGTATGACTGACTTGAATTTTTACAAAAGGAAATGCCTGTACCAATTCAGGAATATGACAGTTGTTTTTCATTCGTTTGATGTGTTTGAGCTTTTGATTTTGCTATTTGATAAGGGACTTTCCGTTTTGAAATTCCTTGGAGTTCGGTATTTTTGTTATTTTACTTTTTACTTCCGATTTGCTTTATCGCAGCAGATTTTTATCACGAGAGTTATCTTCTGCATGTAGATCGTTGTTATAGAATGAAATTTGATATTTGACTAATCTAAAAAAAAAATGCTTTATTATGTTTACAGCTTATATAAAGCAGTCACGGATTTATTCATTTTTAAAAAATTTTAGCGGTGAGCGTCCTCCATGAAAATTGATCAATGATAAAGTTTCACACGCATCAAATTGGACATGCGTATGTTTAATTTTAAAATGAATTTTTCTATTTCAGAATGCATGGTTAGAAAAACTAGCGCAGGCGAGAGGACAGTATTCAACAGAGGATTTTAGTAGCAGCAGTGGTAACACATTTAAAGACAATGATTTGTCATCAATGAACGCAATAGAAAGATCTATATCACATCCATCTACTTCACCCGGCAGACATCAAAGACATATTGTATTGCATAATCATCACAATAAATCAAATTCTGTAGATTCTGTATACATTTAAATCTTCCTATGGAAGACGTTTCCATTCCTTATATTTTTGTACCTATAAGTGCTGTTATATTGACTGTAAAGATGTGTTAAGAATTGTATATTCTATTATACTACAGAAGATATAATATTTTAAAATATATAATTCGATGTAAATTAATATATACTGCTAATATCCCAATATTATATATTCTAAAAGTAATTAATTAAGAATTACAATATAAACGTTTTATAAATGTTAGAGACTTCAAGTAAAGTTGTTAAAAAATTTTTACATTCTCGCATTCTCGATTCATCTATATGTTATCTCTCCACTAAGGATAATTATAGGATAAGAATATAAGGAAAAACTATATCACATCACAACAAAACGGACTTAAAAGTGCATAACAAAGTTAAAAACACCAAAATGATATTGGTGAAAAAAATAAGATTTTTAACAAACAAAAGGTAATAAACAATAATCGCCCAACGTACCAATGATAATAAAAACTGATTCTATAAATCTATATAAAGTATAGTCTGAATCTTTATACTCTATGTATACACAACCTATTTTTTTTAATTATTGTGTTTGCATATCAATATATTTTTTTTTCGAAACAAAACCTTCTTATTAAGGTGTACATTAGATTGAAATAGTTTTTGTTTACTTCAACGAGTCATGATTTGGACTTTAAATGTTATCACCAAAAATGAATGATTTTAGTAACATATTTTAATTTTTAGCGAACAGTAGCGAACAGTAGCGAACAGTGATATTTTTAAAATATATCAAGATATTAAACATCCATAATTGAGAATTATATAGAAAAAATATAGTACAAAATATAGAATTGAAAAATATTTAATTTTGGAAGGAGAGATTCAAACATTTAACCACAGCAACTTTAATTTCAGTTAATCATTGCCAGCTTTAGATTTTTCGTATTTAAAAGATGACATTTCTAAAAATATTTAAAGTGTTCGCCTCGCATGTAACATTAATAATTGCGTGTAAGCAGTTATGACAGTTTGAGAAAAAATTAGTCGTTTAAATATGAATATACACCATTGAATCAGAAGACCAGTTTTAGGATTCAATAGTTTGTTAAAAGAATAGTTATAGCTTTGATGATGGGATATGAGAATAAACCTATATATTTTGACTTTTGCTTAATCAAATTACTACTAAACATAAACAGTATGATTGTTGAATAAGTAATCAAAATTGGTGTGTTCTGAAATACGAATTTAAACATACGTTTATAAAATCGTATATATCTTTGTCGATGAGTGAAATTAACAATGTCAACTTTAACAAATGTGAGTTCTGTAAAGACTTCAAAAGGGGCTTTATTCTTCGCAAGCAGATATTTGTCACTATGGTGCATCTTGACAAAAAACCACACATTGTAAACTGAGAGAGAGTAGGGCATGTAAATGTATTCTGAACAGAGGTTTATGGATCAATTATGATCAATCAAATCGGTTATGGCAATGCTTTCTCTATGGTTATTGTTCAATGATATTAATATTTTTTTCCCATTGTGTTAGTAATGATTATCATTTTTGTTCTTCTCCAGACACTACAAATTGGAAATAGTCAGTTTTTGGGAAAATTGGTCACCTTAGTAATGATGTATATTACAAAGTAACCATAAAGCTAGGTGCATTGTATATAGTTTGTTATACTAATTGTTTTAGTTCTTTGTACATGTTATCCAAGTTTAAATACTATTGACCTCTTAACCTCAACACAAATGCTTATGTAAATGTGTTATTGCTTTCAAGAGACAAAATACCGCTCACTCATATTAAAGTGTTATTAAACTGTGATCTTAGCTTTCAGTTGTCGTGAAGTATTAAGTGTTAGTTTAGAAATAGGGACAAAGTCCCGGGTCCCGCAGTTCCGAATCAGGGATTACCCATTTGTACCTTTGTAGTTTGAAATACATGTAAATGTTATCCTTTTTCATATTTTTCATCCTTTTATTCAAAGGTCGTGGATCATTTAGTGATTTTAATTGTTTCCAGTCGGATTTTTAAATGATGGTGAATTTTCTGTATTTGTATTATTTATTAATGTTAAATTACTTCAGTATAAACATTTGACTATTCAAAATTGTAAAATGAAAAAAGCTTTTTGTATATTCCTACGTTTTTGTACAATCTGCCCATTATTATAAATAAACCAATGCATACTATAATATCATCAATGCAACAGTTCAAAAGACATTTGATATTATATTGATGAACGTTTTCCATAGGTTGAATGTGTGGGTGAATAATTATTTCTCTTTATTTTTATTATTATGTATTAGACAGAAAAGGTAATTATAGAAAAAACAACAACTTATTATTTAAAAAAACTCCATTGTAAATTCCAAAAGGTAGAAGTCCATAAAACCTGACAAAATCAAACTTAACAAGATATATCAACTAACGGAAATCAAACTTAACTAGATATATCAACTAACGGAAATCAAACTTAACTAGATATATCAACTAACGGAACGAATGGAAAACAATACATTGGTGTGAATATTTCTATTGAAATTGATTTAATGATTTAACCATTTTGATTCTTAGAATTCTTCTATTTCATATCTAGTTAGTTTTTTTCATATTTTCTTTCATTTTCATGAATGAAATGGCAATAGTTCACTTGTTCAAATCATATGTACATAGTAAAAGTATTGATATATATAATGTTGGTGCAGTGACACCCTAAATTATTGTTATGAAAATGTTGTCTGTTTTCTTATTTTTTAAACATGACAATCTGTTATTTGTTTCAATTAAACTTGTACGAGAAATTGTGTTTGTTTTGTTATTAAAGCCGATCCCATCCATGTTTCTGAAGCTCTTGCTCTATGCTCATTGAGTAGTCTTTTGATAACTGTTAATAATTCTTGGAAATTTAAATAAACGGAAATAAAAGCAAACGAGTCTGAAATCTTCACAACATAACAGCGAAACTATATGGTTTTTGAATACATCTGATTAAAAATGCATAGTTCGAGTAACCAATGTTCTTGAATATAGCCTAGTAGGTTGGTAAAACTGTTGAACGGTGTAATATATCATTGAAAAAAAACTTGTTTCCACATCGTTCAAATGAAAATATCAACGTTTTTAATCATAAATTTTATCATCAATAGTAAGAAACATACGTTTTAGTACATATGTGAAAAAGGAGTCACTATCTTTCCAGTGTTTTAAAATAAAAAAAGACTTGAAATAAATGATAAGCTTTTTATAAATATGATGTATTATTTAATATGTAAAAGAAACGATTGATTTTAGAGGTTGGTCTTGTATTTTGTTAGAAATCCTAGAAACGAGACAATGTTAATTCACAAAAACGGCAATGAAAAATTCATTATAACTGAATGAATGAGAAACTTTTAACAATGAAGTAGTACCTATTATATAAAATATTCAAATATTTGTTAATATATTAGAATCATGTGCATAACAGTGTAGCCGAGACCATTGATTGGCGCGCAAAAATATCCCATTGACTGGGTCAGATTAGGTGAACGTTCGTCTGTAACGCCCAAAACTCACGACGTATTTATTATAGACATTTAAACTGTGAGGTCACCAAAGGGTCTCAACGCCTAAATAAAATAATTCGAAAAACTAATCAGGAATAACCTTTGTGTTTTGATTTATAATGAATACTTACACTGAACTGCGGTCAAGCTTAGCGAAAGGTCGTGCAACATAATCAGTCAAACAAACTTTATTAGATTAACTCGTTAAGGAACGATCGTTTTCATTGGTCAATTCAAACCTTCGACCTCACACCTGCGAAAATAGAACACGCGTACTATAAAGCTGAATGGACTGATCAGTATTCACGTAGCCGGTCAAGGTCGTTAAAAACTTCCATCGTCGTATTCCCGAACATGATTGTGTTCTTGATTATCGCATGGCAATTCTAGCTTTTATACATGTGCATGTAAAATTTTAAACTTTAATCTTAACAGTCACGTCGATATATTTAATTCAACTGTCTCCTCTCAATTGGTCCTGGATTAAGGGAGCTACCATTTTATTTTGATTGGGGGTGAAGGACTTGGATGAAACATTTTGTCCTGCATTTTTTTTAGTTGTTATCTCTGTCCTGTCTTTCTATTTTTCAGTCTGTTAGGTCCTGACTATATTTATTCGTTTATCCTGATTTTTACATAAATAGTCATCCTGCCTTTTTTTTGTCAAGTTGCTCACCCTGCCTCATCTTTAATTTATTCAATGGACTTGATGAATTAACGTTGTACTTGAAATGAAACCGTACTTAACTACAAAAATAACCAAATTACATACTAAAGAAATTGCTCGATTTTTATAGTAAATGGGTTTGTGTTATAAACTGTCATGTTCATTATTCATATTCTTTCATAAGTTTTAGGATAGTGTGATTTTTTTTCTGATTTAGTTTACTTGATTTTGAAAAAAAAATCCCGAAATTCTAAGTAAATTCAGAACATGTAACCAGCCATGCTTTGTTTAGAGAAAAACTGGAGATGGCAAACCATGGCACAGTGGAAGGAAATGTACTTTACAAACTCCAGCGATATACTTTCTTAATTTATAATTAACTGTTTGCTATCCTCGGTTGAAAATTATATATTGTAAATATTTAAATAGTTGCATAGAAAACAATCAGTTTTAAACAGTGTGGTTATTCACTAAATGTATTGATAAAAGGTGACTCCATTTTTGTACATACTTTTACAGTAGTCATCCTTAATTTCTTAATATTTCGTTTATAAGTTTATCATACATGTATGATTTTGTATTTCATTTTAATACGCACGCATGCCACACGTTACTTTGGCGGATTGTTCAACAATGTTATGCAAAGCTCTATTCTTACGGTATGAAATTAAAGGATAAATTTTCAACCAATCAAAATCGAAAACAGTACATTTATATAGTTCCTTATAAACTACGACATTTCTCACAAGTATTTATTTATATTTTAGTTCCACACATGCAACAATAAAATCTTCGCCGATGAAACATTTCAAACCTTTTTACACCAACATGCCTTCACTGAATTCATTTGAATTTCGTGCTGACCATGATAGTACATTGCATAGTACATCTATATTCACGTGCACACATGGTACGATCTTTCGGGGACAATTTGCTTGTTTATGACACGTCATTTCTGAATGACCAAACGCTTAGCTTCTTTATTTTCGTTTTATAGCATGAAAACAATAAAAGAGGAATGTGCAACCCATCATAAATTTGAAATGGATCAGTATTATGAGATCCTTATTATAAGTAACTACGACATTGTCAGGATAATAACCTAGCGTCAATATGAAAGAAATTAAAGTGGTTCATACATTCATCCGTATAAAAGCGGCACATGTATTTTATTTTATCCTTATATTTTTCATAGTGCGGTACAAGTGCTGCATGCATAATGAATATTACTTAACACAAATTATTAGTATAATATTTCGACCCCACTATTTGAAATTCACAAAATACTAATTTATTATTTCGACCAAAAATCATTGTTTTTTACGTTCGTAGTAACGTAGTACATTCCATTGTCGGTCACCTGTGTCAATTCACGTGCACACAACAATTGTTGTTGTTTTTAAATCTTTCGGCCAATGAAGTGAGACGTTACAAGTTGTTTGTTTGTGATACGCCAGAATGTTATCAATGAATTATCAATCGCTAAACTTGACTGCATTTCAGTGTAAACGTTCTTTACTTGTGTTTTCGTTATGTTTTGATAATCAATTTTTATGACATCGCACGTTCTTTCAACAACAAAAAAAGGATTTAACTGGCTTTAAAAGTTACAATGCATGTGTTGATTATTATCTTTTTTTTCGGACGTCAAAGCGATTTAACAATTGCGGTTGCATGTCCAATTATGTCATCTTTTAACTTTTATCTGGTCAAAATTTTATTTTAGAACGAATGCATGATCAACTTTAAAAAGTGTGCGTACACAAAACATATAGACAAAATATACTTCTGTCCTGTCTTTTTCGTACTTGCAAGTTATTAGACAATAAAAAGGCTATTTGGATTAAGCCTTGTGGAATTTGCATTTACGTTTTTGAATAGGTAAAATGTATAGTTTGGTGAACTTTTCTGCTAATTACTATACTTGTGAAAAACCCTTGGCAACAGAAACATTTTCAGCTTTTTTTTTAATCGACCCAATTTACATAGTAATGGACGACTTCGTACATTTTTTGATCGCAAATAAAATATGTATATAATATACTGTGCACTGTAGTTCGTATATATACTGAAACCCTTTGGCAACCCCACAGTTTAAATGTTTATAATAAATACGTCGTGAGTTGTGGGCGTTACAGACGAACGTTCACCTAATCTGACCCAGTCAATGGGATATTTTAGCGCGCCAATCAGTGGTCTCGCCTACACTGTTTTGCACATGATTCTAATACTGTAAATTTTGGCGGCCAATTTGATAGACACACATTAACCGAAAATATTAATTGTAAATTTTCTTCACTGTTTTAAATTTTAAGGTCGTTTGCCATTTCGATCTATGTTGATAGCTTTCCAGCTGATGAAATTGGATCCGACATCAGAGAGTTCACATTTGTATAATTTATGTTAAAACAGATCTACTATGAAAAGTAGATGCATGCTCCTGATTAAAGACATGTTCAACAGGCAAGATAAAGTTCAATTTTATGGTATGTATGGACATAAAGTGTGGGTGTCCAGATGTAGAGTGAATATAACAAATTGTTTTAGGAACATAAATATACCCTAAAATTGTCTTAAGCATATATATTTTTGGATCCTTTCCAAAGTGGTATGCTATTTCGTGTTGCCACAAACTGAGTTCTAATTTAACCTATACAAAATAACAAACTTAAATATTAGAATTACGAATAAGGACAGGATACCTTATTTCGGTCCGACATTTAACGGCAGAAACGATTGTATATACATCGTTTTTGAACGTACATTTGAATTGAATTTATAGTGCATTGCCATTTTGGAAAACGTTGTCTGCTTTCTCTTTCAAGCAGTTGATTTGTTGTTACTTACTCTTTATTTCAATATGATTGAATCGAAGGATAAGCTTTCATCATAAGAGCACCAAACAAAACAAGTCTGAAGACCACCTTAAAAACAAGACATTTAAACCGTTAAAATATAAACCCTTAATTATTATCTTTTTATTTTAAAAACGAATACAAACAAAACATGTAAATATTCAACAATTTGATTGCCATAACAAATATCACAACAAAGTTATATGTACACCGTATCCATAGAAAGGGATTTCTTGTGATGTGTTTTCACCATTCTTTCCCGTCGTTGAGTTCGAGGAGAAACCTCTGTATCATCACTTAGTTGTGTTTCCATACTCGGAATTTTGGGACTTTTCTCCTTACCAGAATATTTATGAAAAATCATACAATGTTTACAGTTAAACTTGTCTTTTGCGTCCATAATTTTTGCAATCCACTGTTCCTGAAAATTTAATAAATCATGAAATGAAAGGCAACTTAATGCGGTTCTACTATGTTAACAATGTTTAATTTATCATTGATGCTATAAAGTGGTACGATACATACTTTTGTGTTTATACAAGTTAAACGAAGGTAAAAATTTTATCTGATTTTATAGACTAAAAATAAAAACAGTAGTTTTAATATAATAAATACGATGTCGAATAATTTGATTACTACAACAAAAAAGAATTATAGGTTAAATAACAAGTGAAAATTGAAAATACCTTAGTAGCGCAGGTTGCATACTAAAGGACCCCTGTATTTAAACAACGAACGACTTAAGAGTACAACATTTGCGGTACCGACTTGCTGGCAGTAATATGATAAAATTTCCAACTAAAAGTGTTTCTTGAATAATCTTCATCAAGTTCTGTTAACGTGGAAATTTTCGCTTACTTCGCGTAAAATGTCCGAATATATCACTTAGGTAAAAAAAAACCAAAACAAACGATGTTGATGGGAAAGGTGCACCAATTATTCGATGCGCAAATTAAGATATCTCGAAGAGTTTTCGCATATAAATCGCCGATGTTATTTCACGTTAAAAGAACACTTAGGAATGAAAGGCTTGTGAATCCAGATCCTTTTTGGAACATCCAAAACAAAAGCTGCCAAATTTAGTGAGAAAATTGCTACAATAGGTTTAGTATTTTATCAACTTGCCTAAAATATGCAATGAAAAACGAAATGTGTCAAAACTGTGTACCTATATTTGTCTCCCTATATCACCACTGCTATTATAATCTTAACCATAATGTGCTGTTAGAGTTATTTCTCTTTACCTTATTATTATCACAGCTCGCTTGAAGAGTATAAACACCAATTATTTGTTGAAACCGACTTATGTGCACCAGTACAAAAATGCATTTGAGTCCATTTACTGAAAAATATATCATATCAATAAATATCACACTTGGATATATGTCTGTTAATATCAATATTTATTATTGTTAAATACATTTTAAAATTTGGCAAATACTTTGCTTTTCATTTTTATCAAAATTGTCAACTTAGAAAAAAAAAATATCACTATTTAAATGGAACACGTATATACAAATGTTTATGGTCATGAAAATCTAACTTTGAGAAGAACCACACTTATTTCCGTAACAATTACTCCGAAGATGAAACATCATAATGTTGGACGTTTTGGTCGACAACATGTTTGTTGAGTTCGATGGAATGACATTTCAGCAGATAGTCGATATTCCAATTGGTCATTAATTGTGCGCGACTATTGGCCAATTAGTTTTCATACTCATATGAAGCAGAATTATTTCAGAATCTTCTCAAAGACAAAAAGAAAAAGCATCTTGCAACGTTCTTTATTTTCAGTTTCAGATATATTAGTGCTGTTCTGTCAATCAATAACCCACATTTCTATAAGTGCTTGCATCTCATATACCCATGTAAACTTGAAATTAAAGAGACTACCGAATTTACAAGGTCTGCTTCATATCTTGATCTTTTTTTTTGATATCGACTCACATTGACGACTCCAAACTAGAATCTATTACAAACGTGATGATTTCAACTTTTCAATTGTCATTTCCTATTTCTCATCAGTAACATACCCTCTGCCCTATCGTATGGCGTTTACATACCTCAGTTAATATGCTATGCTCGTGCATGTTCATTCTATACGGACTTGATTAACAGGAGTGTCTCTTACGCAAAAACTGCTCTAACTGAGTTATGAGGAAGAATGACTGAAATCGACACAACGTAAGTGTTACGGTCACCATCACGCATTAGTTGACCGATACAATGTTTCTCAACTCACTAGCGATATTGTTTTCTCGGTCATATTTTTAGATACCAGTAAAGTCGTCTGATCTGTAATTTTACCGATTATGTCCTATTCCCAATTGTGACATTTTCACTGGGTGCGAATTCGAAAGACGGGTGATACATGCATAGCAGGAGACGCTTATTCTTGTCTCGCTCTTTTGGACTTCATGCGATTCCCTCCGTTTCTGTTGGTTACCTTGATTTGTCTCTTCTTAATCGATTTGCGAGATTTGAACGTCGATACATTAATGTCTCCCTAATTTAATACCTGCTGCTTCTGTCGAACCGACATCATGCATGCTAAATCTATCCAATGCTATAGGTTGTTGATAAACTTCATAAAACGCATGATCTGTTTGATAGTCATCTGCATTCGACAATTTCTGAAAATAAACAGAATGTACTTTGTTGAAGCGTTATAGACAGATTCACAATGCAGAACATAAACGAAAACTCAAATGATCATCAATGATACTACTTTGATGATATCTCAGTGAAACAAAATATTCAATAAGATAAATCTAAAAGAAAAGAAACCAAAACTCTTATATGTTGTAAAACAGGCATTGCTATTTCATACAAATACGTTTCATCAACAGAGCGGAATATGATGTAATGAAAATAATTGCATACATTTTCATAACTGATATCGTCATATATTTAACGAGATGAAGGAATCATATATCTGGCAAAATTGCAGCAAGCACTGTCATTTATCAGGCGGTATAATTTTGAATGACCACAATTTACAATGGTACAAAGAAGATAAGTGTCAATATCTCATATATTGCTAACAGTTTCAATAATGTTGTTCACCTTTCTAGTTGGTCGACTTTTCATTTTGGTAATAATCAGGTTGTCATCAAATAAAAATAATTGTACTTCAACTGTTTTCGTTGATTCTGAAAACACAACAAGAAATAAAGGTTAATCAAGCAATAAATACTTGTAATTCAAATCTTTTGTGAGTTTTTACAACCCCTGGATTGATGCCACTGCTGATGGCGGTTTCGTGCGCAAGGGTATCGCCATCCTAGTAGTCACACGTCCTGTGCTGACACAAAAAATCATTTTATACGGTCATTTTCTGTAAATGTACTGTTCATAAACTTTAATATGATTCCAAATACTGAGATTTTCTACCCCAGTCTTAGGTGTGGCATTAGTTTTAAAAATGTTTGGTTGTTATTGCCAAACGCTCTCTAACGTTGTTATGGAAGTGTTTTTCACTTATAAACCAATTTAGATCTGAAACAGTCATTTTGATCTGAACAGCTTGAAAGACTGAACAGTAAATTATAACGTCATTTTCAGTCTTTCTATTAATTTTCAGACTTAGCCACTGCGGTTAATTTAGTAGAGTTCAAATAATTCACTTGCAGTCAATTAAGATCTGTTCAGTCTGTGTTCAAACTGTTCAGTAGTCGTTATTTACCTGTACACATCAACAACATACTGAATTGTCTGAAAAGCTACTCAACGGTGTTGGATTGACCGCAAGCGATATGGCTGAACAGCACTGAATTTACTGTAGTTGATAAGTCTGCAAGTTGGCTGAAAGACGTAACATGACTAAGTACTTTATTGTTCAGACTTTTCCGATGATTTTAAGATAAAAATGACCATTTCCGGCTAAAATTCACTGGATTGATGCCAAAACTGGTTTGTATTTCATCCACAATGATATCACTAACCCAGTAGTCAGCACTCGTACTCACAAGAAATATAATGCCTGGAATCTTTTGATAGAATTTGTTTATAGTCTAAGAGAACAAAAGAAAACTAGGTACTTTTAAAGTATGGTTTGATATATCGTCTTCAATCTTTCAACTATGGGATAAGGAAACTTAATATAAGTCATTGTCAACTCAGAAATAATGCTAGCAACCTAAAACCTCATTTGTTTAATCAATTCTTATCCGAGAACACTTTTTGTGCAAACTGTAATCACCCTGTTGAGGATAACCAACATTTCTTTTTTATTTGCCCTAAGTACAATGATGTAAGACAGATCCTACTTGATTCCATTTACTCCATTGCTGATAATGTTGACATAAATATTGAATTTTTACTTTTTGGAAACAGATTATTTTCATATGATATGAATATTGCTATTTTTAGATCTGTTCAGAAATATATCAGTGACACTCAACGTTTTGTTTGAAATTTACTCAATTTTTGTGTTATTTAGTTTTATTTTTCATTTTTTTTCTCCTCCACTTCAACACTAATTCATTTATTCCACTAAGTTAGCTTAGTGTCTTTTTTAAGCCATACATAAATATTCTTAATGACTTATAAAGGATATTTGCATGTTTCAAGGTACTTGAATAAATGATGAGTAATTGCCTATATACTTAAATATACTTTACATTTAATAAGTAACACTGTAAACATATATTTGCTCGTGTGTGCTCATAAGTAGCATGCATGTTCCACTATATTACATTATTTTAAATACGGTTGTTATAATTGAATTATACCTTGTACATGTAATGTGGAGAGAACTTTTATAGGCTGTGCCTGTTGCTCAATCCTTTTCATATCTTGAATAAAATATGTTTAAAATCAAAATCGTCTTCAATCTTATTCAATTGAGGAAATAATATTTTGGGTAATAACAGTAGTTGTAAATTTTATTTCAATGAACAGAACTGCTACAATAGGTAGTACAAATTGCAGTTGGATGCCCGTCTCGTTGAGTTATATCCACAGATATTTCATTTATTTGAAAATAGAAAACTTCCGTAATTTTGAAAAAAATTTGTTTTTGTTATATATTATTTTCATATCTTTTAAATACTTACGTATTAAAAGAAGTGGTCCTTCATGTACAAGTTGGCGATTTGGTGCATATAATAAGTTGGCTGACGGTTGACCTGTTAAACATTGTTTCAAAAACTGAAAATATAAATTGCAAGTTGCTTTAGATGCGTATCACACACACACACACACACACACACACACACACACACATATATATGTATATACATATAAATGAATATAAAAAATTTAATATTAAAAAAAACACAAAACATCACATTGTTAATCGAATATTGTTTCTGTTAGTGCGGTTCATCAGACAGAATTGACGTCGTTAATAGTAACGACTTGTGACGTTACTTAATAGTAATGTACATGTTGTGATTTGGGTGTATGCGAACAGATTAGCTATGCATCAACACAATTAAAAAAAAACCTAATTGAACATACGATTTTCAACAAAAAATGTCACAAGCTCTAAATCTACTCCAGTTTATAAAAGTAATGAACCAAATGTACCGTCTTCAAAATAACTTTATATGCTATTTGTTTTAAGTCGATGATTAATTGATGAAGTTACTTATTGAATTACGTCTTCATAACAAAGAAGCTTATTACATTGTATACGGCTATCTGATACATTCTCAGCTTAACCATTGTTTTCCGAATGAAATGTGTGGATGATTAACGTAATTTAACATGTAAATTTTTGTAGCTCTAAAATCAGACTTTATGCAACTGTATACATTTCTTGAATGAGAAGAAGAATACTTGAACTGTATTATTCAACGGTTATTCAAAGCATTGACGTATTTCTGATAATTTAACCGACCGAACATGTGGTATGATTGCCAATGAGACAACTATACACAAAAGACTACAGAACGAGAATGTTAAAAACTGTAGGTCACAGTACGGCTTTTATAAAAGAACAAAATCCATACCGTATTGTAAGTTATAAAAGGCCCATGCATGCTATGTGAAATGATTCAAAAGAGAAAACCAACAACCTGATTTATGATTAAAAAAGGGGTGAAAGATACCAGAGGGACAGTCAAACTCATAGATCGAAAACAAACTGACAACGCCATGGCCAAAAATAAAAAGACAAACAGACAAATAATAGTACAGATGACACAACATAGAAAACTAAAGACTAAGCAACATGAACCCCACCAAAAACTGGGCGTGATCTCAGGTGCTCCGGAAGGGTAATCAGATCCTGCTAAAAGACAATAGACGAAAAATAGCAGACAGCAACCAAAGACAACCACTAAACTAATACTCCTGTCTTGAGTCGGGCATATAAAGAGTACAACGGGGTTAAACATGAATGTGGAATTTCAACCCTCCTAAACTTTGACAGAGGTGTAACAGTACAAAATAAGAACAAAGGGAAAAATCAAGGGGAATGGGAGTGTAGAATGAAGAGAAATATAAACAATTTGATATTATTGCAAAACTGTAATGATTTTGAATGAAGATGTTTAAGTAGATTTGTAGAATTAAAAAAAAAAACCAATTCTGATTGACACTGCTTATTTAGTATAACTCAGACTTAAATGACGCTCGAATCAAGAAAGTTAAAAAGGCCGAATAAAGTACGGAGTTGTGGAACATTGAGGACCCAAAATTCCTTAAGTTTTGACAAATACAGCTAAGGTAATCCATTCCTTGGGTAGAAAATCCTTTGTATTTTGTAAAATTCAAAGTTTTGTAAACAATTAATTTCATTTCAAACTATGACCATATCTTAGATAATTCATGCAAACATACATAGAAGTGCTTACTACCCTGAATTAGAAAAGAAGAGTATTTCCATTCTCAATTTTATAATTATCATCTTTTTTCTATATCAATACCGAAAGAAAGAACGAAGGATTTGTGATGTGGTTGTTTTAGTGGGAATTTCAGATTTGGCCTGAATTTCAAGTTCCTTTTTTAAGGAAATAGAATAATTATTTTTGCATACAAAACAATCTTTTTAGAAAGCCATGTTCTAGTGGTATATATCAGTATTTGAATGCTCTTCTTAAAGCCTGATTGAATAGCTTTGATTCATTTAGATAAAGTTTCCAGTAATAGTTCATCTAGCTCGCGCTTGTGATGGCACATTCCTCCACTGCATCCATCAGTAAACTGAAGTTCTTTTTCCAGTTGATGGGCTTGGAAACTAGATCTCCGCGTCTCTTGCTAACACTTGTCCAGGCTAGTAATTATTTACGAAGTCAAAGTCCCTGGTTAAAACATGACTATCAGGCCTATATTTGTATGGTGGTGTTGAACAAGAGCAGTTGAGGTTTTAATTTTACATCCTTGAAAGTTAATTAACTTTCTGTTATACATATAACTTAGATAACAAAAAACATCGATAAAAGTAACAGAAAATTCATAATATCATATGAAATCCTAAGAGAAAGCTCAAAGTATTTTAACATGCTGTATGAAATTACACCGTACTACAATCTGATATAGGCGACTGCATTTCGGAGTAAGTTATGCGCCAAAAAAAAAGAAGATTTGAAAAAAAATCCTAAATGTGTTAGCTTTATAAATGATATCAACATATAAGGTGGATGAAAAATATTCTGAAAAATAAAAGCAAGAAAATCCAAATTTTATTGCTATAAAAATCATGAGAAAAAACCAAAACAGTTATTTTTATATGTGATATATATAATATCTCTGTTATTATGGTTTTCTAGTTATAAGAATACGTCGGATCTTGAAATCCAAGACGTTACTGCATGACATCAGCTAAAAAAAACCCAAAAAAACAAAAAAACACAAAAACAAATGAAAATGTTCAACAACAAGAAGGAAACAAAGGAACATCACCATCATGGAAAGGAAAAATAAGCTATAAGAATATAAAATTCGTCCAGTCTGTCATGCATTTTCGTATAAAATTGTCATGAGAATTTCTAGAACAATGTCTTAAATCCAACAATGATTACCTTTTAACGAGTATATTCCAGTTAAATATCTGCAGGTGTTTTAGTGAAAAAAATCTGTCAATTGGTGCTTCCGGTGAAAAGTAAAATAACAAAAATACCGAACTCCAAGGAAAGTTTAAAACGGAAAGCCCTTTATCAAATTTCAAAATCAAAAGCTCAAACATACCAAAACGAATGGAAAACAACCGTCATATTCCTGACTTGGTACAGGCATTTCCTAATGTAGAAAATGGTGGATTAAACCTGGTTTTATAGCTAGCTAAACCTCTCACTTGTATGACAGTCGCATATAGTTTGCCAAAAAACTGCGTTTCAGTAAAACATAAACAGAAAATGAATAGAAGGAATCCTTTCTATGCAATTATTATTGATGCATAATTGTGAAGGTAAATTCTCAAAAAAAATATAATGACAAAAACAAATATTATTTCATCAAAATTTACACTGAGTGACGCCGAAGTAGTAGGAGCAAAAAAACAAAACGACTACAGATATATAGATACACTAAATGCCGACTTTGTGGTCCTAGAAATAAAATATCTGATGTTTATGTAAGACTCAAATCGACATCAAAATCTGACGTCATATTGAAATAAGATTCCAAATTGACTCTCGATTCTATTCCCCTGTACTCGACGTCTTTTTTGGTTCTCAAATCACTGTCCAATATTTGGCTTCTCTAATCGACGTCCTTTTTACGGACTTGCCGCATTGACGTCACAACCCTATTTAATGAACACAGCTGTCTTATTCCTGATTGGATATAGACATTTCCCTAATGCAAATGGTTGGTTGAACATAAAACTAAAAAAAGATTTGATCTAAATCTTGTACAGTTAAAAAAATAATAGTTTTCAGCCATTGATCGACTGTACTTTTTTTATTCTGTTTAGTATTTGAGACTCTGTATTTCCTCTATATGTCTTTCAGTTATCTTTGTTTTTGTGTTGTTGTCTCATAGTCTTATACATGTATTCGCATATCATTTATTTATATGAATATGACAGGAACAAGGTATTTGTAAAGTATAAAGATATATGAAAACAATTAGTTTCTTTTAGTAGCTTTACACAAAGGCAAAACGATACAGACGATGTAAACAAAAATAGAATAAATGATTAAATGATTAAATGATATTGGACATCGATCGGGCGTCGTTTCGGTAATACATGACGTTTTATTGGACTTCGATTAGACACTGGAAAGTTTGAATATGTGTATGAATCCATTGGGAGCCAATTGGCTAAAGAAGTCTAAAAAGATGTGAAAAAAACCATTTGTGGTTAGTTTTGCATTACAGTGTTGCATTTTAGTCTAACGTTTGTTAATTATACAAAGTGTATCAGCTAATACAAAAAATTACGTATTATTACTTATTAATCGTATACAATGCCGAAACATTGACTACTACTCAGATGAACAGTCCAACAGTAAGATTATCGAGTTATAATCAATCAATAGTGAGATATCTTATTGAACCCGTAGTGGTAAATCAATGTTATAGTATCGACATCGATATGAAAAAGTACAAAAGTATCATTTTCGGAATAAATATTTATATTACGTGTACAGGATATTTAGCAGAAACCAAGAATGCCGTCTACAGAATAACTTGATATGCTATTTGTTATTTGTCAATGAAAGACTTGATGAACGTGTTATGATTAGCTACTGATTGGATTCTGTCTTCAGACTAGGAAGATTATAACATTGAATACGGCTATTTAATAAAGTCATTCCCAGCACAACAAATGTTTTCTGAATAATAAAAACTATAACAAAAATACCGAACTCCCTAATATGTGTGAATGATTAACTTAATTTAATGTTTGGAGCTCTAAAACGTGACCTTCTGCAACTATTATATACTTTTTCTTGAAGTAGTTAAAAATAACAGAACAACAAATAAACATCAAGGTAATCGTACCAGGGTGAAAATGCGCCTTTTCTTAAATTTCAATTATTTACAAAATGGAAAAAGTAAAATCACAAAAATACTGAACTTCGAGGAAAATTTAAAAAGGAAAGTCCCCAATCAAATGGCAAAATCAAAAGTTCAAACACATCAAACGAATGGATAACAACTGTCATATTCCTGACTTGGTACAGGCATTTTCTTATGTAGAAAATGGTGGATTGAACCTGGTTTTATAGCTAGATAAACCTCTCACTTGTATGACAGTCGCATTAAATTCCATTATATTGACAACGATGCGTGAACAAAAATGATTGGACACGAAAGTGTTCGATATTCAAATTACTTCCTTCCGAAGTGCCTTTGAAATTATCCCAATTGCTTCTAGGGTTCGCCTTCATCATTAGTTTTGATGATTTCACTAGTAAATCGATTTCGACCTGAAACGATCAATTTGATCAGAACAGCTCTTAAAAATCCGAACAATAAATTATTACGTCATTCTAATTTGTTTCAGTTTATTTTCTGACATATCCACTGCGGTAAATTCAGTACTGTTCATACAATTTGCTTTCAGTCAATTAAGATCTGTTCAGTTTATGTTCAGACCGTTCAGTAGCTGCTATTTACCTGTACACAACTACATCATACTGAATTGTCTGAATTATTACTGAACAGTACTAAATTGGCTGCAAACTAGATGTCTAAACAGTACAGAATATACCGCAGTGGATAAGTCTGTAAATTGACTAAAAGCTGAACATGACTGAATAAATTATTGTTCAGACTTTACAGATCCTGTTAAGCTCAACATGACCGCTTCAGACTAAAATTCATTCACTAGTGTTTGTTATTGACTTTATTTGACTTTTTGTACTTTTATTATGATAATTAGTATGAAGTTATAGTAACGTTGGCACATCTCATTTCCATGAAGATTAAAATTTGGTCCGTAATCTCAGTCAAGGTTATTTACCCTAAAGCTATTCTTAGTTTAAATGTTAAAACTTGTGATTGAATGAGTTTCAGGGGAACCACTAGTGGTTACTCAATGATATTTAATATGCAGTTGTATTCTTCTGTCAATGGATATTATTTGGCCCTGCCTCCTCAGTCTTGGTTCTTTGACTTTGGAATGTATATAGAAATAAGAAGATGTGGTATGAGTGCCAATGAGACAACTCTCCATCCAAGTCAAAATTTATAAAAGTAAACCATTATAGGTCATAGTACGGTCTTCAACACGGAGCCTTGGCTCACACCGAACAGTAAGCTATAAAGGGCCCCAAAAAATTACTAGTGTAAAACCATTCAAACGAGAAAACCAACGGTCTAATCTATATAAAAAACGAGAAACGAGAAACACTTATGAACCACATCAACAAACGACAACTACTGAACATCTGCATAGTTTACAAGCTAATGTCAGGATTAGGTCAGTTAAAGGAAAAACAGGTATAATACTAGTAAGTCAATGAAATTTAGCATGCAGTTGTATTTACCATTGGCACATCTCATTTTAACGGATATTATTTGGCCCTAAGCTAAGATGTTTTGCATAATTAATATGTAAAAGTATTCCCATTATAATATCAACATATGTGTGTAGCTAGCAAAATTACATCACTGCAAGACATATTTCTGTGTCAACAGTTTATTTTAATATGTCAGTCGTACAAAGAGATAACGCAGATTCCAACTGTATTTGGAATTATAGACAAAAAAAACAAAGGAAAGATTTTTCTGATATCTCAGGTATCTTCTTTTCTTGTTTTGTCGCACTTAAAAATATTTGAAAAGTTTTTTTTTATCAAAACATTACTCAAACTATTGTTTGTTACTATACGTAAATACGAGATTATTGGTGTTCTGCTAATGTAAGAAATGATCTTCTAAATTTAATTCCAATTTTATATTCATACCTCTGGAATGTATGCCTTCTGGTCAATATCCGTTATCGAGGGCCAAATGAGATGCTCTTGTATCTCTTGTATTCTTTGATTATTTCTCTCTAACCTGACCTTTTCATCCAGTTGATCTATAAAATGACAAATATCTCTCGTTTATTGTTATCTAATTACCCGATACTAATGCTGTCTAAACTGACATGATACAAAGTAGCTGTATCAGGATCTGGTGACTGCTGTACATGAAAATCATATTAATCAAGGGATAAATGTCTACGTTTGATTGCCTTTTCCAAATTGAAATTTTTTTAGTTCAAACGATATTTAGAATCAGTCGTTAGTGTCTTTTCTGGTAATAGTATTTGATATTAATCCTCCGATTCTTTAACTTAGATATTGATAAACTGTGTCATTCTTCTAAACTCTCCTTGAATTTATCAAAATGTAATTTTGATTCATAGCTCATTTAATTTTATACAGACTTAGATGTCGTGCAAAGTATACCTCAATTGATTTCAGAAATTGATAAAAAAAAATTCATTCTAAGAAGATATAAACAAAATCAAAAGTCAAGTCAAACAGGACATGACTGCCTGGCAGATCTGAAAAAATTACGGTTCAACTCAACATTACAACTTTATTTCAGACTTTATTTCAAAACATTCCTTAATACAGAATATGTGTAATGCCTAAGACAAAATACGGACGGACAAACAGATGGACAATGTCATTGCAGTATATCACCTACTCCGAAAGTAGACGTATATTTATTAAATGTTAAATGTCAACTTCATTAAAAATGTATGAAGTGTATTTAAGAATAGGTCCCTCGTACACCCATTAGTTGAGTATATCATATTGTCGAAGATCTTAAGTTACTTGATTTAATTGCCTCATTAAAAAGTTTTTTTTTACAGAAAATTGTAATCTTCTATGGTGGTTACACATAAGAGAGTTTACATAACACATGATAAAGAAACCAAATATGTTATGTCAGTGTAACATTTTCTCGATACGATGTCTTTTGGGAATATCATATTCCTCGTTCTAAATCGTGAAATGATAAACTGTCTCTAAATTTAACTTTTAGTCCTTAATTTCTACGCGGTTCCAAGACAGGCAATTATTCATATGAACATTAAGATAATTATTGTAAAAAGATATTACCATATATCAGGAAAACAATCTACTCTTGAATGTTCTTGACATAATGATTAGTATACCTCCTTCTATTAAAATTTATATATATCCTACTCTCCAGATATAAATCAAGTGGTTTTTAACACCAAAACATACATGTCTTTACCAGACAATATGTTGCTTATCTCTCCAGAATATTTGTCTTCAGTTACAGAATATGTTGCTTTTATTTATCTTTAAATCCCTGTTCAAAATATTTCAATTAGAAAGCTTGCATCCCGTTGTCCTGAGGCCGGTTTTACATGCGATAATTTGAAATTTCGATTTTTTAAAACGATCTATTAAGGGTTGAAACAATGAAAAGGTACTAGCATGTTATTTTCAAATGTTAAATGTGAAGTCCATAGAGGACACAAATAAATTTGGTGAACATAAACAAGTACAACTGCAAAAAAAACTTGCTATCTTGTCATAGCAAATCCATATATATCTGTAAAGACGAACAGCGTCAGACACGGAAGAAAGTATTTAATGCAATTTTTTTTTTCACCTGTTACATCAACCCTTAGTTGCCCAGGGAAGCAACAATGGGGTCCCCGATTTTTACGGGCTCATTTGTCGGGGAAAAAGCAAATAAGAAAAAAAAAACTCACATTATTAATAATTAACATCTATCTTTATAAATATCATCTATCTTTGTACAAATGTACATGTAGTATAATCTATCTATACATTTTTAATATCACACCAAATATAATCGCTTGAATAAAGTATTCATTCTATCGGATTGTTTTCTCTCAAAAGAGATACCTGTATTTATTAGGCAGTTTCAATTTTATGCATTTTTTTAATATTTCTTTTTCTTTTATTGTTGTTTGTAAGCATGTAATGCTTTCCCTTCTGGACTATATGAGTTCATCCACGAAAATGGGTGGTGTTCGTGCTGCATAATCCTCTGTTTTCTTCGTGGTGTTTTAATTTGTGAACTGTTTTTTGCCCTTTCATATGTTTTCCTTAGCCAGGATGTTTGTTTTTCTTCGACCTCTATTAAAGGTTAAAATCATAGCAACCTAAGGTACATTGCATCGTCTGAATTGTAAGCAATAAATTGAAATGCATCACTTTCCCTTCCCGCTTTACAAGTACTGTTGATTTCACAATGCAACATTAAGCTTCATGGTATACAATTTTGAAGTAAAAATAAGTTGTACTCACGCAAAGACTCTTCCAGCTTGCCTATTGCTTCTGTAAGCAAATTTCGATCACTTTCTTCTGTTGTGTATTTCCTTATTGGTGCTAGCAATAGCGGTAGTTTTGTCGTGTGTTGAAGTGGTGCTACTAATAAATCGTTTAATTTTAAACGGTTGCATCTAGGGTCCTGCTCACACCACTATTAATAAATAAAATGGCGTCTTTTATAGAGAACAAACAATTATAAACAGAAAAAAAATCTGACTTGAACCTCGTGATTATGGAAATTTAGGTACTTTTCCTTTGCAAAGGTAAGTTTTTTTAAAAAACTCAAAATACATACAAATCCAATCTACATTGAGAATTCATTTTAGTTTTAGAAAAAAATAGTTGTATAAATACAAATTCAGACATCAATAACAATAAAACGCTTATTTCATTGGAATCGTTTTTTTCTTATAGCCTCAGGAATATGTTTAATTGGTGATTGCTGAATAACTTACATTCTTCCAAAGTGCAAATTATATGTCTTTCAAAATAGTAGTGAGTATAGGATGAAAAGCTAAACGAATTTTCGAATACAATTTTTGTATATTAGCATTTTCAATTAACCTTGGTTAAGCTAAACGTTATAACATGTTAACATTATTATAGGTAGACATGTTCTTACCAAGACAAAGCTATGGTTTTATTTGGATTTAATTTCTTAACAATTTTAATTTGCTAAGATGTTGAAAATTATGTGTAGTAAAATACCTTTTCAAATTCACAGAAATCATCGTTCTTTCTCAGCTTTTCAAGGGCATTTGCTGTTTTTGAATAGTTAACACAGTTTGTGTGAAACACTCCTCCTTCATTAGATATCTGTGCAAACTGTTAATAGAAAAACTAATATTAATATAATTGCAATATGTACTTTTCAAAACAATAACATAGACATCCGAATTGTTTCTACGGGACATTAAGGGTTCCATGACATAATAGACTTAATAAATACTCGAAAACAATGGGGAACAAAATAAGATGATTAGACTATATGGTCTGTGGAAATAAATCGTTGGCAATTGTTGTAGACAAAGAGAATACATTAGTACTGGTTAGTTGATAAACTGGAATAAGAAAAAAATGCTCGAGATTATAGATAAGCTGTACATCAATTTTTATTACAATATCTCGTTTTCATTAGTGAATTATATGAAATAGAATAATATGGTTAATATATATGTTCTCGCTGGATGAGTGTTATATACATATAACTGATCAATCTCAATATTATATTAGCACCATTGGATTTATCTATGGAGATTGACTCTTAATATTTGTAAAAGATGGGGTTGAATATATGATGTTGACAATTAAAAACATAACAATGACATGCGCACGATAAAAATCGAGCCACAGCTACAACTTGATATATCATATTCCTGTAAATGCTCCAGAAAAGTAAACATTTCAAACCTCAAGTGTCCATCATCTTGTTAAGTATGATAGATTGCAGAAATAAGAATTATCCGGTGACAGGAAAATGGAATGATAAATGTACTTCAGTTATGATACTTCTTAATTCTTAGGTCATATCTTCATGTTTTTGTTATTTGGAGAATTTCGTGTTGTAGAATCGGGGCGATTGTTTAGAGTTTGACATGTTGTAAAGACACCTGTTTATTGTTAAATGGTCGTTTGTTGACCTATACATGTCTTTTGGTTAGTCTTGTCATTTGATTGCTGTTTCATGACGTTTAATCCACACATTCATGCTAAACTTGATGCTTTATTCATGTTTAACTTCAAAGTGTATGCAAAAATTTATAAAAAGTAATATATACAAGTATGCATACTACAAATGCTACCCATTCGAGTCACGTAGTCATATAACAAAATTAATAACACATGAAGTCATTGTATTCAATATAGAAATGGTCAACTTTTCAATTGTACCGTGAATAGTCTTTATGCAGTAGGGTCTTTGGTATCAAGAAAATTCTAATTGGAAAACACGGGATTCTCAAAAAAGCATCAACTAAGAAATTTATACTTGATAAATTGAAGAGCTTCCTTCTGAACTGATTTTCATTCTTAGTTCTCACCACTACGCCCTTGTGTCTATCCTAAGTTACACCTAGTCTGTGTTTATATTCAGAGTTTACCTATCTTCAAGAATTTGGTGTTGAAGATAGTTTTGAAAATTTCCGATAAATCTATTCACAAACTTTCTAAAATCGTGTTACGTAGAGCTTGATATATTGCATAGACACTTGTCGTTGAGTTGCTATCACATCGACGCAAATCCCACATCTATTTTAATTTTTCTCATTGGAAAATACTCTTTTGTCATTAATTTACCGGATACAGTCAGAATTCGTTAGTTACTCGTACAGACTTGAATATTAATTTTCTATTCCATTACCATAACGAGAAGATTCAAAATAGATTGCATGTATGTTTGTAAACTGTCAGAATGGTTAGATTTGTTGTACTGTTTGTTTATCTGTTTTTGCAGGACTGTGTGTGTACTGCCATACAAATATCAAAGCTTATAGGTATGCTTGTCGTTTTGTATGAAGATGTTTATTTTAACGTACCCTTTCCAAAGCTTCTACTAGACTTGATGTATTCCAAATAGTATCGGTTGTTAAGTTACGTAACAGAACAGCAATCAAATCTTTACAGAAAGTATAACTGATCTGCAAATATAAAATAACATATAACAAAAGTGGAAATAAAAGTCAAGCAAGTCAACTGTTAGATTCTTAGTTATTTTGTTTTACGTGTATCACTTAGTATAATATAAACATGTAAAAGTCAAATATCTCTGTAGCTCTATTGTCGAATCAACTTAGTTGAAGATACGTTTATTGCAATAACTGTGTCTGTCTTTATAAATTATCATCTTTTGTCTTCTTTGTGCACTTTCTACGAAACATTTTAGAAAAATCCCGCTTTCTTGTGTCATTGAGTTATCCAAAAGTTTTAGAATTTAGAATTTGACAAATGTTGACTTTACTACCATGTATAATTTGCTTTAAATTTACTTGGAACCTCATATCTCCCACGGGTATTACATTAGTTCGATTTTTAAGTATTCTAGGTTGTATTTTGTTGAAACATGTTATGACTTAGCTGTATATGGATCGTTGTCTATTGAGGGTTATTTTGTCTTCTGTTGTATTGCGGATTCTAAATGTGTTTGACTTTCTACCTTACGCAGTCGATTCAATGTAACGGAAAGGATATGAAAATTTCTGATGTGTCACATAATCATGAAAAAGTGACAAGTTTAATATTGATGTGGTGATATAAGTGTGGGTGTATCTTTTGCTCTCGTAATTTTCCCCGCTAGGTATGCCCTATAATCCTAAAAAAATCCTCATACCTACTAAATCCTTGTTGCTGCAACTTCTTCAAATATGCATGGGCAAGCCTTCTCATAAATTAAAATCAGTTTGAAATATTCCACTCAAACAACATTGTTAGTTTTATTGAGCATAAGTACTCACTCTAACAAATAAAATATGTTGAGTGATGTTATACGTTGCACATGAAGTCATTAAATAAAGGCAACAGTAGTATACCGGTGTTCAAAAGTCATAAATCGATTGAAAGAAAAAAAATCCGGGTTACAAACTAAAACAGAGGGAAACACATCAACTATAAGAGGAAAACAAAGGAACAACGGGAACACTGAGGTACAACAAAAACAAACGCCAACATACATAGAAACGAACTTATACTTACATAACACAATTCATCTAAGTTTCCAAATATTTCGTCCGGTTCTGCGTACATCAAATGACCTTCCACTTGCACATTTTTCAGTGGTTCCATGAAACACTTGAAAATGATTTAAAAAAGTATAAATTGTCTTTAACTGTCGAAGAAAACTTGATTACCATAAAGTAAGTTGAGTAACATAATAAGTATTGTTAACTTTATGATTTTTATAACAGTGACATTCTTTCTTTCATATTTGACCTCTGCTGGTAAACTACTAATCCCTGAGGGAAGTGTGTGTTCACTAGCTAGTGCTCTCGTGTTGGCATGATACAAATGATATATTTAGTTTGTTGAAATCTAGCACATAAAATTATGTAATTTTGTTGGTTTACATCTCTCTGGTAAAAAGCTTTTTCTGTGTAGGCCAAATCACTCGATATAACTTATAAATGTATTTTAACAAGAGTTTCATGACGAGTGATAATTATAGAGTTGGAACTGGTGACCCTTCTAGAGCACCCGGATTCACCACGGTTTTCTTTTGTGAGATTCGAGTTGCGCAATCTGTTTGGTCATGATGTCTTTTTTGTCATTGTGTTGTCTCCTTTTGATTATAATATTTTCAAAGGTTTTATTTTTTTCGCTTTTCAAACTTTTGGTCTCAAACATAAAAGATGAAGTTTATTCCGTAAAACACGATTGACTTATGTTTAGGTGGATAAACACCTGGTTAAAAAGACTGCATGTTGTCCTCAAAGTTTTGTTTGGTCATTTGTGTATACAGGTTGCTATATCATCGACGTATATCTCATATCTTGTTTTATTCCTAGGTTTTGTGCGAACGGAAATCAAATCACAAGGTTTTTTCAGTAATTTCAACTTCAATAACATGTGTTATGAAAATGTAAAGAAGAAACGGAGGAATTTAAAATTTGGAAAACGTGGTTTGACAAACTAACAAAGAAACGAAGAAAAATACTTGAAATTGAACTTCGGTAATTTATATATCTAATAAACAATCATCATAAGTTGAGCTGTATGCTTACATGTTTAAGTACCATCAAATGGTCAACTAGGAAGTTACATTCACAAGTGAACAATTCCCATATTGCCTCTCGTCTTTTCCGTTCTGTTTCTGATATCTGTATTGGTTTAGTATTGTTTTCTGTCTGGGCAATTAGATCTGTCCAGTGGACACTCTGTAAAACAACACGTTATTTTCATGTATTTAGAATGTGTATTAAAGACTATTAAAATCGGTATAATTTAACAAGAACAAAGAGCAATACTGCCAAACAAAATCTAATATTTCACTCCATGTGTCTTTGACCGACTCCCGTTCGTCTCGGGTAGTTTGGTGTAAACATCAATAGTAGTACTTGCAGGAGAAGTCCATTGAGATGTAGATAGAGCAAGGATTATAAAAAAATGAGGATCACTATCTTGCTAAATGTTTAAAAAAAAATCATATGTATTCTAATTTGATAACAGATAGCCTCCTATTAGCCTACAGTTGGGGTGATTAAATGACTAAAAGTCGGACATGTTAAAATAACAAGTACGGCGAAATATGGCAACATGCCAAATTTAACAACACCTTCCTAACTTCGTGGTCTTAAAAACTAACACAATGTGTAGAATGAAAACGCAGTCTGATTCAAACTAGCTCATAGAAGAAGAAAACGTTAAATAGATAACATTTACTGCCTCCAATGTCCTATCCAGTTAGTGAACGTATGATCTATTTCACCTAAAATCCTTTATTTCAACATGTACTTTTAATAAAAAAAAATAATTTTCCATATCAAGGTTGAAGTGCAGAGGTCAAACGATCGTTAATAGATTAAAAAAAATCAATCTCTTCCTCTAGCATTTATTACAAGTGAGTAAAAAAAATGATTGTTTTTAGGTTGTAATTATAATTATATACCTTATAAGCAGCCAGTTCGGCGTCCTGAAAATGGGAAGGCTTCAATTTTGAAAGAACATCTCCCAACTTGGTTAACGATTCTTTACTACGTGTTTTCATCTGTAAATAAGAAAATTTGAAAAAGGAATCTTTTTAAAAACATAAGTAACATAATAAAGTCAAAATTAAAGCTTTATTATTCCTACCTTTATACAAAAGTCTTGTGACGAACGTACCAGGAAAAAGTTAGCTAATGTAATGCGAACGAGATATCATAATTAAGAGTCTGATTGCCGAGAAAGATGTTTTATTTGCTGGTGTATATATGTAAAATATAATAGAGATAAAACGTATCTTTTACAAAAAGATAGCCTGTCCTAGATCTAGGTGTACTATTTATTACAGAAAAAAACAATACTGTAAAAATGCTCTCAATGTCTACGTATCTTTTACTGTTTTGCACACTGAAATAGCAAGCATAAAGCCATAGCTATTCAGACATAAAATTGCTGGCTTGATTGTCGATTTGTTTCCTAATTTTTTCCAAGAATATCCTGTAGCTCTAAATTACTCCGCATAAAAAATGGACATTTGTCTAGAAAAAAAGGATGTAATTAGGGTATTACAAATATCAAATTCAGAATTTGAACCATTAACAGTACGACCTGTCGAGAATTCAATTAGCCCTCAAACTTATATCTTCTGTTCTTTGTAATCAAACCAATAGACAAATAGGTTCCTAATTCATCAGTTGTCTGACGGAACGTTATCAATTAAATTTGTGATTGATACATCTATAAATTAATTAGTTTAATATTTAAGTGAGTCGTCTTCGTCATTATATTTTCGTGATTTATGTGTTAATCTTTTAACAAATTATATTTTAAGGACTATTATATGCTGCTTATAAAATCAATCTTAACCGTGTAAAAAATCGAAGAGTCCGAAATGTTGTTACAGTGAGATAATGTCATGGACAAGGTTAAGTAGTCATTAACTTCTCGATTCGGACTTTGTTAAGATTTGAAAAACAAGTCTTAATCTGTGTCGGTAGGTTGCATGAAATGTATTGAACTGAAAGACATCCACATCAAAGTTATCAATACCTTAATATTTTCGGTCACATTATCCTTTTGAATGTGAAGGTATCATAATAGCGTGCTCGCCTCGAAATCTGAAGTTCTCGCGTTTGATTCCCAACCAGGCAAACCAATGCTTCTCCGCCAAGTTGGCGGGGCTTTAGAATTAAACACAAATTTATATACATTAAGATTTGTATAAAGACGGATCGACTATGGATCAGGATACATGGTCCGAGTAGGGTGACGATAGCTGATCCTGCGGACTGTTTCCTTTATGAAAAATTGCAATTATTGAGTCAGAGAAATTAGATTAAACTATAGCTATAAAACATTAAGATTAATAACAATTTAAAGGTTTTTGGTTGAGAGATGAGGGCCAATGGTTAGTTATTTCATTTTCTCTTCAAAATTGGGACATCATAATCTGAGAAGAAAACTAAAGTTCAATGCTGGAATATAACAAATCTTATTTACGACGACATTATTGTTTCAGGATGTCAGTGACAAGACATTTGACAAGACCTTTCAAAAATGATCAAGTAATTAAATACGCTTTTTCACGTCTTGAAAATTCTTTAAAAATAATAAGTTTACTGCGGGATTTACTATCATGTTGACAAATAAAATGCATTAATTTAAAAAAAGACTGACGTATCACACTAATGTTCATTCTCGCGAGATGATGTAATTACATAGAAAAAAAATGGAGTTGAAAAAAAGAAAACATCTATTATTCTTTCCATGTTGGAATAGACAGAATACGAAAATTCAAAATGTTGTAACAGCCTGAAGACCACACTACAAGAAAAATATATTAAATGCAAAATTGGTAACGGTGGTACATTTATTTGTTAGATTTAAAGAAAAGTAAAATTCATCAACTGTGCGGTTATTACCAGTGCACAACAAGTACAAAGATTATGACCAGAAGAAAATAAAACAAAAAAGCAAAATTATGTATAACCGTACGTCAAACTGATATATTGACAACAATAGTTATTATTAAAACTAAGTTAAAAAAAATAACGATCATGATACTGAGTTATCAAAAAAAGGTATGCATCTGGCACGAGCAATTTTACATACATGTAGGTTGCAATATAGAAAGCCGGAAACAATTTTCCTGACACTGAGAAATGAAAACAACAAGTAAAATCTGTCCAGCTACTGCATTATATGTCTTTTACATCAGCTTGTATTCTTTTCTACATTGTGGTCCATAAATTTTGTAAAATCAACAGAGATAGGCAAATTTAGAAATATTATGAACAAAAATTAACAGAAAGTTGTGTTCAAAAAGTAAAATTCAGCTTCCGACCATAAGATATCCCAGCAAAAACTTCAACTAGTTGTTATCTAAAGTAGACGCAACAGTAGTCTTCCGATGTTAAAGTATCATACATTCATTAAGAAGATATACATTGAAGTATAAACAAAATCTGAGGGAATTGTATGAACTTCACTTTATTTGTGTACTTCTTGGTTTATAAGCTCTTCATCTTTTTAATCATTTTTGGATTTTCAAACATTTTGGCATCGAGCATCACTGAAGAGATATTTATTGTCGAAATGCGCATCTGGTGCAGAAAAAAACTGTACCTTTAATGTTCTGACAGACCTGCACTTTCATAGCATCAACCTACGATTTTTGAGATAGAAACATACAGTTACAAGAAGAAGAAAATAATACAATAACTTTAACTCGAGACTTTAATTTACAGACTTTAATTGACAAAAAAAAAAGCGCTTCGGACGCATAAAATTTAAAACGTGTTGTGTTCATTTTTTTAATTAGAGAGTTGAAAGAAAAAAGAATGAATTCACAGAATAATAATCTGATACAGCAAACCTCACTGAAACGGAAAGAAACTGGTGACATTTATTTTTAAAAGGATATGTGTTACAACTGTAAAGTATGTTCCATCGTGGCGGCCTGGTAATGTTTGAATTAGCAAGATCACAATTTTAAGGCCCACCAAATTACAGTCTACGCAAAAATCAATATCATAATGTTGAAAATTGCATTGAACAAATGTTCATGCACACTTGCGAATACACTCTAGTATTTTAAACTCCCATGTATTTTTACATAATTTAGTGGATTCACCAAATTGTCGTTATGGTGCTATAGAAACATCAAACTTGGCCTAACCCAGTAACTGTACTAACAAATGACTAATGAATTCTTTTGGTGATTTTTCCGTAGCGTTTTGGTGTAAATATTTTGCCCTTTTTGTCAGATTTGTTAACTGGTGAAAAAATAATACTCATTTGTATTTTAATATATTGAAAAGTAAAAGGTTCACGTCATAATATGAAAGTGCCATAGAAGCTTTCATTTAGTTTATTTTATCCACTTGGTTTTTTCTCAATCTACAATATAATCAATCTAATTTCGTATATCTTAATTGACAGAGCATGCTCCAAGAATTCATTATGTTTTATGTCATAATGTTTTTTTGGGAACAGGATATACTTGTGATAAACATGAAAGTAGTCGTATAATTGTTTTAGGGATAACACGAATAGAATATTGATGAAATGAAAAAAGGCAATTGAATGTGATCAATATTCAAACAATCATATTATGGACAAAAAATATGAATTACTGAAAACTAATTTAATCACTCATCTGAGCAAATAATTGAAAAAAGTACGAGTCTAGGATTCTTGGAAATACAAATTGCTTACTCTGTGATATACGACCATTTTAGAGGGATATTTTCAAATAAAACGTATTATTCATCAACAAAACTGACGTTTCACGCGATTATGTAGTCTGTTGGGATAAACCAGTAAGTAATAAGAGACTGCAATATTTCAAACGTGACCCAAATGTCTAAGAGGTATAATATCCATAAACAAAGGAAATATAATGAATTAGGGAAAATTACATTATTGTTAAGATACACTAAAAGGAGTGTAAATAATAGAAATGGGTTTGTTTCCGCAACAATTATAGCAGAAGGTAAACAAATTTGATAAACTCGAATAACAAAAAGATTACCGTAAAAAAAGTAATTTCATTGTAGACATTGTAGTGATGGCCTAATATCACAATATTTTTGTATATATATGTTTTTACAATTTGTACGGAACACCTGAACAGATCAATAATGCTTTGATATCAATATTGCCTGGATATCAATGCCAGTCCTAACAAATATCAGCTCAACTTCAAAAAAGGATATCACGAACAATTAATTGTAACATCATGGATTATATAATGAGAAAATTATTTTATAATTTCTAAACACGATTCGTTTACAGAATATTATTGCCATCAGTCTTAGGAATAAGAAGAAAGGACCTATTCGTTTCAATCCTGTTGGTAATCTGTTTTTGCTGTCCATTTATTATTTAAATAAAGGCAACAGTAGTATACCGGTGTTCAAAAGTCATAAATCGATTGAGAGAAAACAAATCCGGGTAACAACCTAAATCCGAGGGAAACACACCAACTATAAGAGAAAACAAAGGATTGACAGGAACACTGAAATGCAACAAAAACAAACGCCAACATACATAGAAACGAACTATTTGATAACAACTGCCATATTCCTGATTTGGTACAGGACATTTTAAGAAAAAATGGTGGGTTGAACCTGGTTTTATGGCTAGCCAAACCTCCTGCATATATATGACAATGCTAAAAAATATCGCTAAAATAACAACACAACGTGACAGAAATACAGCACAGACACACGTAAGAACACTCATCTCAGAGAAACGCACAAACAAATAATATAATAGTCGACACAACATGCAAACCGCAAAACCACAACGAACATCTTCCATCAACGACAGACACCACAGGACATCACAAACAGTGACGCACTTACGTAACGAACATGCATTATTTAATATATATGAAAAATGTACTAACAAATTACATTCTCATTTTCAATAGAATCAACATATACTTAGATTTAAAAATTCATAAGGGGTATCGCAGAACCATGTGTCTCGCCTGCGATCGCTGCTGTTAGTGTAAAAGTGTAATTTTGACTTAAAAAGTGAGTCTATTAATCAGTAAAGTATAACCATAATCATAAACAAGCTTCTGTCAAATTTCCTAAAATTCCATGAAGGTTTGACAAAGTTATTGATGTCTAAACAAAAATTTAAACATCAGACTGAAACTAAATGTTGACGCCGCGGACGCCGACGCCGACGATGGAATCTAGGATCGCTATATCTCGCTTTCGCGAAATTATGTCGTATGCTCGACAAAAATGAGAAGAAGATACATTTGGGCAATTCAAGACCAACAAGTCGAAGAAAAAGAGTCCTTAACCAAAGGAAAACAATCAACAGTCCAACAAAATTCTGCACAGAAAACGATTGAATGACACTAACCTCAAAAACCAAGAAAGTGGAGACGAGAGTCAGGTGCTCCCGACGGGTCAGCAGTTTTTTCTCCTCTATCGAAGTTGTATTGCAAATATATGAACAGTTTGAATGGACGTCGGTCATCCTGTTGATAACTATCACATGAACTGTCATTTATAATTTTGTCAAAAGTCATCTACAGAAATCTTTAAGTACAACGCATAAATCTATTGACTGTGCCGACTTCTTACTTCTAATTCAAGGTTCAACATGCTAATATTTTAAATGGTTGGATAGCTATATCATGTTATACAACGATACCAATTGTTCAATCAACTATCTAGTTCGCAGCCCAGCCGCGAGATTTGTCTATAGATTGGAATTGTCGATAAATGGTTCAATTAGCGCACCACTTACAAAGGCTACATGCTGAATAACCATGTTCATGCTGAATAACCTTGAAGAAAAGTTATAAAATCAGATAAACTGCAAAATAAGAATATCATCTAAAATTGCAGTGAATAAAGAAATATAGGGGAGATTGTACTCAGCATGAAACTGCGTTGGTTCTGCTGTTATTAAAAAATAAAAAATTCGTATTTTCGCAAACAGATGCATTGTTATTTGATTCAAAGGAATGCGGGTCGTTCCGTCTTGAATCCCATTGGCTCCGTGCTTCTTTGTGCTGGAATTCCCGTTTGTCTCGGGGTCGTTTAGTGAAACATAGGTAATGGAACTTGCAGTATGTCCGATGAGAACATAATGTCAAATGTAGATAGAGCAAATGATTATTAAAGAAAATGAGGATCCATATCATTATAGATATTAAGATTAATTTCTATTCTAATTTGCTAACAGCTAGATAGTGACCTATTGGCTTAAATAAATGACTTACAGTCGAGCATGTTGAAACAATCTACTTTAATTTTTTACATAATAGTCAGAAAACGGCGAGTATGACAACAAGCCAATTTGAGGATCTATAATTTGTTAACAGATATTGACCTTTTCGATTAGATAAATGATTTATAATCAAGCATGTTGAAATGATCTACCTTGTCAGAAAAGGGCGAAATATGACATCAAGCCAAATTTTCTGACACTTGTAGGCATTAGCAGTTTCAAAATCTGATGAATATGGAGAATGACAATATCCTATATGCTTAATGCACATCAAAGGTAACTAATATACAAATATGAAGATGTGGCATGATTGCCAATGAGACAACTTTTCACCACAGATGTATACAACAGATTCAGTCTGATTCAAACTAGCGTAGAATAGAACACATTATATTGATAACATTTACTGCAACAAATGTCAAGTCAATGAAAGTATGGTACACTTTATCTTACCTCAGAAATTTGAGGTAATCGCAATAAAAAAAATAATTGGCAATATTATATTATTCCAAATCCTTTATGTCTTTTTCTATTATAATCGCGATTGCGCGGCTACCTCTCTACTATATCAAAAAATAAACAAAAACAAAAACAAAAACGACCAGAGTTTTTGTTTATTCCAGATCACCTTTAACTTTAAATATTTTTCTTACCGAACAATGCGACTTATAGCCTCCCCGTCGTATTAGCGATTTTCCAAGAGGTGACCTTGGTATGGACGACTACGTTTTTGTTTATTCATAATATAATCAAATTGTCAAGGAATAGAAGTTCCTTTATAATATTAGTTCCAAAAGGAATAAATATTCTGGATTATTATTTCCAATGGAAGAAATTTTACAGTATTTATTCCCGACAGAATAAAGGGTATATATAGAATATGCGTTCCAACATAAACAAATATTATAGCATTATTTATAATAAAGTTTCCAGAGGAAATTCTTTTAGAAGGAACAAATACACGTCTACAAAAGAAGGTTTGACAAAAAGACATTTGATTTGTTAAAGTAATCTACCTAGACTTTCTTTTTACGCATGACTTTTGAAAACGGAACCTTGTCTGACTCCTGCATTGATTGCTTGATTGTTGGTTGCTTAACGTCCAGTGGCAATTGACTCCTGGGTGTCAAGAAACTAAACCTAAATTGAAAGGTACACTTTAAGAAAAGATATCGTATCTTTAAAGAATGTGCGTTTAATACTGTGCAAGCTATTTTACTTTAAACATTTAATATCCTTAAACAAATAGTACTTACAAATTTCCTGAATGAAAATGACTGCCTGTTCTTTTTGGTATCTATAAAAAAAAAAAACAAAAGCGTTGAATAGCTTATTCCATTTTGACATGGAATTCAATTTGCTGTGATAATTGTTTAAGTTTCTATTTCAGGTTTGTAAAATTTTCATACGATTTGCTTGACGCATTGACAATTAAAACAATCTATGATAGTTGTATCAATTCGAATCTCTATCGCAAGGTAAGTAACGTAGATATGTTTATATCTCAAGAAAATCAATTGAGAGAAAGTTTACTGGTTAAAAGAAAACTAGTCTCTACGGAAAAGCTTGCTGAAGAACCAAACAAATTCAATTGTGCAGACTAAAAGTAAGTAAACTATAGAGAAGGAAAAATTATTTTGAATGGAAAAGATCGTCATCTAATTATGAACTATTCCCTTTTATATTAAAAAAAACACACAATCATTGTTAAGATAGAATTTTAAAGTAAAAGTATATACAAATAAAAGATGGATGTAATAGTTTCTATTTTTGGTTTCCATTTCTTTTTGAATATAAATTATGCATCATCCTTTTGCTGAAAATATTTTTGAATTACTTGCAAGAACATTTCTCTGAATAAATAACTGGTTTAATTTGACGGTCTGTTGGGACAGCTTTTGTTACTTCACAATTGGTTTTCTTCATCATTTAAAGTAGTGAGGTTATACAATTAAGGGTTCAACTCTTTGCGAAAATAATTTCAAAACCTTCAAAGATTTAAATTTACATATTTTAAAAAAATTAAAGTTTTCAAAGCGTTGAAACAGAATCTTGTTTTAAAAAGTAGTTCTTAATTAAGATATAGAAAATGCAGAGGGATATGTTTTAATGATATGTAAATGTATACATTTGTTAAGCATACGAACATTTACAAAGCAGTACCTCGGATTTTATTGTTGTTTTATTTTCAATATTATGCAATCATTTTGTAACTTATGCAAAGAAAGAATTCCTGCTTATTTGATGATATGCACAATGATAACTATAATTGTATTGCATTACTATCTTTAAGCAGTATTTTCCCCAAAGCAATTGATCAGCTAAGTTTACTCTACTATTCCTTATACTCAATGTGAAAGACCGACTACATCGTATCATTAAACAGAGCTTCGTCTCAACAAATAGGAAACGTAGATACTAATTCTTTGTTCTGTGACCATGAAAAATCTTAATTGTGAAGAACCACACTAGTTCCAACATCAAATACACCGAAGGTGATGTCATAAAAAGCTGGATCGAAAACATATTTGTTGAGTTTGCTAGTTTGATATTTACCCATACAATCAGTATTTCAAGGGGGTACTAATTGATTTGTATTTGTACTCATATGAAGCAGATTTCATGCAAACCTTCTCAAAGACAAAATAGTATGTTGGAAAGTTATTTAATTTGACTTTCAGATATATTGATGATGTCCTGTCTTTCAATAACCCACATTTCAATGAGTGCTTACATCTCATATATCCAAGTTAACTTGTTATTAAGGATACTTCCAAAAGTAGAAGGATAGCTCCATATCTTGATATGTTTCTCGATATTAACATAGATGGACGACTTCAAACTAGAATCTATGACAAACGTGATGATTTCAATTTCCTATTGTCAACTTCCCATTTCTCAGCAGTAACATACACTCTTTTCGTCGTATGGTTTTTACATATCTCCGTTAATACGTTACGTTTGTACATCTTCACATCATGCGGACTTTGTTAACAGGGTGTGCTTCTTTATTTAAACTACCCCAACAAGAGTTATGAAGAAGAACGACTGAGGTATACACTACAAAAGTTTTATAGTCACCATCGCGAATTGGTTGATCTATACTATGTGTCATGGTCAATACTCACTAGCGACATGTTATCGTGGTGTTAGACTTTAAGTGATCTGTTATTTTGCGTGATATTTAGACTTATATTATGGATTCGCTTGGCTGGTGATGCATGTATAGCAGAAGACTGGTATCCTGTCGACGCACCCGGTTCGCTCATTTTGGAGTTCATACGATTCCATCAGTTTTAGTTTGTTACCTTGATTTGTCTCTTCTTAAACAATGTACGAAATCGACACATTGATAAATTACTGTCTCATTAATTTAGTAGTAGTGTTAAACCTCTACACCGTTCTTACGGGTTTGCGGGTTGGATTCTTAAAGGTTTGATTAATCGTTTCGAAAACCATTGTGCTTTATTCAAAAATGCAAAGCTCCTTCAAATTTAATATGGTTACACCTTTTCTGAGCAGATGCCATGTCTTTACATGTATTCAAGAAAATATGTCTTCATATTGAGATTACTTTGTTTGGAAACCTAATATTTTTGATAATTTAGTGTAATACAAAATTGCTAAATCAAGTATTATCAAACACACCATCAAAATGTCCCGGTTGATTTTGTTCCCTCGACCTATAGAAATCTGAAATTGTATTCCTTTTCAACAACTTTTTTCTTTTATCTCTAAGCATCTGTTCCCGTTGATAGTTATGGTTCTCCAAATCATCAGAACTTTTTCTACGATTGCGCCTGTAAGATAAAATCAAGGACTTTAACCACTAAGGGAAAGTTTAATTTCCAGTGAAAAGGGGGCTTAACACAGTTATATTTGTACCCTCTACCATCTACTCAAAATTGTCTATCCTAGATACCTGTTCTAGAACAAACATTGTTGACAACATTGTTAACAACATTGTTAATACCTGTAGACCATGGCGAATAATTATAGATTATCTATCGTTCTGAAAACGAGAGAGAGAGTTTATCTGCTACAATCTCATCGACTTGAAAGACCATAGATAATATGTTCATCACTATTCATACTACAACTGTGCTATTTGAGCAGTCATATTTAATGAATTTGATTAATCCTTTGACCGCGAAGTTTTTAGAATGAACTTTCTAGCGTTCGCGGCATTTTGCATACCTTTTATGTTTTTCAGATGTTTTGTTTTGCCTTCGTGAAATTTAGTGCTTATGGCAGATCTTGGTCAGCCTCTGCTAATTGATGAACAAAATTTTCAGGTGAATTTTTACCTTGGCATGAATACTATATTGTGGAAGACCGCATGTATATGTTGGATTGATTTCCCATTGACATTTAACCCATATCTTATTTCATTCATGAAAACCCAAGAAGAATGTTTTGTGTAAAGTTAATGGATGAAACGTTTCGATGAAGAAATGCCTTTACACGAACATGATGACTTTACTTATACCAGAACAAGACCACTATATTAACACAATGACTAAGACCGGAACACTGTGTTATTAAGTTTACCAGATCAACTTCCACTTTACTACCTGATCCTACATGTAGCACCAAACTACCGTATTTTAATAGATATTTTGGTGGGAATAAGGTAGCCAGTCACACACAATAGAGCGTTCACAACGCTGACAAAATACCCAGCAAAAAAAAATTAACATCACCAATACAAATAAACCTTATAAGTTTGTCCTAAAATCCGAGAAAGAATATTTCAAAAATACAGTAAAGTTTAAATTACAAATTAGAAAACGTTGTAATATTTTATATAATCCATATATAACCACTTTGTAGAGGGTATCAGGCGGACCATTACACCCGTTGAACGTACAGATAAGAATACATTAGTATTTTAAGAGTATAACATTGTAAACGACTAGACCTGATGCAATCAATATCCATTTACAAATAAAATGTACATTCCTGCATCAGAACAAGAAAATTGCATTATATCTACAATTTAAAAGCTTGACTAAGTAACTGATATCAAATATTCTACAAATTTACGATCTTCGACTTCTATTATATCAAAAGTAAAATATAAAAAAAAATGTTACCTGTTTTCGTCTTCATCACAGGACGTATTCGGCGTGGCATCAGATGACATTGGAGTCGGCGATACGTCACCTACGTTCTGTAGAAAATGATACATGGTTTTAAAAATGTATATTTACAAAATTAATGTAAATATTTGATACCATTTGTAAAAGAGAAAGTATCACGAAGAAAACAAACTATGATAATTGTTTTACCCTAAAAACCATTTTGTATATATTTATTCCTTTCTAGAGAGAAAATCTAACAAGAAAAGAAACATTTATATATCTTCATTTCATTATCTTTACATGAGCATAATATGAAAAACCAAATAATAAAAAACATATCGCACACTTATCATTGTAATCCGTGCAAATAAAAAGCAAGTACGCCTATTTTCAAAAGTTTTCATAGAGACATGTATTACATATTGTTTGATATATTTTTAAATAAATCATCGATTAAACTATTTATTCCGCATCTAAATTTACGCTTTTCCTGTATCCATGCTTTATGTCGGATAAGTTAAGCTATATTATACATGTTATACACTTCACGTTCACGACATTGTTTTATCCAATCTACTTGAATATTGTAGAGGAAAGCAATCCCTGTTACAATGTCTTATTGATACTGACATTAGACTCAGAAAAACACACCACAGATACATATATTAAGGCTTATAAGTTTTTTTCATGAAATCGCAAGAAGAATATGAAATTTAAACATAAATCAAAGTTTAATCAGATAAAGCAGTAATACTTTCACATAATTGTACGTGTATATCAGTATTTTATAATGTACAATAATGTGGTAAAATCTGGATTCTATAACTTAAGATTTTTCCATTTTGCAATAACGTGTATTATGTAAGTAAGAGGCAACAATTACTGTTGTCTACCGATGTTCAAATCTCGTTCAAATCTCGTAAATCCATTTTGAATATACAAACCATTATAAAATACTGAGATTAATAGCAAGTAAAATATGACTGCATTACGCAAATCATGCTACATGTTTCTGTTATAATTACGGATTGACATTTAAAGCAGGTCTGATTATCTGAGGTTAAGAATAAATAATGCAGGTGTTTCAATATTGTTCTTTTATTAACGTTAACTAATCCATTGTATTACACCAATATGGGCCTCATTTCCTAAACATGATTAAAATTCAAAATAGCAAAGGTTGATTTCTTTGACAAATAACATAACGTTGAAGATAAAAACATTTTATTTAACTAGTCCATTTGTTTGCAGAAGCAAGAATAATTAACAGAGAACATTCAGTTATATAAGAGATATGACGCTTAATTAATTTCAATATACAATTTACCCTATAGCTAATCCCGTCTATTGTGAACATTTTGGTTTCACGGAATTAATTTTTCGATCATGCAACGAGAATTTGACAGACAATGGTAATTTTCCTTAAATTAGAATTTTATCAAAACCAAAATTAAAATCCAGTGAAACATGAGAAAACATCGTAGAAACGACATAAGCATACAATATATGGAAATACCATACGATCATCAAGTTCTTTCACGTATAAAGTTAATGAAACTAGCTTCCTTTGTCGGAGGATGAGACAAAGAGTAAAACTTCATACAGCAAATTTAATTACACGAATAAGCAATTTCGCATGTATAATTATAATAATGTCATCTATCATGCATATTTTTCTATAGTTAGGAGATGTGGTATGACTGCCAATGAGACAACTATCCAACAGAGTCCACATAACGATTTACACTGTAAGCAAGTATAGGTCACCGTACGACCTTCAACAGTGAGCAAAGCCTATACCATATAGTGAGCAATAAAATACCCAGACATGGGAAATGTGAAACAATTCAAACGAAAAAAACCAACAGCCAGATTTCTGATAAAACAATAAATAAAAAACAAATATAACAGTCAGCAAACAAACGAAAACCGCTGAGTTACAGACCCCTGACATAAAGAATGTGGACGGGTTAAACATATTTGTATAAGAGAGGTGATAGATACCAAAGGGATATTCAAACTCATAAGCCGAAAACAAACAGACAATGCCATTGCAAAAAATGAAAAAAAAAATATAATTTTTATTTGTTATATTTACCATGATTCATGCTTAAATGTATGAACAGTTTAGTTTACGTGTATACTGATTGAATATTAAAGCTACATAAAATTAATTTTGAAAATTAAATAGAAAAGAAAATCTGTATTGTTTTGATTGGAATAAGCAATGATCCGGTTTGATTGTTGATATTTGGCTCAAGTTTGTGACTCTTTGAAATATTTTGTTAAAAACTAACCAAAAATTAATGGCTTCTTATCATTTTTGCTATAATATGAACTGACTTCTCTGTTGATATTTCTTTGAAACCACCAAGGGTGACTGGGGAATAGAAATATGGTCATCAATGATCTTCCTCCGACGGCAGTAAAACCCTCGCCAAAGTTGGGCGTCTGTTTGGCTGTACGGGATGTACTGGTTCGCGGCCACGTCCGGTCAGAATGGGGACGTTAAATCCGACGCCTCGTGTAAAGAGAGTGCCACGCTCTTTGTATGTTAAGAACCCTTGCAGCAACTCTTTGAGGGGTCTGTAGTAGGTCTGTTGCAAGGCAAAATTTCTGTCCCTATCCAATATACCCTCATTTTCCCGTGGCAGTCCAAATTTCCCCGACCTTCATCCCGGGCGGCCTCTATTACAGGACCTACCTATTGTATCTATAATTGTTAATTTGTTCTCAACCTGAACATACATGAAATATTTGCCATTGGACGTTAAGCAACCAACAATTAATCAATCAATTTTCTTGAGAAAGGTGCTAAACTTTATTTAATGTTGACAAAAAACAATGCTAGATAACTATACGATATACAGTTATTATAATATTTAAATACCTTTCGTTAAATGTGAGACTTTGTAACATTAGCAAGATTTACGGCGATTTATTAAATATTTACATGTGATACATTCAACTTTATATAACTTTTTTTCAAATCAACGACATCACTTCAAGATATTTGTAGTATCATTTCTGTCTCAGTTCATGTGGATTATTGTTTCGTATAACGTTTAGACCTAAAATGCTTCAATCACAGAAGAACCTGTTTGCTTATCATTACATAAAAGGCTTTTATCTGTGAGAATATTGCAAACTCTTTCTTAAGACAAAACAAATGTTTTAGAGTTACTCAGAACGAATTTACAAAGCTATATACCTATTGCTCTTAATTTGAAATGCACATAATTAAACTTTAATGGTATATAAAATAAATACTTATTATTTTTTTTATATAGAGTCGCTGCCTTAAAGAAATGTATCTTTTACGGTTGTATTGTATATTTGTATGCATACGATGAGACGTAAATAAAACAGCACAGACAACTTTTATTGCTTACAACCTCTCTCAGTTTTATTTAATTGTATGTCGACTTTCAAATAAACCTTGACATTTTCGTAATCTCCTAAACCATGCAGTACAAAATGTATTTAGGTATTTAGTACGTAAATATTAATAAAATGCTACATGTATTTACTTTACTAAAAGGGAAAAGTTAATGAGATGTAATTAAATGTCATTTTATGTTTAAATGCAATAGCATAAAACCAGACATATGTAAAATGTTTGTAAACCATGTCTTAAATAAATATATGACCAGCTTTGATAAATCATTCGTAACTGAATCATAAAATAAGATTTATCGATTATTTCAGGAAATTTTCTGGTTGTCCCTTTTCACTATTATGAAATGATGGAAAATAATTGACTGCGAGTTGTCATATGCAGGAGTATAATAGTTTACTACGTAAAGCAAGTTAGTACCTTTGTATCAACTATGGCTAGGCGTCTTCCTCTTCTTGGTATTGGTGAGGCTGCAGATTCCTCGGAATGCTCAGATGTCAAACTTGACAGACTGGACGATGCTCGCCTTACTAATGGTCGTCTCTCCTGTTAACAAAAAGTTAATCAATTCAACGTCACATAAAACACTTTGAAGATTCAGAAATAAAAAAATCTAGAAGGAAATTATTGTGTATAACATCAATGCGAAACCGTTTCAAACGTTTCTTTATAGCTCAGTGATTAATCTAAGGTAATAATCATCTTACAAACAGGATATTGACAGTTTTGAAGTTATCCTTAATTTGTTTATAGATAGATTTAATTTAAACGTGCACAAATATGTTCTTATATTGCTATGATCTAACCAAAAGGCATAGAATACATGTTCACATAGCATGTGAAATAACAGCCCGCTAATGTGACGAGAATCATTACGTGTCACATGTAAATATGTTAGATGCAGATATTCTTGTAACAATTAAATGTATACAGGACATCAAATTAGTAACCCATTCATTATTGGAGAGTTGGGCAGGTAAACACGTCTTTACTTGCCCTTCTCATCATCAGTTAATAAATGCCGTGGCAATATCTCATCAACGTTGTTCATTAATTGACACTGTTATGTTATTTTTTTGTTACCAAAATTATGAAATATATATGTATAATAGTAAAAAGCTTCGTTTCAACTTATCGTTGGTACAATTACGTCCTCTCTTCATCGATTGTGACATTACCGAATCCGACTTATATATATATATATATATATACAAGTCTAAGTTGAAAACAACGTTCAAACCTATAATTGCGTTGGATAAAAACCGCAATTTTTATACGTGTGCATGCAAAACAAATTTCTTGTTAGAGGGGTCTAAATACAGCACAAACAACATTTTCCAAAAGACCAAAAAAGTGAAAAAGTATATTTTAACAAAACGCATTTGACTGACTAACAGGTCGAACAACAAATGTTCTTAAACCCTGCTGACTGCCATTGGCAATTACCAAATAAACGGATCACCGATGTAATAATATGGATCTTAATTATAAATTTGATACTAAACAGAAAACAATCAACTTGCGGAAAAGATGGTATACCGCAAACAAAAGGTGCAAAGGTTTTTGTACACATATCCGGATTTCGACAATTAATGTCTCTTCAGTGATTTTAGGAATCCAAACGGTATTTGGAAAGCCATACAATTTACCTCAATTTAGGATAGACTCTTGAATATATATATATATATATATATATATATATATATATATATATATAAGGAGATGTGGGTATATTGCAATTAAACAGCAGCCGAATGGCACAAAAACTCAAAAAAACATCAAGGCATAGATCGGACGAATGAAATTTATAAAGTGTTGTTTTCCTTTTTATCAACATAGTACAGTCAACAACAAAATATACATGTAGTAAGCATTGATCGAAACTGTACGTTTATCAAGGTTTACACAGGAAACCAATCAACCTTGTCCTTGAACTTAGTAGAGAATGTTCAGATGTTATATTAAGAAAAATCTGGATTATTTAACGACGGCACGTCGTCATAGAATTTGAAGATATTGGTGAAAATTTCTATCAATTGATGTTTTGTTTGGGTTCCTCGTGAAAGAACATTAACTGCATGTATTGATAAAAGTAACAGAAAAATCTGCGACAGAGTGGCACAGTTTTAGTCACCATTAGAATACCAATCACGGTTATCTTTATTTATATGACGAACATAAATATTATCAAGTAAATTCTGAGGACTTCTACTCGTTATGAATAAGCGAGGGAAGATAATCATTGAACATAATTATGTGCTATGCCTTAATTGTATCTAAGACTAAAACCGAAACAAACACATAAAGTTTATAAGGTCAAGGCCTTTGTTTGTGTCGACTAATTAAGTTTCAAAACGATTTGTTTACAAACTTATTCCTGTAAATGCATAAACAACGCTTGTAAATTCATAGCATCATAAAAGTACTTCATAAAAGCGTTTCTTGTCCAATAAAAGATATTTTATATAGAAATGTTTTTAATGACAAGTGTTGTTACTAATGGTGGACAATAAACATGAATGTGATGATATTAACGAATTTAACATGGTTTCTACTAACCGGGATACAACAGGGAAGTTAATGGTAATTCGTTTTATGGAAGTGTTATGGAATTATTCGTAATTACAATTTGCTTTGCTAGAATAACAGGGTTACTGTCCTTCAAAGAAAATCCAATGTTTATTGTACAGGAATTAAATATAAATATGGACACATAAGTTACTTGTGTTGTAACTAAATAGAAAATATTGTAACAGACTCGTTTGGTAGTCAATCTAGGTTAATTGACACTAACAAATACACTTTGTCATAATTACGATCGAAATAATAACACATGCAACATTTTAACTATAGATATTACAAAAGGTCTAATAAACTGACATTGTAATGACCCTTAACTTATTTTATGAAGGGCATACGATACAGTTACAGGGGAGGTAATGAAGTTACTAACGTAAAATGTTATTTTTCACTACGTCAAACTGTGACATATCGGGAAAAGATACATTTTCGACTGATTTTTATCATTCAGACTGATTTAACTTAAAAACGAGTTCATGGACCCCTCTTTTTTAAAATGACATTTGGCTTGATTATGTATGAAGATTATTTGTGCCAATTTTTAAATCACCGATGAAATTTTTTAAAATTAGATAAATATACAGCAAAAAATGTCGTTCTTTAACTAAAACCCTGAAAATGTGATAAAAAATAATAATTTCCAAAGAATTATTACACAAATTCAAAGCACACTTATGTAGAGAAGATATTCCAGATGCTTTTACAAAAATCCGCTTGCGTTTATCTTTTGAAACAAAAAAGTTAAGTATGTCTTTCTAAAGGATAGAAATGTCAAAGAAACCGTTGGTTGATATAGTCGAGAAATTGGTTTCGTTAGTTTTTATGAAATTCCACTTTTTGACTTTACCTTGGAGTTCGGTATTTTTGTTAACGGTTACAATTTTTGTTAGTTTTTGTGTGTGTTTTGTGTCGATCTGATGAGTCGTGCCTTTTTCAACAGATTAAAACAGTTTGTTTTTATGTTGTGCTGCTATGCCACTGACCCAGATAAGGGAGAGGTTTGGATCCTGAAAATATGTTTAACCCCGCCACATTCTGCATATGTCTGTCCCAATTCAGAAGTCTGTAATTCAGTGGTTTTCGTTTATTACTATGTACTTATAAGTTAAACCAGGCCTTTAGATTCCAGGTTTGTATTGTTTTACATTTATCATGTCGAGGGCCTGTGTGGTATGGGTTTTGCTCATTGTTGAAGGCCGTAGAGTAACCTATAGTTGCTAAATTCTATGTCATTTGGTTTCTGTCGAAAAGTTGTCTGATTGGGAATCATTATACCACATCTTCTTATTTCTATATCATTTTGAAACCAGCCTGCAATAAAAGATTTTGCACCCAAGTTAAAGTATTTGTCATCAAATTTTATGAACATTTTATTTCTAAACGGATTATTTTTTTACAAAATCAAATGTTGCATATAACGGTTTGACGCAACAATTTGTACTTTTTACTTTAATTTACTACCAATATATTGATACACGTATCATGTTATCTTCATTTAATGTGTTTGTGAGCGTTCCTTATGAAGGTCAATCTTGAAAAGCGCTTCGGACACAAACATTTATGAAGTGTTATATTCATTCAATGTGAAATTAAAAAAAAAACGTAGTACCGCAGGTCATCAACAAATGCTTTGCAAATCTATATTAGAATTGTTAACATAGATAAGAATGTGTCGGAGATCGTCTAATGGAGGCTATCAAATAGACAAAAGAAGATATTTTCTATTCAATATCGCACGACATTTTCTATTCAATATCGCACGACATTTTCTATTCAATATCGCACGACATTTTCTATTCAATATCGCACGGAATTTTCTATTCAATATCGCACGACATTTTATATTCAATATCGCCAATTTATATTCAATATCACACGACATTTTTTATTCAATATCGCACGGCATTTTCTATTCAATATCGCACGACACTTTTTATTCAATATTGCACGACATTTTCTATTTTCCCTGTTTGCATCATGTTTTATTTGAATAGAATGCTTCATTCTTTTTAAATACAATAATTACAATGAACCCTTTATATCAGAACTTTAATATCTTATAGTATCAGAGTCCATTATAGTTCAGATCACGAAAATAACATGTCATATATAACAAAATGGAAATTATTTTTAGCATAGAGAAAATAGAAGAATTGACATTTAACAAGTAACAAGGAATAACAATCTTATATAATATTGTTGTTAAAGAGAGGCGAAAGATATCAAAAGGACATTCAAACTCAAAAGTCGAAAACAAACTGACAACTCCATGGCAAAAAAGAAAAAGATCAAAAGACAGACATTATTACACAAAACACAACATAGTAAACTAAAGACTGAGCAACACGAACCCCACCAAAAACCGGGGTTGATCTCAGGTGTTCCGGAAGGGTAAGCAGATCCGTCATCCGTTAAGTTTCGTCATGTTTTCAAGTTGCACATCATTTCTCCCGAACGCTCAAGAGAAAAATTATTCCTTATCTGATTTCGAAAACCGTACAAGATTAAAATAATTATTTATTTTCAATCACATTTTACAAGTTTTTGCAACTGATTACGTAAAGCATACATGCAAGAATTACTATTTTACATTATACTATTCATACTGAACTGGAAAGGAAATTGACAATTACAGAAATACAATTATTACTTTGGCTGATCTCAAGGCGCCATCTATCCCTTAAGTTATATCTTTCCAGTTTTCATTGATCATAAGGGAATTTGAAGTACATGTCTTGAATACATTTTGAATATCTGTAATATAATAAGTGGATCAAAATGACACAATTTAAGCAAATGTAAAACTTTGGTGATTTAACGACTTTCTAGAATATGGTGGGACTTGTATGTGCTTTAATGAAATAACATTAAACAGTTCCGTTCCCAGTTTACTGCACCAGATGCCCTTTTTGATATCACTTCAGTGACTCTCAAGGCCAAAATTCAAAACCTTATAAAACGTTGAC